ACGAGGGAAGATCGAGAGTTGACAACGACAAAGTCAAAGCCTCTCGGGGCTCATAACCTCTAGAAACTCTTCGCAGTGAGTTTCTCACATGCAGGGCCCGGCTTCGACTGTCGGGCGCGCTTGAGGCTAGCAGAACGGACGCTCAGTCCGTAGCTCAGAAGAAGGGAAGTCTCTAAGATGTATTTACCTAGCAGAACGGACGCTCAGTCCGTACTGCAATACAGTCAGTACCCTACAGTGTCCATAATGAGAGGATATACGCACGCTCAGAAGAAGGGAAGTCTCTGAGCGTGCACGACAGGGAAAAGCAAGTAAATAAGGAAAGCGGCAGGTGCCTTAGCAACTGGTGAGTCAGGAACGAAATAACGAACGCGCTATCTAATAAAATACTGTCCAATAGGAATCTGAGTCATCCCGAGACATGTGCGTGCGAGCGCACGAGCCCAAAATCCAACAATATGTGTACTGCAGTCTCTGATGCTAGCTTCCAGAACCCAGACGTCATGCCAGTGTGATGTCGCATAGCTTCTGCCTTATTCTGAATGGTCTGTTGCCAGCGTTCTGCTCTGCCGTTCTGTTGTGGTGTCCGTGCCACTGATAGTTGACACTCTATTCCGCGTTCTGCTAGGAAATCGTCAAATTTGCGGCCTAAAAACTCCCCCCCACGGTCCGAACGTATAGCCTTGAGCTTTCGCTCGGCCTGTGTTTCCGCCCAAGCGACAAATTGCTTGAAGGCAGAGAAGGCGTCAGACTTCTGTTTCAGATACCAGACTAAACCAAATGAGGAATAGTCGTCGAGGGTGGTAAGGGCAAACTTGTACCCGTCAAGTGATAACGACGGATATTCGACAAGATCCATGTGAATTAAGTCGAGGGGATGATCCGCACGACTGTCAGACGCAGGAAAAGCATCGCGACAAGACTTCCCGAACTCGCACCCATCACAGGGAGTATCCCTGGTTGGAGCTGAGATTTTGTCCAGGACGCCTTTGACATTGCCAGGCAGTTGAACAACTGATTTCTTCCCGGCGTGTCCGAAGCGATGGTGCCACAAGGTATATGGATCGTCGGATTTGACCGACATTAATGTTTCTGGCTTAATCTCACTGGTCCTAGTGAGGACTTCAGCTTCTAGCCAATATAAACCTGACGACTTTTCATATTCGCCCTCCATTAAAACTGTCCGCTGTGTTGGGTCTGACCCATGGAGTAACTTAAACTTCTTGCCATCCATTTCAATATGGTGTCCATTATTGAGTGGCATTCTGGGTGCAAAGAACCGTTCTGCCGCTTCCGGTACGTATAATACGGTTTCTAACTGGATATGTTGAATTCGTCCATCTGTGAGACGATGTTGCAGAGCGATTTCACCGTGACCTTTGATTTCGATAGTCTGACCTTTGCCGGCCGTGTGTGCATGACCTGGCTTAGGGAATTCATGATACCGAATAAAGTCAGTTTTGTACGGTGTGACATGTGTTGTACAACCGCTGTCGACCATCCACTTAGACTTGACACCTGTAGCATAAAGAGAAACAGAGATGGATTCCTCTTCGATCCTAGCTACTACAGGTACATCGACTATTCATATGGTATTTACAGTCTGCGTGGTCGTCGCGGTATTGTCCTTTGCTTTGCCCTTCCCTTTTCCCTTTTTGCGCTTTCTGCCACCCTGCTGCTACTGCTGCGTGTTGTTGCCATTACCGGAACTCGAGCCAGAATTCGCTGGCTTTGTGTCCCAGTGCTGCTCCATCGTGTGATTCTTGCGACCACACTTCTCACATTTCTTGTCCAGGAGGGGCGCCTTCGAGACGTGCGCAATCTGAGTGTGGTTCGTGACGCGGCGCTGTTCCTCCTCGACTATCTTGAGCTTGATGAGCGCCGCTGTGAGCAGCGTAACATCAGTCTGCGCAGTGAGAATGGTACCAGCGATGGTTTGGTACGACTTGGGAAGAGCATTGATCATCAGCAGAGCAAGGAGCTGAGATTTGACCTCTATTCCCGCCGCGTTGACCTGGTTGGACTGCTCTGTAAGCGCGTCAAGTTGCGGTCCGAGCACGGAGCTATCAGAGAGCTGTGCATTGAACAGCTTCTGGAAGGCGACGAATGCGCCTACCACTCCGGATTTCTCGTAGCCAGCTTTGATCGCGGTCCATGCGTCCAGAGCCAAGAACTTGTCATTGATGAGATGACGAAGGTTCTGCGCGACGTAGAGCTAGATGATTCCCAGCGCCTTGTCGTTTTTCTCATCCCATGCAGCTTGAGCTGCAATTTCTGTAGCCGTGGGTGTGCCAGTCGCAGCTATTGGTCTGGCAAGACTAGGGACAGGAACGGTTGCTGTGGAGCCATATCCCTGGATCAAGTACCAGACGCCCTGGTAATGCAGGAAAGCTCGGATCGCGTCGGACCACTTTTTGTAGTTGGTTCCGTCGAATTGTGGGATGGTTGAGGTAGCAAGCTTGGTCGGGTCAGAAGAAGATGACATTGTTATTGTGTACGAAGAGGAGGCAAGTATATGCATAGAGTGTTTCACGTTCCTTTGGATTTAACCCGACGTCGTAAAAGAATTCACTGAGATCGAGCTCGTATGATTTGGCTCGTGTCGCTCGAAGTGATTCCCAATCTTCTTCCAAGAATTTGAGATCGTATAACTGATAGATTGGCCTATAGTATAAATCTTCAGCAATATCTTCCTGGTTTAAGTAACAGGCGTATGACTCTGAATATGTATCAGAGCTTGTGGGAAAGAAGATATGGATAATGTCTTTGTCAGGGTTAATTAACTCTGCTGACGTGCCGTACGTCGGTGGATCGTGTATATGATCTACGTAATGAAATTGTTGTGGGGTAAAGAACAACTCGATGCTTTGTTTGTATGTTGTCAATGATTCCCACGGAGTGTTGTAGTCTTCTTGGATATTCAGTTGCTGTCTGAATTCCGCGACGGTTTCCTGTTTTGTCTCTACGGTTTCAGGTACCGTATTTGTCTCCTGAGAGGTATTGATTGTGAACGCTGTTGAGCGAACCACTTATCCCAGCTAAGCCAATTTAGCCGAGAGGTGGATAGAGTTGGGATTTGGACAAAGGGACCAGTTAAACTACGACTCTTGTTGTCGCTTAGGATAAACACACAGTAGTCAGGTTTCCGAGTAGAACTTTTCTCTGATTGTTACGATAGTGTTGTATACAAAGTATCTATTTGTTCTCGTAAAACCTAACCACGTCAAAATATCCGTTCACGTAAACTGCGCTGAGCGCTTGTACAATCCGGGCTTTGTTCTTGCGTAGCCCTTTGAACGAGATATCCCCTATTTCCCTGCACCCTAATTTCCACTTGCGCCACTCCTCATATTTGACAATGTTACAGACGTCCGCTAGACAGCGCTTGATGCACGTGAGCTGTTCGATGAGTCGGCAGAGATTGCGGACTCGGTCGGAGTTGAGGTCGTCAAGCTCGAGAGTCTCAAAGACGTCGAGGCGTTTGAGCGTGCCATCGAACTTTGGTGTGAAGATGCGGACAAGGTCGGCAGGAGTGTGCTTGTCGAAGTCGATGAGTATTGGCTTCGGGGTGATCAGCGTATGTGTCGCTGGTGGGATGGCAGCGAGATGCTGCTCGAGTGTTGGCTTTGACGAACCGGCGAGGATCCGTTCGCGCGCCTGTTGGATTTTGCGTGCAGCTAGATGCTGCTTAAAGTCGGCCTTGTCGGTAGCGTAGCGCTTGCGGAACTGTTCGCGACGTAGGCGCCTACCCTCGTGTGAGTTCGGAGGGAACGGGAGGGTGAGCGCTGGAGTCAGCGAGCGTAGTTCTTTGCCGCGGCGTTTACCGTATGGGACGGTCTCAACGGGGTCGTTGGTGTTGCCGGAGGCGGGCGCGTAGCCGGCGAAGTGCTTGTACCACTGGAAAACGGAGTGAGAGAGACGAGCGGGTAAATCCTTTGGCACTAGAAATTATGCAGAAATGAACGCGTGAGCGCTCCGTCTGCCACTAGCACGCAACGAGACTTACTCGTAAACTGCGTGGATAAAATTTTTGACAATATGTCACGAGAGTGACAGTCGGCTTCTTGAGGTTGACAACTCGCTGCGCAAGAAACTCGCCCATGTCTGATTCACGTTTGCCCTCGGTGCTAGTATATTCCTCCTTTTCAGAAAGAGTTCACTCTCACTCTCACCTGCCAGCCACAATTGCCATAGACTCCGTCCCGGGCTGCAGATGCAGCAGCATGTCTGCGAGACCAGCAATCTTGACGAGCGTATGTGCCGCTTTCTGAGGGTTCCCGATCGGTTTCATTGATTCACTGAAGGTTATCTTCCTGAATACAGCACACGGCGAGTTTGGATCGGCATACTTGGGGTGTGCAGGCATCACCTTGAGCGATTTGCCTCCCCACTCGGTACTCTCACTCTCGCTCTCCATCTCCAAAGCGCTGGTCTCCAGGTCGTCCGTAAACGAGTGTTTCCGTTTTGCGCTGACATGGATAGCTGCGCTCAGAGATGCCTTCATGTCCCGGAATTTCACTGTTGGGTGCGAGATGGGCTTCAGTTCCTATCATGAGCAAGCCTTGAAAGAAAGGGAACCCAGAAGATAGGCTTTACACTTGTCACTAAGAATCTTATAAGCTGCCGTGAGTAGGTCTCAACGAAGGCATAGACTGTTTGTTACCAGGTGGTATTTTGCGTTGTATTTACCTCATGTAAGTGTCGACATGTTACTTACTTGGGAAGTAACTGTCAGAACTGGGCGATTACGTTATTGCCCTGTACGGACTAATGGGGATATCATCACATGATCCCTCTATTATCTTGCAGTAATACAATATCTGATTACTCATGCTTAGTATACATGCTTATGCTCACAGTACTATAGGTCTTATAGCGGTATCAGAGGTCCTGAATCACATGTATATATACTGGCCCTGTAGCACAGAATAAAGCAAGAGTTCAGTCGCACTTTAACAGGTTATGAGCCCTGGCCTCACGGCCACTCTACCACCACTCTACTAGTTTCATTGCTGAAGAAGACCCCTCGGGAAACCTCAGTCCCCTTCACCCAGTTTAAACCCACCGCTTCTCCCGCAGCACTGCTTCGTCTCATTGCCAAAGTTCTGCAGCATACTAACACATCTGCACTGCATCTGCCAAAGGATTTGGATCAAAAATTTTAGATTATTGCTGGAAATTCATGCATTCCTCATATCATTAAAATAGGGGCATTAAAATAAGGCAGAAACGTTACTGACATGGAACTAACAGGCAGTAACTAACTGTGAGAATCTTCCCTACATTACTAACCGGGAAGAAACCCTGAGGGTAGTTTTGCAGGGAACACTAGTCTGGGCGGCTGAGAAACACTGAAACGTCCTGAGAGGGTCTGATGAGCTTTGTCCTAGCTTTCAGCGTTTCCAGTACCTTTTTTTTTCTGCATGTTTATAACATTTCCAGTACCGGATCATTTGCTGATGCTCAATATCTCTCGATACGCGACATTGCAAGAAATGAGGTTTCAAAATAGACGAGGGGCTAAGACACAAGAGCAATCGGAGGTTGCAAGTCTCACTTACCGTACGAGAGGTTGTTAACAGCATTGGCCGCCAGTGGATGCCTTTCCACAGGGTTTTTTTCTGATTCTAGAGTGCAGTGTGGAGTGTAAACTGTAGTTTAGAATTGAATGGTACCAGTCTGTAAAACCACAACAACTGAGAGCAAAGAAATGTAATATTTTGTTTCGTAAGTGGAGTTTGAAAGTGCGACTGGGGGTCGACACGCTTGAGTGGACGCATTCGTTCTGACTATTGCTTATAGACCCTAACACAAGGTTCCTCTGACAGCAATTAGAAGGCGAGGACAAGTCCGCCGCCGATGAAGTTCTCCAAGAGACCACTATTGTGGCAACATTACTCTTGTCACCAGCCAATTGTGCAGTATACATGCGTTGGGTGTTGATGGGCTCACCACATACCCTAAGTTCACCCCAATTTCACCCAAATGTGACAGACAACATCATAGGCCCCATTTCACAAGTCACTGCAAATATCTAGTGAGATGGAGGGCGGTGTAAGTGGGGGAACAGGCACAACGGTGCATGCAGAGTCTGAAATTATGTCTGTAAACATAGAATCTAATCTGTAAGGGGGGTCAGACCCCCCTTCCAGATTTCGAGTCTGTAAATGCAGCTGTTCAGACCAAAACTACGGTAAGTAAGATCGGCCAAGATCATCAGGAAAAACCGCCCACAATAATTAGGTCTAATTGGCTGGAATTAGGACTAATTGCATAGATTAGATAAATTAGATCTTTTAAAACCTGCCCCTTCTGGAGGGCCAATTTTAGCACTAAATTAGATTCGTTCGCACTCCATTATTGCAGCTTTAAACAGCGTTCTCAGCACAGAAAAGAGCATATAATAGCATTTGTAGATGGCTAGGGTACAAATAACACATAAATTACGTAGGATACATGTACTATAGTGACCGCAGCACATTAGCCAGCAACCAATGAAATATCTAGCTTTTGCAACAGGTCTCAGCTCACTCGGCCTGCTATATGTGCTGTGTCACGGTGGACACTGATATTTGGGTTGTTAGAAATGCAGATCAGAGGGAACAGTGCTATCACGTACCACTGTGACCATGTTTCTGCTGGATGCCACTCACCACCTAGTAAAAAATTATTAGCGCAGTCTGACACATTGCAGGAGGAAAGTGGGCTCACCATATATTGAGACAAACAACATGTGTCACATGTGCGGTCGCCTGCAAGATTACTGTTGTGCACACTAATACTACCATTAACTTGACCATTTAAGCTCCTGAGGTTTGGTAGTGTTCAACAGGCGCCATCAAACGCGAAGGCGATGGTGGAGACAGTCATTGTGGTGGTGGAGAACATGCCACCCCCTGGCTTATGAAGGCAAACATGCCGGACAAGCCCGAGCTTGTTCTTCATATAGCCGCAGTAGCGCAGCCTCGTCGACAACAGACCATAACCCCCTATGTGAACTTGGTCATTACTTTAATAGTTGCATGGAGCGTGTGACGCGCCTATATACTAGTTCCCCACCAAACTAAAACTCTTGAGTTCACTAAAACCTGCATGGTGTCCGATCTTTCAGTGGGGACGAGCAGGCACACGACGTGAAGGCAGCGGCTGCTCTCAGGAGCGCGCAGAGTGTATATGCGTACCAGCTTTCACTCGGCGCAAGTGGTGTCACAACGTTGTGGGATTACGCAGACCTGTGGCACTGCAAGCGCAGCATGTCCTGCAAGCAGAACGAGGGGGGTTAGTCAGGCAGTCTGGAATAGCTGGCTCATAAGAGCACTAACATTAATGACACCAGTAGGCGTGGAGGGCCAGAAATGAGCTGGGACTTGTGGTGCATAGAGGGGAGAGAGAGGGAGGACAGTGGCAGTAGCTGAAAGGGCTGAAACTTCAAAGTTTTTGCTCATTGATGGCTACCGGCAAAGTCCAATTACTTATCCGACCGGTGTCTAGAAACTAGCAGCATGGCGTCGACGTTGTCCACATTGTCTTGTAGCTACAAAAGTCGAGTTGGAACATGTTGAATATATTAAGAACAGTATTGGGATGCTCTAGAAGAAGAATATAGTAAATTGGACATCTATTCAATTATTTAGATCACTGAGATGCTTTACTCGTGCATTAGACTGCATTCGCCCTAATTAGCACTAAATTATATTGAGGGGTTTTTCCTGATGATGCCTCATCCAATTTATTCTTAAATCTAGTCTACAAAGCTCTATAGACAGCTGTGGAAAGGCATCCAGTATCGACAAAAAGCCGACTTCCCTAAGGGGTGCCGGACGGTTGCAGTTCAAAATCAACAGGGTGACATAGGTTTGTGCCATGTCACGCTCCCGGGCTTTGTCCTTTGTAACGCAAGGCTGCCATGATGGATATATACATTGGTAAGCTGGGAGTATCTCTGTCTTCCTCCCAGCCTCTGGGCCTGTTGGCAAGCAAGTTGTGCACACTGCAAAGGTTAAGGAGTGGCCACTGGTAGAAGGACCACTCAGGTCTTTAACACCTAGTATTAAGCACTTGGATGGCCCCTGAGTTGGCTGCGGGAACCAAGTGAATATTTGGGCATGCAAGGATTGATGTTTTTGAATGTTATGGTACTTTTATTAGTTAAGCTAAGATCCCTATATTTTTGGTCATTTTTTTTCCACTTTGAGCAAGCTATTGAATATACAAGTTGAAGATGCACCCAATTCATGACGGGCACTTGCTGCTCGTGCTCTCTGCAAATATCACCTCCACTTGCGCATTCACAATTTTCCACCAGTACATGTTACAATCGGTCCGTCTTCCTGGTATATGTTTTTCTTTCCCTCTATTACCAGACAGTAAGTGCCTACTCGAAGATTCCACTCTTTTCCGGACTATTCCATTTCCGGTCTATTTCTGGACCACTTCCATTTCCCAGACATTCTCGTATATATGTTGTTTCTTCTCTGCTGATCTCGCAGTAGCTAGGTTAGTATAAATACCCTCCGGAAATGTCGTGTACTTTAGCTTCGGCCTCCTGTATTATCAGTCACTCTCTATATTATTTCCTGGACTTCGCCTAAAGTCCATGTTCTACACATTCCAACTCTTACAGTACACCATGTAAACCAGGCCACTGTGGATGTAGATATGGTCAGAATTTGTCCACAGAGGTGCGGAGCTGGGATGTACCAACATCGGCCAGCTGTATTAGGTGTCTCGGATCAAATTTTGATAAGATAACAAAGGACAAAGCGAGACAAAGAGTGTGGAGTGACACAACGTCACATTCAACTAATTTTTTGAACCGCAACCGTCCGGCGTACACACCTCCCGTAGGCCATTTGGGTTCGCTGTTGGAGTTCCCGGATGATGTCTCGTGTAAATTTGAAACCACTCCTTGTCATCTTGCACCGGCAGATTCAACTTCTTCGCCACACCTTTCAAACCCGACAACCCGGCGAAAGTGTCTCATTCAAACTTGACGCGCCTGGTGCACCCAGGATGATGCATGCAAGTCGACGACTGGATACGACCTGACTTGATATTAAAACAGGCACCCATCTTATGCATCGACTTCTCGTACCTTTTGTGGCGAAGAAGAGGTGCGCGGAAGAGTGGACGCGAGCCGTACCAAGCGCTGACACCAATTTGGTCTGATTATCTGAATCGGCCATCTAATCAGTCGCCTAACGCTGCGCGGGACTAGGCTCGAACCGCCGCCAAGTTGGAAACATATTCCGTGCTTCACACAGGGGTATAGCTGCTGAGTAGACTGGAAACGAGTCTAGCGCGGGATCCTTCTTGGCAGATTCTCCAGTCTAAAGGCCTTTCTCTTTCGCAGTTAGCAGCCCAAGCACGCCTCCAAATTTGGCTTTCGTTGCCGTCATCTTGCCAAACAGATAGCAGGCAGCGCCCCGAGAACTCAGAGCACTTGCACTATCATCTAAGGGGAAGTGGTCGAGCACACAGTAGATTCTGGATTCCTCTGAGTCTACTGAGGTCCTCTCACATGCGTGAAATGTATTCAGCCCGGACTCAAGCCGCGCAGCTTCTGCGAACGTGACAGGACTTGTTTCATATAGCGCCAAGTAAATGCGGGCTGCGGGAAAGTCTACAATATTACCTCAAATCATCTTTACGAACATGCGTGGCAATGTCCCTGTTCCATCTGCCTCTCTCTTCTCAGTGGACAACCAGCGATACAGTAATCCGAAAGTTGAGTTGAATACGTACGATATCTCCTCAAGTGATTGTCTCGAGTGCTGAGGAGTACATCATTTCTATTCGCCAGTCGCACCCTCCTCTTGGGTCATGAGCGCTCACAACTCAACGCGCCAAACAATGCCGTCAGCAGATTTGACGATACGGCGCATAAGGCGCGAACCAAGCACTCATCTTCCCAGAAAGGCAAATAGAATCTGAAGTGGTACATATGCCCGAGTGTTTTTTTAATTGCTCCGGCACCCACTTCTGCTCTCTCCCTAGTAACAACTTGAACTCGCATGCAACGGTCCACTAGCCTCGACTACAAGACTCCTCAGCGGACGGGGTCTCCGGAGTTGCACAACACTGATACATCGAGGAGCAAGGAAGACCTACAAACACTGCGAATTAATGATACGAATGACAGTACGCATCCCGTACCCTTGCTGAGACCGTTCGTTCAAGTTGATTTCTGTCACCTAGCACCTGCCGTCAAGGAACAGGTGGAGAAGCCCCGGCCAGCGCTGAACAAGCCATACAGCATCTACACTAAGCGCGAGAAATGGACTATCGTCGCTATAGCTGCCGTAGCGGGACTATTCAGGTGCGTGTCATTTGTGGACCGCTGCGGAGTTCTGTGCTCACCGCCGGACCCAGTCCTCTGACCTCTCAAGTTTACTTTCCAGCGCTGCCCACGCTTGTGCAGGCTTTTCACACGTCTACGGAGAGGATAAACTTAACAGTGACTATGTACATAGTGCTGCAAGGTATAGGTGAGAATGTACGCTCCAGTAGGGCGTACTACCACTTACATCCTCCTTAGCACCCATGTTCTGGGGGACACTGGCCGACCGCTGGGGAAGGAGGCCAATGTTTATGGCCTGCTTGCTTGTGCTGTCCCTCTCCTGCGTCGGACTCGCCCTCGTGCCAACAAACGCATACTGGTTGCTCATGGTCTTGCGATGCGTGCAGGCCGCTGGCTCTGCTAGTACGACTGCACTCGGCGCGGGCGTCATCGCAGATATCACTGACCGTGCTGAGCGCGGGCACTTCTTCGGCTTGTATAGCATAGGTCCTCTGGTATGTGTCACGCACGTAGTCTCTGCACCATCTTATTCGCCTGGCAGGTTGGACCATGTCTCGGCCCCGTCATTGGTGGTGCCCTTGCGCAAGGCCTGGGCTGGAGGTGCGTTACTCGCCACGATATTCTCAGTTATTAGGCTGAAACGGCCTTGCTTTCCAGGTCAATCTTCTGGTTCCTGTGCATCGGCTCGTCAATTTGTCTCGTTATCATGTTCTTGTAGGCAATTCGCCCCCGGCATTCGCTGAAAGTATGGCTAATTAGAAGCTCAGGATTCTGCCGGAAACGCTGCGCTCGCTCGTCGGAGATGGCAGCATCATACCCCCTCCTATTTACCGCCCCCTTCTTCCCATCATCGGCCGCGATAGGATAGGCGGGAGCGACGACGACGTCGAACGCCCGCCGAAAGCCAAGTTCCGAAACCCGTTCCGTATTCTGTTCTACCCGGACGTGTTTATCCTGCTCATCTTCACCGGCTTTCTGAACGCGCTCTTCTACGCAATGACTGCCTCGATCTCGACACTCTTCAGCGTTACGTACCCTTATTTGTCCGAGACGACTATTGGCCTGTGCTTCCTCGCCATCGGCGGCGGCATGCTCGCCGGCAGCTTGGTCAACGGCCGCGTGCTCGACCTCGAATACCGCCGTGTGCAGCGCAATCTCGAGCGGCGCGCACGCGAGGACCCCGAATACGATGTGCCACTCGAGGATGTTACGAAGGACGAGCACTTCCCGATTGAATACGCTCGCTTCCGGACAATGCCCGTCTACTTCGTCATCTGCGTTTCCGTAGCGATCGGCTACGGGTGGGCACTGCAGAGCAAGGTTAACATCGCGGTGCCGCTCATCCTGCAGATCATCTGTGAGCGCTCTTCTCGCTGTTCCATGGCGGTACTCTGGGTTGCTGACGTGTTGCACAGTCGGATACGCTGCCATCTGCATTATGAATACTGCGCAGACACTCCTCGTCGACCTGGTCCCCGGCCAGGGCTCTTCTATCGGCGCCTGCGTACGCTTCTTTCGACAGCTTTGTCCAGGAGCTCAGTTGCTAACACGATTGCAGAACAACCTGGTGCGCTGTGCCCTGGCGGCGGTCGCCGTGTCCGTAATTGACGTCATGATCAATGCGATGGGCGTCGGCTGGACGTTTGTCGTGCTCGCCGGTCTTTGCATCGCCACGAGCCCGTTGATGTTCGTGATCATGCTCATTGGACCCAAGTTCAGAGCCAAGCGGAGGCTTCGGCAAGCTCAGAAGCAGTCTGAGAAGCAGTCTGAGAAGCAGTCTCAATAGCTTCCTTGGTATCTATTGAAGTATTTATCTTCATAATTTTGCCTTGGTAATAGTGGCAGATGGACTCTCGGGCGATTTCTGCGACGTTTATACTGCAGTTTCACATGTAGTCTTGGGGTAAGCACAGCTGGAGTCTGGGCGCCTCGACTTCCAATCTACCCACTGGCTCCTCACGACAAAGGTCTCTCGCAAAGCAGAGCTCATGTCACACAGCTCCTCCACGATACGCAGCTCTTTCCTGAGACCCCTGCATCATGTCTGGCTCGGTCGACGTCCCAAGCGTTGTGACCGTGGACAATCTGCGCGTGTGCGTAGCCAAGAGCTCCCGCAAGCATTTCGTCCTCCGGTTCTGGGTAAAACGAAGGAGTTAGTGGACTTATTCTATATTATTGGAGCGATGGTAAGACCCTCGACGATGTGTCCAATAGTAGGCACAGACAGGATATCTTCGCATGCGTTGTAAAACGGAGCGCAAGATTTCCTTGTACGAAAAATCTGCTTGCTCAAGCTGTGATGATAGTCAATATCAATAGACTTGGTGAAGCTATGGCTTCATCTAAGAAAGTTCCTGGTGGACATCTAGATAGCCCTTGACGGAGACGAAACCCGGAACGGGGATTCTAATCAGTTCCGACCAGAACTTGCATACAGCGCTAGGCCCAGCAAGCCCACGCGGCTTCAAACCGCGATATTTTGCCAGCAAGAAGAGATAGCGATACTCGTCGACCAGGCGATCGGGGGTGTGGGAGGTCGGGAGGGTCGATACAGTATGTCCCGACCCCGGGGAGTGCAAGGCGTCTACGCGCAAAAAGGACCCTGGACAGTCCAGTGCAGCGCGAGTCGCGACTAAGCACGGCACGCGTCTCGACTCTCGACTACGACCCTCATTCCTGCACCAATATCTCAAATCGTTTATCGTTGGCCCCCGTACTTGCCAGCTACGAAGGCCTGGCACCACTTCCGCGGCGATATGGCTACATCTACACTTTGCAATCAAGTAGCCGAGAAGTGGCAGCGCTCGTTTGCGAAACTCAACAGGGAGAAGGAGGGGATAACAGGATTGCTCGAGTTTACCCGCGTATGATAGATATTCTTGAACTCGTTGAGGTTGGCAGCTGACTGCGCATGGTACTAGGCCTGGCTGACGGCGAGTGACCAACTGAGACCGAGAGATAAGTCAGGACTTGCCGTCAAGCCTCCATACGGTCCGTACCGCGGGGTTTTGTATGTGGATCTGATGTCATGAACGTTGACAGGTAGACAAGACCAAACTACGGGAGTGTTTTGAGATCATTCGATCCTGCAACCTTCATGCTGTGTTTCTTGACGATTACCTTGGTGGGTCGGGCTATCTTCCCTCTCTTGATCTGGCTGAACCGTAGGTTGCTATCAAAGATGCTGTCGGCCGGCATCTACCCGCAATAACAAGCGACATCGAGTTTTACATGAAGATGTATGAGGTGCATATCACCTATCCATTGCCAACTTTTGCCTCATGGTTGCGCCTCATACAGAGAGAACCAAAGGTAGAACACATCGCAATGCTCATCAACATTGCTGCACGATGGCAGCGTGCTTGGGCACCACTTCCGGAGTAAGCAAATTTCCTCATGTGCTACCATAACATGCCGTTGACGTTACACAGAATGGGCGCGAGTGCGATTTCGGCGTTCACATGCACGTTCCAGACACACTTGTATTCTATTCTGCCGCCGTCCTTCACAGAAGGCTTCCGCGACCTGATAGCTGCCACATTTGACTTCAAGTCTATCGAATCTGCCCCGGACTGGCTGCCGTTGCGCTTCCCATGCACACCTGGTGTACCCCGACCCGATTTTACCCTGTGGATAGTCATGCAGGAGCTCGGTCTTATTGAAAGATATGAGACTCTCATCCTGAGCGTGTGCTATGAACGCATAGAGAAGCATATCTCGGAGACCTGTGGCAAAGTGTGGGACCGCCAGGTGCTGCAAGAGATGCGGGATTGGATGTCGCGCGAAGTGGTGACCTGGTTAACGATGCCCTATGCGCGGGATGCGCGAAGTGGCGAGTGGCCAAATTCCAATATCATTTTATGTCGTGCTGATCCTCACTGTTTTAGCTGAGCACGCCGCTATGCTCATGAAGGGCGTAGGTTCACGGCTCGACTACCATGTTTGCAAAACGCTCGCAGATCTACGGTGAGCCGTGCACTCTGCAACGAAGTCAATACATTCATTATCTAAGTCGTTTTTCAAAGCACACTAGAGATATTCGATATCATCATCGATTACCCGGATTCTCGTCCTGCACTGGATGATCTGAAGGTCTGTCCACTTTACAACGTGTCTGCCTGTCAAACTCTATCTGATGTGATGCTCAAAAGGAGTGTCTCCAGCGTGTAGACCAACGCTCTCAGCTCGTCCAGAGTCTTCGAAAGGCGTACGTACTCATGCGGCCCGAATCATGACTACCTCACTCATGCTCGTACAACCAGCAACCGGCGGCGTCTGCTCCACCCAGGCGCAGACACCAAGCTCATTCTCACGCAATATGTCTCGATAATTCGATGTCTGCGTATCATCGATCCCCAGGGTGTGCTTCTATTCAAAGTTGCGGACCCAATCCGGCGGTATCTTCGAGACAGGCCGGATACAATTCGGTGCATTGTAGCCAGCCTGGTCGGGGACGGCGAGAGCGGCGAGAGCGGCGATTCACTGGTGGACGAGAACGAGCCAATACAGCCCATAAATCAGACGCAGCTTGAAGACTACACCGATCCTAACTGGGAGCCAGAGCCTATCGATGCTGGGCCAGGCAAGTGTCATCGAATAGGGCCGATAGAACACGACTGACGATTTTTCAGAATTCCGCACCAACAAACCAAGCGACATTATAAGCACACTCATCAGTATCTATGATTCGCAGGAGCTTTTCGTGAAGGAGTTACAGATCTTGCTGGCTCAGCGGCTGCTCGCGATCAAGGATGGTAACTTCGACAGAGAGGTGAGCTGCATGCGCATAAGGAAACCGTGTGCCGACTTATATTTTGTCCAGCGCCGGAATATCGAGATCCTGAAGATCAGATTCGGCGAGGCTGCGCTGCAGGTTTGCGAGGTCATGCTCAGGGACATGACCGATTCGAAGCGGATGGACCAGCACATCCAGCAACAGACAGCCGTGCGTGTCGATGTTACGCGGTCTTCGCTTGCTCACAAATTCGCTATTCTCCATTAGTCCGACCTTCATCCCACCGTCATTTCCCGCCACTTCTGGCCTCCGTTGCAGACGAACACCTTCACGATGTCCGGACAGTTCCGCAAGTACGTGACAAGCCGCGCGCCTCAAGGCTCTTTGCTAATAAAGGCCTTGCATACAGAATCCAAGAGGATTACGCTAATGAGTTCCACGTGTTCAAGCCCGACAAGAAGCTTGTCTGGATGTCGCACCTCGGCTCTATCAACTTGGAGGTCGAGCTCGACGACAGGACGGTCGAGGCCGAGGTACCTCCCCTAGAAGCTGCACTCATTGAGCTCTTCTCAGAACAAGGTGTGTTTCAGTCTTTGAGCACCCCTCGTAACTCATGCCTTCGATACAGACGAGTGGACTGTAGCAGACCTCATCGTCAATGTCGGCTCGATTGAGCGTTCAAACGCTGTCAAAGCGCTTACAACCTGGGTCGAACTGGGTGTGCTGAAGGAGGACTCGCCGGACCACTACAGGCTACTCAAGACGGCAGAAGAGGCGAGCACAAGGGCTACGGCGAGGCAACCCGCGGTCGCCGTCGAGGAGCTACCCCCGGTCGTCACGGTGCAGCAGCAGCAGGCTGAGCAGATGAGGGTGTTCTGGATGGTTTGTGCTAATGTTCTGGTCAGACTTTTGCTAGTGTTGATGGGGCTATCTATAGTACATTGAGGGCATGTTGAAGAATCTCGGACAGCTTCCGCTGGACCGGATACAGCAAATGCTCAAGTTTGCGCCGAACTACGACCGGAACATCGACCAGCTTGCGGCATTCATGGAGGCCGCGCGGCGAGAAGGGCTTGTCACCGTAACGAACGGTTTGTGGAAGCTACAGAGCAAGTAGGCGTGCGTGAAGCTCCTCCACTAGATGTTATACTCTCGTATTTCAGGATCACATCGACAATCTCGGCGTGACAGAACAAATCTACAGATACGTTATACACAAGAAAACGCGCAAAGTAAGGGCCTGATGTGCACTGGTTAAGAAAATCAACTTTGGTTCACAATAATCTTGCCCTTGCGACGTCCGTTCAGCCTACGCTGACCTCAAGATCCGGAGCAGATTGGATGCGCCCATCAGGGGGCCTGAGGCCGTCATGGCTATCGTTGATCTCATGTTTGAGCTCGAGCGTCTACAGTGACAAGTCCCCGTGGAACTTGTCCCGGGCAATCAGGCGGACGGAAGACCCCGCCAAGCGTAATATCGGCTTTGAAGACAACAGCTATGTATCGATGGGACGTGTCCTCACGTAGAGCAACACACATTGAGCAACGGAAATACATGTTCTTAGGTGGATTTTTCACCGTCTCCTGGAAGCGAAAGTCCCGCCCATGATCCATCCAGTGGCAAGGACGAGGGCAGCAGCCGCAAAGCACGTTCCCGCGTATAGGATGACCTTCTCGTACGAGCCCTTGTATGCATCTCCAATGCCGATTGGCTGGCTGCCAATGCCAGAGTCGTTATTCTGAAGAGCGGTCGAGATAGGGGTCGAGAGAATGTTGCCGACACCACGGAATAGCAGCATACAGCCCAGCATAGATGTTGTAAGAGTGGGATCGTCCTCTGTAACGGATTTGGAGCATGAGCAGCTGAAGATATTACAATGAACTATGCGGGCTTACTAGCGATAGGCCTGAGGAAGCTCACCCAGAGGCTCGTCCAGCCTCCTGCTAGACAGCCGTAGGCAATACCGTACACGAGCACACCCGTAAGTGTGTATGACAACACGCCCCAGAGGACGAAGACAGATAGCGATGCGAGCATGAGGGTTACACTCGCAATGAGCCAAGGATTGATGGTGTCGGACAACAAACCATTGCTCAGCCGCCCGACAAGTGATGCTGCGTTGAGAAGCGCCAGCGATAGCGAAGAATCGCGCGAGCTGAGACGCAGAGACGAGGCATACGCTAAGTCATTGAACGTGAGCGCTGAATGAGAATAGATTGAGGAGCGAAGGGCATACTCGGCAGCCAAAGCAGAGGGACGAAAATATGCCAAGCCCTGGAGAGTGTTCGCAAGATTGATGACCCAGAATGTTCTGTCCTTGAGCCAGAAGAACCGGTGTTGGGCGACAGCTCTAGGATTTATCGGCCCGTGCACGATCCGAGCCTCTGGAAGGCGACCACGGACGAAAGGGACGACGAGTGTGAGAATGCCTGCGCAGACGATACTGTAGAACCGCATGACCTTGGCGTAGCCATACTTGTCGATGAGCGGAGGCAGGACTAACGGTAGTACCAAACCGCCGCATGCAGTACCTATCGTGGACCGTAGATAGTAAGCTCACATAAATCAATCAGCCGAAATTAACCTTTTCGCTTACCGGCATCGATAACGCCTAACGCCAGCCCGCGACGCTCGACAAACCAGTCAGACATATAATATATCTCAGGCGCCCACAAGAGAACTACACGAAGGATACGTTCAGAGAAGCGCGGTGAAGGTGCATTTGAATTGACCGCTTACCGCCGCCAACGGAATAGATTATCCCTTGTAGTGCCAACAGAGTTGGTATCTGTAGTGGTTCAGAGGCTGTACTGAAGATACGATTCGGTCACTTACGGTGCGCGCATAGCTCGCTCCAAAAAGGCTAGTGAAGACGAGGACTACGCCTAACCACAGGGCTTTCCTTCTGTAACGTGGAAACCGGGCTGCCGCAGGGAATGCTATGGATGCTGCCGTCTCTGTCAGAATCGGCAGCGGTCGCTGTCATGGTCAGCGTGCTTACCGGTACCGTACATCATCCCAGATGCTAGAGGACCGATAAGGGGAAGAAGAGACCTGGCGTGTTTTTGGCTTGTCCATGCCGGATCCTCAAGATACTTCACGAGGAACACACCGTAGGCGTTAGGGAACCCCCAGACGACACCTTCAATCAGGAAGGCTCCGAGTAACTAAATAATGGGTTTGGGTTCGTTTCAGCAGTGTACAGAGATTCTGTGTTAACATACGAAAGACCAGGCACCGAATCCTCGGTCTATAGGTGCAAGAGAACTCTCGTTGAAATGGGCGCCCACACTGGTAGAACCTTCATTACTACGCGCTGGTGCAGGTGTTGCATCTGTTATTGTACAGAGCTCGACGGCGTCTGACATGGGGCTCAGTAGTGCCCGACGACTCTCAACAAGCGGGTGGTGGTGGTGGTTTCACGGGTAGTCAACTGCCAGCACGAATGCATATCCAGGAAATACCCGAGACAGATTCATAGTTGGGCGGTCCTCGGCCCCAATGGCCACCGGATACTTCAAATTTGAACCTCCGATGCTTATCAAGAGATAAATGTTAGAGATAAGGATGGGGATGAGACTACCACAAGACCTTGAAGATCTAACCCATGCCACATACAACTATTGCCACTTGAACACACCGTACACGAGTGCACAAGACTAAAAATACCTTGATCTTCTGTCCTAGAAGAAACATAGTGCCAGATCTACTCGTTGAGTATATTGATTGAATGCCCCCCCCCCCAGCTGAGTCTCATACCTTCACTGCCTCCTGATAGAGAAAGTACCGCTCATGATCCACCCAGTAGTGACAATGAGAGCAGCTGCCGCGAAGCACGTTCCCGCGTACAGGATAACCTTCTCGTACGAGCCCTTGTACGCACCTCCGGTGCCGATCGGCTCATCGCCAAAGCCGGACTGGAAATTGGTCTGGAGGGCGGTCGAGATAGGTGTGGAGAGAATGCTACCGATGCCACGGAAGAGCATCAGGCAACCCAGCATAGACGTTGTATGGGTGGGATCGTCCTCTACAAGTAGCAGGGTTGGGATGTGAGCAGCTGTGAGATATCGAAGTGAAACGCTCGGGGCTCACTTGCAATAGGCCTGACAAAACTAGCCCAAAGACTCGTCCAGCCTCCTGCAAAGCAGCCGTACGCAATACCGTATACAAGTACTCCCGCAAAATTGTACGATAAAACTCCCCAAAGGACAAAAATGGAAAGCGACGCGAGCATAAGAGTGGTACTCGCAATAAGCCAGGGGTTGATGATGTCGGACAACGTGCCGTTGCCCAGTCGGCCGACGAGCGACGCTGCGTTGAGAAGCGCCAGCGATAGCGAAGAATCGCGCGAGTTGAGGCGCAGAGACGAGGCATACGCTAAGTCATTGAACGTGAGCACTGATTGAGAGTAGATTATGAGTTGGAGGGACGTACTCGGAAGCCAAAGCAAAGGGACGAAATATGCCAGACCTTGCAGAGTGTTCGCAAGGTTGATGACCCAGAAGGTTTTGTCTTTGAGCCAGAAGAATCGGTGCTGGGCAACAGCTCTAGGATTTATCGGCCCGTGCATGACCCGAGCCTCTGGAAGGCGTCCACGGACAAAAGGGAGCACCACTACGAGTATGCCGAGGCAGACGATGCTATAGAACCGCAGGACCTTAGTACTGCCAAATCTGTTGAGGAGTGGAGGCAAGATCAGCGGCAGCAACAGGCCACCGCATGCAGTACCTATCAGGAATTGTGGACGGTGAGTTCGCTTAAGACACCAGCCAGCAATGTTCGCTTACCGGCATCAATGACACCGAGCGCTAGACCGCGACGCTCAGCGAACCAATCCGACAAATAGTACATCGCGGGAGCATACAGCAGTGCTGCACAGAAAGTATAATCAAGGAAGCCAGAGGGGGCATTCAGATCGAAGACGCACCACCGCCAACGCCATAGACTACGCCTTGGAGTGCCAGCAGAGATGAGATCTACAGCAGCTCAGTGACTTCACTGAGGACCCGATTCGGTCACTTACGGTGTGCGCGAAGCTCGCTCCAAACAGACTGACAAATATAAGGACTACCCCCAGCCACATAGCTTTCCGCCTGTGACTCGGAAAACGAGCGGCCAACGGATATGTCACCGGCGCTGATGTTTCGGTTAGCGTTGCATACGGTCAGCACGAAGATCCAAGTACTTACCTGCACTATACATAATTCCGGATGCCATGGGGCCAATAAGGGGAAGAAGCCCCCTAGCATGTTTCTGCGAAGCCCACGCAGGATCCTCGAGATATATTACGAGGAATACACCGTAGGCGGTCGGGAAACCCCAGACGAGGCCCTCGATCAGGAATGCTCCAGCCAGCTAACAGATAGTCGCTGTGAGTTTTTTCGTCAAAGTTCGCAATGACTCGACGCCGACTTACAAAAGACCAGGCACCAGATCCCCGGTCGACTGGTGCAAGGGAACTCTCGTTGAGATGGGCACCTCCAGCAGGATCCTGGACACCGCTCGCCGATGCCTGTGTCGCGCTCGACGGGATACCTTGGAGCTCAACAGGATCTGACATGAAGCCAAGCAGTTACCGGTTGCAATTAGCCTCAGCCAGCAGTAGGTGATGGTTCGAGACGAGAGAGACCTCGTGGTTGGTCAATACCCGCACCAAATATGTGGAAATACTCAAGATCGACTCATACCCGGGCTATCAAACGCTCGCGCATCGATATCTTCGCAGTTTGCAACTAGCCGGTCGCTCGTGACGAATCGTGAGTCTCGGTCATTGGCGCGGCCAGACATCCCAATCCTTCCCACTCGATAACGCGAGTCTACGGTCACGCGACTGGTAACCTGTATCGCTAATTACTATTAGATAAATATATAAATGGAAGTTACTTGACGCCCGCTTAGCTCAGTGGTAGAGCGCGCCACTCGTATGAATCCGCCAGGTTAGAGGTGGAATGGTGAGGTCGGTTGTTCAATCCAGCCAGTGGGCATTTAATTTTACATTACCTCGTGAAAGCTCTTCAATCATTTTGTTTGTTCACTGTGTATAAACATTCATTATTATTTCCTTGCGCAAACAAAGTCTTGTAAACTTGGTGTAAATGTTCATACACAGTAAGCATATAGTTTCCTTTTTATCACCTGCAAAAGGTCCTAGCGTTATACATCCTTAGTCTTACTAACAGACTCAGCCTGTATTGAGCTTAAGAATATGACTCGCCACCTGTGCATGGTCCTCAGGCAGTCTCTTCGAACCAGAGATTGCCCGGCGGCTGCATTAAGCGCCAGCCATACCGTGGTCCGCGCAAGACTCACTCTAAAACTACGGTGGTGACCATAATTCCAAATTGTACTGAGTGCAATCCAGAGGTGAGTATCATAACAATTAAATTACAGCTCTACATATGGGCTGCGAGTGGCGCTCACGATCCAGCACTGGCATGTCAGACTCGGAGAGCCCGTGCTTTGTTTGCGATGGAGACTAGTTCTACCTCATTTAGTGACGGCAGTGCTTTATGCGATATTATAGGAAAGTGGACAGATCGACCCCTCAAAAATACATGCTAAAACTGCACCCATAGAGTAGATTTCCCTAGGCCGGCTCTCAAAGCCCTAACGCGAGTGTATGTCGTATCACCCTAAGAGTGTCAAGCCAACATCTGCATCAGTTATTGGCCCACTCTCCAATGGCAATGCGAATGACGATCCGACATGCGGCACGCTCACCTACTGAAAATACTCCCGCATATCTCTGACAAGTTCTGAGGACACCTCCGCAGGCCCTGCCATTGGAGTATGGTGCTGCCTCGCAATGCTACCCCCGCCTCTCGAAAACATATTTGTGCGCATAAGTCAACTTACACACTATGCACAGGAGACGGCGGCGTGCCATGGTCATAGCATGATGCTCGGGCCGTGGCGCACGCACCGCTTCCAAATTGATGTCCTCCATGCGCCCGACTTGGCAGACAGTGCGCCTGTTTACAGAGGCGGGACGTTACTCCCATGATATCGGGAATGAGGAGCTGCAGCCCTGACTTTTCTTCGCGCATCGAGCGAGCGCCTCCGCAGGCCTGGTCACGGCTGCATCGCTCGAGCATCGATCTTTGCCTGACTATTTGGGCCCAGCCGATGATGACAATGTCCGTACCGACTGTTTGTTTACTGTTTACTGACTGGTAATTTTCACACAGAAGCTAAACGGTTGGAGCATGAGTTACTTCAGCACCTTAATAGTGATTGGTCTACTTTGCACAAGTTTCGTGTGCGTATTTCTTTCTAGGATTCTGCTGGGGCTGCCAGTTATTGCACAATTTGAGATAAATTTTGTAGAGCATTGCTCACTCTGGCTGATTTACCCGCTGTCTCCGCAGGGAAGATTCAGCTCGTTTCGTTGGTAAGTGTGGCGATACGGCACATGCAGCTTCCGAACCGACCAGGCACCGTAGGAGAGTATTAGATGACTCGTGCTCAACATCCCTCATGTGATCCAGAGCACGTACTGATGACGGCTAGCTTACTACTATAGCTCTGACAGCCCAACACATGACCGTGACCAAGGACCCTTCCGCAACATAGCTTCCCGAGGGCGGTGTTCCGAAGCCGGTTCGTTCATGAATAGAAAGGAGAAGGCCACCCAGCCACTTGACTTCTCCTATCCGAAGTGCAGTATCATCCCGAGACAAATTCTATCGAGCAGCACCGGGCAGAAGCCACTCAAAGCTACATTTCCAGATCTCACCGTCAGCAAACAGCAATGAAGAGATGAAGGAATCGGAGAGCAACATGAAAGAGACCCTTGATAAAGCTTGACTTCTGCAGATCCATGCGTTTTTCACTGATTTGGTCACTCAAACGAACATTCGTAGCCGGGCAAATCTGAGAAGTGCGTTTCATTTCTTCGTCACAGGGTTCGGACGGTGCCGAGGCGGCAGATGCTAATAGTGGTTTCACAGTCACCAGATGTGCTAGTTATCTACTCGTACGGTTGCTTCTCTGAAGGAGTTGTTCGAGAAACAGCCAGCTTCTGGACGTAATAAACAACACAATAGTATGTAGCATATTGCTAGCGCGCCCCAAACCTCCTCGCCCGTTCTTCGTTCTGTCCTGGGCTTGCAATTTTTTCTGCCTAAGGTAGTACGATCGGCGGCCGTAGCGTTTCAGGTGGCTTAGCTAATCTAACGACCGATAGATATGCTCCGCGGGCGTCTTAATTGCATCATTTGAGTAAGGGATGCGACGCAAGCTTAGTGCGAAGTTTCACAAGAAACCAGCGGACGAGCCACAACGGCACACTCAAACTTGCTTCAGCACACCAATTGCGCAATGCCAACCAAAAATAAAGCTAACAAGCGCGATGGCCGGTCTCGGAGAACATGTCTAGCCCCCAGCCAGTATTCATAAAGGGAGTCTTGACACAGGGCCCGCTTCACTCACGTACACTCCGTGTCTTTTTGACCATGGGCGTACTTCCAGCACAAACCCCGGACGTTTTACTCCGTATAAATGGTTTCTTGGCGTTCGTTCACGTCCCTCTTCGCAACGCCATCGCCCTCGTGGTCTTTTCTGCCTTGGTGAATTTCTCTTGTGGTTATCGAGCTTTCCCGACACTGACTCCATGGACGTCAGGTGGCACACGCTATATTCAAGCGATGGGAGCCCATGCGCCTTGACGTTGTTTCACCTCTGTTACTCTTCGCTCCTGCAGTCGTGTCGACACTCCTCATCTCTCATTTTGGTGCTCTCACAGGGCTTGTCCTGGGCTTCTCGACCTACTACACTACCCTGCTTTCGTCCATCGTCATCTACCGCCTTTCCCCCTTCCACCCAATTGCTCAGTACCCAGGACCGCTACTGGCCAAGGTCAGTAAGTTCTACCACGTCTCGAAGACCTACTCGGGGAAGCAGCAACAATACATGAGGCAGCTGCATGACAGATACGGCGACATTGTTAGAACCGGTAGGATCCATCAAGTACTAGTTCAAGCGTAAAGTGTTAAAATGTGACCAGGTCCAAATGAGGTGATCATACGTGATGCGTCGTGTATTGTGCCCCTTCTAGGAACACAAGGCTGCCCCAAGGGACCCAGTGAGTTTTATGATGAATTCGTGCAGAGAGCCAAATGAGCTGACCTTTCCTAGTGTACCAGGGGAGGCATCTCTGGCCACAGATCCCTTCACTGATTGGCATGCGGGACCCGAAGGAGCACCAGCGTCGTCGTCGTCCATGGAATCGAGCCTTCAGCACTGCCGCTGTGAAGGACTACGATCCTGTAATCCAGCATCGTGTTCACGGACTGGGTGAAGGGCTTGGCGCTCGGCAGGGAGAGGTACTTGATCTCTCAGATTGGCTTGGCTTTTTCACGTAAGTCCGGCGAAGTCTTTGCAAGTTCGCAGACGCTGACATCTACCCGCAGGTTCGATTTTATGGGAGACTTGGTGTATGTGTGGTCGTGCGCCACAGAAGTTTTTGCCAACTGACATCATCTGTTAGATACGGCGGATGGACCGAAATGATGCGCGAGGGTGGGGACCATAATGGTCTTTGGAGCATCCTTACATCAGGCTTAAAGCACGTCCTCCCAGAGTGTTGCATTCCGAAACCAACTGACATCCGCTCCTCTTCAGAACCTCCTTCGTTTACGAGCACGTCCCATGGTTATCTTACTATGTGAAGAAGCTTCCCGGAGGCGTTGGCGCTGTCAAGACGATGCATGCACTGGCATTTAGTCAGGCAGAGAAACGGTATACCTCAGGTTCCACATCAAGGGACTTATTCTATTACTTGGTATGAATCGTTTTCCTGAACTCTATCAGTTCAACGCTGATATTGCGGTCACAGAGTAATGAAGACGGTACGGAGAAGGTCGATCCCCCTAGGTCCATGGTCATTTCAGATGGTCTTCTTGCCTTGGTCGCCGGCGCAGACACCACGAAGACCGTCCTTGCCGGCACATTCTACTCCATCCTGCTCAACCCGGAGGTGTACAAGTGTCTGCAAGCTGAGGTCGATAAATTTTACCCGCCGGGAGAAAATTCGCTCGACCCCAAGCACTTGCCTGAGATGCAATACCTGGAGGGCGTCATGTATGTGCGGCTCGGCCACTTCTCTGATTACGCTGACCGTGAAATCAGCATGGAAGGTTTGCGGCTCTTCCCTGCGGTACCGAGCGGTAGCCAACGTGCTCCGGAGCCTGGTACAAGAGGGAAGGCCATCGGTCCATAGTACGTCTCTAGCCCTCTTGCCGGAACCCTTGTTGACGTGATGACCCGCAGCTACATCCCCGAAGGAACACAGGCGCGTGTAAGTTGGTTGTGCGTCCACCGCGACTCGCGTAACTTCTCGTACCCGGAGAAGTTTTGGCCTGACCGCTGGCTGATCGCCGAGGGCCAGCAAACGCACACAGAGAAGATCGTGCATGACCCGAACGCGTGGGTACCTTTCTCGTTTGGCCCGGCGAACTGTGTCGGCAAGAAACTCGCGATGCAGGAGATGCGCCTCGTTATCTGCCACCTCATGCAGCGGCTCAACTTCCGCTTCGCGGACGATTACGACCCCGCGCACTATGAGCGCGACCTGGTAGATAGGTTCAATATCGCTGTCCCGCGACTGCCTGTAGTCGTCGAGCGGAGGGATTAGTGTCCCTACCATCTGCTGACTACTACTTACCTCGGTGTATCATTGCAAACGGACGTGTAACCCATTGTATGCTTAGGTCATAGTCAACTAGGTGCGAGGAAGAGCGGGATCCAGGGTACGAGGACATGAGTCATAAGCAGTATGTCATCCGAGAGAATTGCATAAACGCCTACCGCAAGCCGCCCTCCGGCACTTCCTACACTGCGATAGTAAGACAGCCTCAGCTGAGATCTGTCTCCCTGTACTGACAGTGATTTAATATGCACGAGCCACATATTGGTGCAGGCATAGCTCAGCACTAGTGAGCCTCATTGTGTTCCCTTTCAATCGTTGATGCCGATGTCGAAAACGTTGATGTTTGCACATTAAACCACGCAGTGCTCAGCCATACTGAGATCTTGCGGTAGGTATGCGGCCGCATGATGGCGGCGTGTCTGAGCTATCAGATCTAGCCAAAACGCTGGATAAAAAGATATCCATCCTCTACCCTTCTCTCCTCTGGACAGTCACTGCTGATTTTGCACGCCATGGACCGCTGTCCCGTCGAGCTCTGGATGAAGATCATCACCCTCGCCTGCATTGACGGAGGATACACAGGCAGCTCCCTCTCCTTTGTATCCCGTACGATGCGGGACGTTGTGGAGCCTCTGCGTTTCCAATCTGTCTCGCTCATCAGCGAGGAGCAGCAGCTTGCCTTCTCGAACCTACTCCGTGCCCGCGGGCCCTCCCCACCCGTGATCCGCCACCTCCTCGTATTCGTTAAGATGCACCGTGGAGATGAAGCCGAGCCTGATGATGCAGCAAAGACTGTGGGCTTGCAGCAGACTCTCCGCGATATTCTCTCCGTAGCCGCGCCAAATTTAGAGACCCTCGTCGTACACGATACCAGATTCGACCTTGCATCTTCTGGCCTTGTGTTCCCCGCCCTCTGTAACCTCTCGGTGGACGGGCTGGGCTGCAGCTCCGAGACTGTCTCTCGATTCCCATCCCTTCGCCGCCTTCATATCACCTCCGAATACGAGAGCTCCGCCGGTTTCTGGTCGGGTCTCGCACACTCTGCTCCGTCTCTCACCCATTTACGACTCTCTTGTCTCTACCTACTAGACCTATTTACCCCATCTTTCCTTTGCGCTTTTCTCGATTCTCCTGTCGTCGTGGAAGCAGACGAGGACACACCGAGCTCGGAGGAGGGGGCCGCCATTGCGAGGAAGCTGCCCACGCTGAAACATATTATTGTACAGCCCTACCAGCCGAGTATATTTGACGGCTGGTGCGGCAATATTGCGGAGAGACACTTCACGATGCAGAGCGAGCTATGCAAGATTGCGCATGCTTGTGCTCAAAGGCAAGGCATCGGGAAGTTGTACGTGTTGCCCAGTAGCTACGCGTATGACGTCGATGAGGCTCAAAGGGATTGGCTGGACACGATCGAAGGCGGCGACGGGGCCTGGTCTGCCAACACAGAAGAACATACCTCCTATCTGTAACAAGCACCTGGCACGAGGAGCGCGGAGCATATACTGTGCATCTCGTATCGGTCAAGGTGAGCTTCACAAATTTCGCATGTTCACGCGTTCATGGTATGGCTTCGGCAGTCTGGAGCTTTATTTTTGCGAAGCGTGCATGACGAAGACGTAGAGGTGGAAGGTCACATCATATTATTTCTGGAGCAAGATCGTTTGGAGATAAGGCGAGGTCCAGCGTGTATTCTTTCAATACAGTGAGCTCTTTGGCAAAGTACCAGGGTCCCGGCTTCGTATATCTATATATCACACTCGCTACAGAATATAAACGTGCGTTGTTTGCCGCCACGATACTACTACTTGGCTTATCGGCATTTGGATAGAGAGGCTGAATTTACATGTGCAAAACGAACATACGCCCCTTCATTACAGCTACTTCATGAAGGGCACACTTTGGTGATAGTACATGGCTCACAAAATGTGCATATTTCCTGCGGCAACTCTCTTCTTCGACATTACAGCTATCTCTTGCATCGACGTACTTTACTCATCTCGCTTCAACAGCTTGAAGTCGAAAACTACAAGCGTAGTTGTAATTAGTCAAGGAGAAGAGGAAAGTAAAATCACTCACCATCAGGTCTGGAATAGTGTCCAACAACGTCGAGATCGAACTTGCCACGAGCGATCTCGTCCAAATCCAGGTCAGCAGTGAGAATGCCCTCCTGCTTCTTCAATGGACCTGCCAGAGTCTTTCCAAGAGGGCTGATAATGACGCTGCCTCCCGCGATCATAACATTCGGCTCGATCGGGTCATTCTCGTTGGCCACAGCATGCCCTTCAGGGTAATCCTTGTTTTCGGCGTATTGGATTGCTGAGAGGACAAAGCAACGTCCTTCGAGAGCGATGTGGTGCATCGAATGTAGCCAGCCATCACCGTCGTCGATCGTCGGTGCACAATAGATCTGGGTGCCCTGGGAGTAGTAGAACGTGCGGACTAGAGAAATATAGATAAGCGGACAAACGGAGGGTATGAGCCGTAACTACGTACCTAACGGCATGTAGTTCTCCCTGGAGCATTAGTCAGTAATCCTGCGCAACAGCAGTTTTCACAATGGCACCTACCAGCACATAGTTGCCGATATTTTGGCCTTCACGGCCTGTCCTTCACTTTTCGGGATAAATGTAGCCTCGTGGACCGGCATATGTGCCGCATCTCCTTGCCCCCAAACGATTCTTTCCATCACGGTGGGCACCAATTTGCGGTGCTTGGCGACATAACCCTCGACAGGGTCCACGAAGACTGCCGTGCAGTAAAGCGTGCCTAAATGGCGCTCAACTACCCCCACCACCAGAAATACGCCGGTCTCCCGGCTAATGGCTTCCATACGTGTCACGGCCTCCGAGCCGGGAACCTCTATCGCAGAGCTGTGGTATCTGACGAATTCGTCCCTGCCCTCAGGAGTGGGCCAGGAACCGACGCGACAGCCGAACGTGCTGTACCTTGGATAGCCGCCCACACTACGACATGGTGAGCACGATATGCTCGCAAACCACGAAGGAACTCACAAGGCCTCAGGAAATACCGCTAGCCGCGAACCCTCCTGCGCAGCCTGACGCGTGAAGCGGTCGAGCTTGTCGAGTGTATCGGGGAGGGAATACTGCGCGGTGCATGTCTGTACGACAGACGCGCGAATGACGTTCTTTCCTGGCATCTTGCTGCTAGAGGCTTGAATCCGAGGTAAGTTCCTCGCTGCCAACTGCAGCCTAAGCCCTCGCTATTTGAGGATTTGAAGTCGATAAGTTATCGCACGAGTCGAGACCGCGGTGAAATCTCGTGACAGGCAGCAACGCAAACTCGAGGCGGGAGTATGGTTAGGCGAACGGTGTGTACTAAGCGGCCAGCTGGCACCTGGAGCATGCTGACAGCGGATAACAGAAGATGCCTGATAGAAGGGGAACTTCGCACGATCTGATGCCACGTGTCAAGAGGGAAGCCGGAGAAGGCATCCTTTTCGTCCTACGTAGAGATCATACTGTGAGCTCGAGGCGCAGGTGACCAACGGCTGACTTACGTTGCCCTCCACAAGCAGCCTATCCCAAGCATTGTTCGCCAGATTTACATGTAAATTATTTGCAGGGAGCTCGAGGCAGCCCTCGCGTGAAATTTTATGTAGTCTTGCTTCCTATAATCTTCCGTATGACCAAGAGAGCCAGAGTCCTTCAGCACAAAGTTTCAGATAGCCACCCGGGCCCTATTGAGCTTTAAGCTGCTGGAACTTGCGGATGACAGCCTCAATTTTCAGAGATAGTTTGACCATAATCCGCATATCGCCAGATACTCTTCGCTATGAGGCGGATGACCAGCAGGTGTGACGATGACGGAAAAATAGATGGTCTCCGGAAAGCTGCGGTACGTACGTTCACGTAATCTTCCAAAGCCAAAGCAATATCCCAGCAACTCACCAGCCAGCTAGGAAGGTTCGTGTTCAATGACTCAAATCATGTAGAAGATCTCACGATACTAATGGTGCCTTAACCTTATGCGGAACTTATTTTGGCTCCGTATCCCCCATGTCGACTACTCCTGCAGTATTGCTCACATACCATTTGACTAAACGCCTTCGACTGAGGTTGAGGGCTATTCTGATCAAGCTCACCGAACCCACACAGATTGTCAGAAAAAAGGTTTGGACGCTCACGACAATAAGGAGCGAAGCGAAGAGATTATCTGCCAGTAGCCGCTCGACGATCGACTTCAGTAAAGGCTGACTGACTGATAAGTAAATTGGTAAGCCAGGGTACTAATGATAGTCAGCAAATAGCGTGATCCACTTCTCTTACCTCGCTTGCGCTGTTTACTTTGAGCGTCTCCCGACCGACCTTAGGTGCACGTGCACGAGCAAGTTTATGATAGCCCTAAGTTCGCAAGCCTTATGCAATTAAATATCGCTTCTCACATATGCACATGCCATATGCTAGTGCAGATGTAGTCCAGTGAGTCCAGTCACGTTATATCTGATGCTGCCGACGTCGTAAACCATAATACATTCAGTCATAGATCAACTTCTACGCGGTGCAAGTAGTAGCACTAGTCATACCATGAGATCGCGGTAGGTAATGTAATTGTTAACATCATGGCGGCGGCTTCTCTAAGCTATCAAATTTAGTCAAAAGGCTGGATACAGAAGATGTCTCTCCCATGGAGTCCTTTTCTCCTTTGGCTATCCACTGCTGAGCCTATGCGCCATGGACGTGACCGCTGTCTCGTCGAGCTCTGGACGAAGATCATCACCCTCGCCTGCGCAGACAGGGGATACACAGGCCGCTCCCTCTCTCTCGTATCCCGTATGATGCGAGACATTGTGGAACCTGTACACTTCCAATCTGTCTCGCTCGTCCATGAAGAGCAACTGCTCGCCTTCTCAAGCCTGCTCTATGCCCGTCGGCGCTCCCCGCCTGTGACCCGCCACCTCTTCGTATTCGTCAGGGTCAGCTATCGGAGCCGAAGGGCAGCGAAATTCGAGAGTTTGCGCCGGACTATCCACGACATTGTCTCTGTAGCTGCGCCGAATTTGGAGAGCCTCGTCGTGTACGGAGCCAGATCTGACCTTGCGTCCTCCGGCCTCGTGTTCCCCGCTCTCCGCGACCTCGTGATTGGCGGCCTGCATTCCACCCCGAGAATGCCTCCCGTTTCCCTTCCCTTCGCCACTTACATATCCGCCCATTCTTCAGCCGCCCTGGCTTCTGGTCGGTTATCGCGCGCTCTGCCCCGTCTCTCACCCACCTCCGACTCTCCTGCCTCTCCATGAACCCATATGTCTCCCCTTTCCTTCGTGTTCTTCTCGACATCCCTATAACTGGGGAAGACGCTGAAAATATACCAGGCGCGGCGGCCATCGCGGCCATCGCGAAGAAGTTGCCGGCGCTGAAGCAAATTATTGCGCAACCCTACAAGAAGGACTTCTCTGATAGAAGATTGTTTTCACTCGCTCAGAAGCACCCCTCGATGAAGAGCGAGCTGCACAGCATTGTAAATGTGTCCGCTCGAGGGCATGGCAACGGGAAGCTTTACCTGTTGCCCGATAGCGAAGCGTATGACGTTGACGAGGCTCAAAGGGACTGGCTGGAGCTGATCGAAGGTGGTGACGGGCCCTGGTCTGCTGACACAGAAGAATATGCCTCCGGTTCGCCTACCCATGACTAGGAGCACAAGGTATGTGGCGGGTCGTAACGACTATAGTGAGTATATGCAGGCTTCGCACGTTCGTGCTTTAACAGCTAGGTTTCATTGGTCGGGCACTTGGCTTCCACCTGGTCCTGTGAAAGGTGCATAACGAATATCTAGGAGTCGAAAAATTATGATATGTTCTCAGAGTCGTTTGAGTACAGCAAGGTCCCGTATGCTTTGCCCAGTAACTCTATCGATGACATATCTAATCCAGTGTGAGGCTGCTTGGGCAAACGACCAGGAAATCGGACTAGAATGTCTATCTTTAAACCCGTCGAAAAGTATAAATATATATCTTGTCGCTTTCCCAGTGGTGTAGTCGAGACGTCCCGCCTGCGGCCTATGTAGAGATGATACTCGAAGATGGCAATATTTCGGAGAGCACGAAACGAGTCAAGCGACGAGCTCGAGATCTTAACCATATGGTCCACGAAGTGACGTTCCATCTTTCTAGGAGTAGTCGTATGTCAACGAACTCCTCCACCCATAGGCTTTGCTCGCAAGGCTACATCTTTTGCTGGATCAATACCGCGGCGAGCAAGATAGCCGCAGGGACTCCGATGCCGATGGGCAGCACTGAACGCGGCCGCTTGCTGCGCTCATACCCACCATTTTCGATTCGCTCCTCTATGCCTGAGCTGGTAAAGCCGAATAACAGCTGTTCACAATGATATTGAGTAGTTTGTAGAAATAGAGGATATTGTACAACTATAACATGCTGAAGGATCTCAGGATCTTGGTAAGACCTGATGGAAGGTCAAGAACATGCTACGTCATTTAAACCCATTCTGAATACAAGGATTTAGAGCTCGGGAGGTGTGTTGATGAGGCACTAATCGTATGGTCAAGCAACTACCAGACAACCACCATCTCGACATCGAGTACTCACCTCGCCCCGACACTCTGGCCCACTGGACGGAACCCCGCCGCAGGAGCTTTTCCCCTCGCATCGAACGGATTAGGGCTGATATTTGGCTCGGCTTCTTCCCAGATCGGAGTAGGCGGTTGGGCGTGGCCCATGAACGACCGGCTTAGCGAGTGGAAGTGCCGGAAGTCGACGGAGGTCGAAGACCCGCGGAGCTTGTGCAGGCCCTTGGAGATTGGCGCAGGCCGCTCCTTGACGAACTCTTCCGCAGGCGCATTTTGCTCGAGGCGCTGTAGTTCGCGCTTAGCGAGCGTCGCGAGCAGGACGACCGTAGAGATGCCTGTGAGTAGCATTTGGGCGAAGAAGCCGATTTGGTCGATGAGAACGCCTGTTTCATGAGTATCACCAGTGGAAATGTGAGTAGCATGGCTGGAGACGATTTACCATCATATCCTGGTGCGTCTGGCATGACACTCCGTACGCCGGGGATGGCAACAAGAGTAGCCAAAGAGAGAGCGAGATACGTAAGGACGTTCACTATCCCCTCTGTCTTCCACGCGAGTGCGGTGTAAGCCACTGTAGAGTGTGCCAGCATCCAGTTCACACCGAACAGCATCAGCGCAAAGAAGCGGGCTTCGCCGGGACGGACGATAGACAGTTCCAAGTCACGACTTGGAAGCTGGTCCGTACTGCCAGACAGAACAACGTAGCTCGCCGAGTCGCTCGGGGAGACGATGAAGCTGGAGGTGTCGGTTATGGTAAGAAGGCGCACGATAGGGATGGTCTCGCTGGTGTCGGGCGCTACGGCACGGAGAGTCGTTGCAAGCTGGTAAGTGTCGAAGGGATAAAGGCGAGCTTCATGCACATCCAAGGCATGATCGCCGTCAAATTGAACGATATTCTGGATCCTAGACGAGTTATCATATCTCAGCCCAGACGGCAAGAAGAACATGTAGCAGGATGATTACCCAAGTCGATGGCCATTGCTAGAAGTAAACGGTAGTTGTGCCGGGTTGAAGCTGAATTCGGGTTTCTCTGCACTGCATATGATTATCAGCAACAGATTCGAGCAGCATAACAGCTGAAGCCGCACCCGTCCAGGTAAATATCTATAGGGATATTAGGGATCCCGCACAACGAGTCCCCATGCGTTCCTTCCGATCCGGGCAATGTCAAGTTCCTGCCACACGCGACGACCGACCACCGCAACGTTACTGATGGCTCGTCAATATCAACGTCGACGTTATCAGCAATTAAAACAAGCTGAATTCACTAAAATCAGTACCCAGCCTTCGACACTGCAGGATATTCACTTACCCCAGGATTCTGGTCAGCCAGGCTGTCAAGCGTGTCGCGAAAGACTGGTGCATCCTCCGCGCCGATGAAGGCAAACGAGAGGGAGCCGATAAAGAACAGCGATATTACAATCGAGATCCCAACGATGAAAGTCGGGCCCAGAGGAATGACACCGCCAGACCCTCGAACCTTTGGTTTCTCGGGCTTGGGCTTCTCCGGCTCAGGCTTCGTGGACAGTGTCAGGCTCTTCAGGTTCCTAAAATTCCGAAGTTTTCCTTGCTTCCCGAATGACGGCAGAGTAGACTTGGTCGATTTGGAGGTGGATGGCGAAAAACTCGCAGTCGAGGCGGAGGACGAGCTTCGGATGAGGCCTGTAGTGGAGAGAAAGGAGTGACGAGTAGACATGGCGTAAAGAACGTAGGCAAAGAGAGAGTGAGGAGAGAAAAGAGTGAGGTATCGCCTTGGCGGGTGGGCAAAAGCGACATCCGCCACCACCTCAGCCACCCTTTATCAGACTCCACAGTCGGGGAAGCTGAGACCCTGAGAGCGTGCTACCTCGCTAGCGAGGCGTGAGCGTCGTAAAATTGAATGGACAGCGATGTCAGTGGAAGAGTGCGTCCCACAGCAGATTTTCGCACACCAACAAGAGGCACAGAAGTTGACCGTCTGGCATTTTGGTCCTACTGTCGTTTGCAGGTGCGTGAAGACCCGCAGTCATATATCCTGCACCACGTCGCTTGAAAAAGACTAGCGCAACATTAAGCTCGTTGATGAGCTTTTTAATAAGAAAAATGAAGCGACGACGAGCTTGGCGATGGCGATTATATCCGCTCTACCTCCGATGCATCATAGCCAAGGCCGCAGAAGCTGTGTTAAAAAGATAGATGAGGTGAATGCAGCCCTCATATGTATTCCATGTAGAGCTTTCTTCGCTTGCGCTGACGGCAGCGTTGGGCAGTCAATGACTGGGCGGTTTCGTGATCCCACGCAAGCGAGATGCCGGGGTCGAGCGCTTGGGGAGCAGACCCCAAATGGACGGCAAGGCCTGATGGCGTGGTGGGACCCGGAAAACCGGCCAGTCACGGTCATTGAGTGACCAGTCACTGACCGGCACAACGCTGGCTGACTCCGCGCAAGCGCCTTCAAGCGCCCAAGTGTCCAGGATATCTTTGCGATGGCTGCTAATGACCGCCGTGCCATGCGCCGTCCACTCACCTGTCGATGACGCAGCTTGACGTCCTGGTGTTAGGCCGGTCGAGCTGTATGTCGCGTGAGATGAAAAGCCCATGCTGAGTAGGCACAAGCTTAGAATATCGCAGCTTGGTGGAGTAAACGCGGGCAACCCGGATTAGCTACTTATCTCTTGCGAGAACCTCGGACACGATCACATGGTGATGGGTTCTCGGTGTTCTACCCACTCACATGGAACCTTTGGCTAACCTTAGTGATCCGTACTGCTTGCGGGACAATGCGCGTAGGTTCTGCGGGCGGGGAAAGACCGGTGCACCGTGTCAAGCGGGCCTAATTCAGATAACAGGGCCGACGTCTCTGATTTACCGCCGGGTCCCTCGAGGATCGTCGCGATTGTAGATACCTACGCCTCGAGCAAAGACCGCATGACGCCAAGCTCCTCTAGAGGCCCATTCATGTCCCCCTCCGGCCCGTACACCTCGAGAACTCGCGAGGCGATAGACAGGTAATGTCTGGCGGCATCCTCCAGACGTCGGGTGGCGCTTGAGTTCAAGGGTGCCTCGGAGCGTTCTCCAGCTATTATTGCGTTCCATGCCGTCTTCGTCAGTTCCAGAGCGTGCATCCCTGGAGAATCCGTCAGCATTTTGCGATCGGCTTGGCAGGAACACCGAACCTTCGTACCTGTTTGCGGGTAATTCTGAGGATAGAGCACCGCGTAGAGGGCGAGGAGCACGCGGCCTGCCGCCACAGCTCGGTCGTACGGCCCCTCATGGGACGCCCGACTGAACTCCTCCGATAATGTTGGCAGGTAGCCCTCGCCAAGTAACGGGTGCAGTTCGGACGGCAAGCTGCTGAACGCGTCTGCACCCATACTGACAGGTGGTGGAGCCGAAGGGTCGAGTTGCAATACATGTACGGCAACAAAGGCACAAAGCCCTGCCTCGAGCGCACTCAGTCGTTCCGGCGAGGTCGGGAGAGGCGGGATGGGGGCCGAGGCCCTTTGGAAATTGCACAGGGAGCAATTGCACGTAAAGCCATAGCTTTCCTGAAGGGTATTTTGTCTGATGTCGAAAGGCAGTGCAGGGTCGAGATATGGTATCGTTAGCTACAAGGTTGTACATTATAGTATGTTTAAAACATGAATATATCCCTGTTGACACAGCACTCACCTCGTCGCCAAATTCAATATCCCGAAGGGCGACAATCTCCATTCCCATCATCTCCGTTGAGGTGATAACATACTTGGATGCACAATTCGGCACGCATGAATGGTTGAAAAGGCGGCTCGCCAAGGGGAAGACTCCATGTGCATACGAGTTAAGATGTGAGTGAACGATGAAGTTGTTGTTCCCGAAGCGAGCAAACACCTCTTCTATGATGCTCGGCGGAACCGCTGCCGAGTTGGATGGTCGGCAAAGGGAAATTTGCGTCGGGTTTCCACGTGATGCAGGACCCTTGAGCAGGTCGAAGAAATGTGCGACAGCGTCCGAGCGGTGTGTCGCGGCCTCTATACCGAATTCATCTTTCGGAAAGACCTCGAGGAGCAGCTGAGACAGCATCAACGCGTCCGTTCTGTGCCCAGGCGGCATGGCTTGATACTCGATAGATGCAGTGTAGCGATTGTATCGTTTGCAGACCTTGCGGTGGTGGACGTTCCACTGCTTAGTCTGGCCTGGTAAAGCACAGGGGTGATGAGGCGCGACGCTTTCGAGAGCCTAAGGCGAGACATCCGCACAAGCAGTTCCGCAGTACCAGAATGCCGCGCATCCGGTACACTTGAAGAGCTTTTCGCCTTCCGTAGGCACGAGATGGCAGTAGTCGCATCGTCGTCCCTTTTCTGAGGGAATCAAGGTCGTTGCAAGTGCTGGTGCTGCGAGGACAGTCGAGCCTGCTCCGATTGCCCTGCTCGCTGTTGCTTGGGACCTAGCAGTAGGATGTGCGGTCAGATGGATGCTGTCGAAGGCGTACTCCATGCTGGAGAGGTCGGTGACCGCACGAAGCAAGCAGCCGTGGGAAAAAGAGCGCCGGCTTTGTGGCGTGAGAGACTGAATTGATCCCTCAAGCTCAGGCTCAGGTGAGTCCCTCGCGGTTCGTTGGGTACTGTGGATTCCCACAGCATGGGGCCAAAGAATTTGCTGTATACGACAACTTTGCAAGGGGTACGATGTTTACATCTCGAGCTTCATGACGCTAGAATCCGCTTATTCCACTCCATAGTGTGGGAGAAAACCGCGGCTGCACCGCGTTTTCTCATGTAAGAAGCCGCCCCGAGCTTGTGCATTCTGAAGTTGAATTATGGAGCTAGATCGTGTCATAGACACTATTATCTCCCTTCTGCGCAGTCAAGCTGGACGGACATGACCCGCAGCTATACCCTACCCAGACGCCTGATACGACTTGCGGGATTAGTCTGAAATAAGGGACTGCTTCGTAACTCCACTTTGATTATCCTCATTAATAGCATCTGGGATATAGAGCTCCAGGCCTGCAGGCTAGAAGCTGCAGCAGTACAAAGGGCCCCAGAAGCATCCTGCACTGGAGCAAACGGACAGATCTGAAGCTTGACAGGCGTTTATTAAGAACAGCATTAGTACGGAGTATACAAAAAGCCTAGCAATACAGTACTATGTAAGTGATAAGAATATAAATATCAAATACTGCGCAATACCGCGCAATAATTCCTGCCCTTGTAGAGCGGGCACCTTCTCCGGTAAGTTGAATTCCGATAAGGTTGATTAATGTCTATGAGTCCCAAATAGCGCCGAAGGCGGGGATACCTCTACTTGTCATGCCGTACACCACCTTCTGCGTCAGCTTCTGGTTAGAAATGATGCACACCGCCTCGGCATTGAACTCTTTGACCAAGCGGTACGTAAGTTTGACCATATTGGGTTTGCCATGCTTGCGAGTGTCTGCAGCGGGCACGTAAGCGCGTGCGTCATTGCGGGCCAGGGGTAAGACGCACCATAGATGACAGCACCGGGAGAGTGCTGGAGAATCTTGTCGACAAATTCGTCGCCGAAGGTCTGACGCACGTCGGGCGACGTCCACAGGAGCTTGATCGGCCGCCGCTGCTCAAAGATGCATGGAGCGCACGGACCAATGCCGCTCCCTGTCGCCACAAAAACGACGCGGCGGAACAGAGGCGTGATGCGCAGCACTCCGTAGCAGGGGACTCCGCGGACCCACATCTGCTTTGGTGGGCTCACAATCTTGTCGTTTGTCCAATCGCCAGCCCTGGACACCACGAGTGAGAAGCCCTTCTCCTTGGGGGAGGGAATGCACGCGAAGCCGTGCCACTCGAAGAGCGGAGATTCTGAGAGGCGGACGAAGTGCCCGGGCTTAGGGGTGACTGCGCAGTTGATATGAGCATACACGGGCGGCAGAGAGGCGACTGGAAGACGAACCATAGTCGAAGTGCATCTGTACGGCATGCTTAGACATGACAACAGATCTGACATCAACCTTCCGCAAGCGGATCCAGGGGAGAATAATGGAACATGTCATGACAGTGACAAGCCAGAAGGGCGCCGAATGGACTAGAGCATGGCCGAGGCTTTGACCAGGTTGTTTGTAATCGTTCGTCAGAAGCACAACCTGCTTTCTGTTAGTCAAGTGGACAATCTAAGGAGAGGAAGCATACGAACCTGGCACCACACGAGGGCAGTAGCGCTCCATCCCAAGAGGCGATGGCTTCGCTCAAATGCATCGTGGTGTACGCTACGGTTCTTCGGGTACGCGAATAGCACTATGCCTATCAGGAGAGCCAAGATGAAATACGTGACCGCGACGGTCGGGACAGAAGTCTGGTGTTCACGTATTAGTCATCGAAGTCGGAAGTGTCTGCCCGGACTAGCATACCTTTCCCTTCTCCAGCAGTTCTCTGGTTGCCTGAACGGTGAAGGCGATGAGCCACACAAGGCCACTAATTGCGCAGCCAGAGTGTACTGTGGATGCCGGGTTAGTGAAAAGCCTCTACGATACCTACGGGGCGACTTACGGCCGCCGATGTGGTAGACACGAGCGCAGGTCCGGCGAATGAAGAGCGGCCATCTGTCGAATAATAAGCCATCCCGAACATATGAGAATATCAGAGCTACGCACGAGATGGGCGCCGCACATGCTACAGTGAAGAAGATGTTGATGACATAGTCTTGGCGCATCAAGATCGCGCAGAACAGATTTGCTACTACGATCAACCCGAGGTGTTGGGCGTCCGCTCTTCCGGGCCTGGCGAACGTGGCAATCAGGACTGCCATATTTGCGACGAACACAATTCCGAAAAGTCGGCGGTACAGCGAGAAGACCTGGTGACGTAGGTTGCGCATGATCTTGCTCTGGGTCTTGTCCGGTATCTCGTCGTCCTCGTAGCCATCCCAGACATTGCCTTGCTTCTCGAGTACGGGCAGCTGCTCGTAAGCAAGCTTCTTCTCCGAAATCGAGACCTCGCTCTGGTAGACGGGTGGGGGGATAGAGGGCGTGCTGACCGTCTTGGGGGTGCTGCTGCCGTAGAGATCCTTGGTATAAAATGCGGCGTCGACACTGGCGACCTTCTCGGTCGATGATGATGCTGTGGATGGTGTCTCGACCGTCTTCTCCTCGATAAGCGGGGCAAGTGTGGCAGCCTTGAGTGCACGTTTGTCGATCTTGCCATTGCTTCCGAAACCCATAAGCGGTCAGCATAAAGTTTCCAGCGGAGCAAAGCCGTACTCACGCCGTATGTGGCAACTCATCAAGCGCACACCACTTGGTGGGTACTGCGTAGTACGGCTGCACTTCCTTGGTCGCTTCGCTGACGGCATCGAAGCCGACATTAGCGGGAGTGACGAAGCCCCACAGTTCTCCATCAATCAGAAGTGCGACGGCGTCCTTCACAAGCGGACATGTCTAGCACGCATGGTCAGAACAAAAGTATCATGACCTAAAGGGCTACACACCTGCATGGCTGCGGACACTCCATCAAGTTCGACGCGGAATCCCTGTCAAGTGGCGTCAGATACCCTCATGCTTGCACCATGCTTGCATTCCCTCCGCATGCTCACCTTGATCTTGACTTGGTCATCCACGCGCCCCAAATGTTCTAGGGTCCCATCGGAGCGCCATCTGCCGAGGTCTCCGGTGTTGAACATGAAGCTTCTGCAAGACACATGAGCTACTAGACCCTCTTCAGCTGGAATGCGCCTCACCCGTCGTTTGCAAATCGATCCAGCTTGTACCTCTCCGCCGTCTTCTCCGGCAAATCCACGTAGCCGCGAGAGATACCTCCGCCGCCTGCCCACATGACTCCAGGCTGGCCTATAGGAACCGGTTCGAGGTTTTCGTCAAGAATGTAGACATTGTTGTTGGGGGTAGGAGCCCCTATCGAGACAGGTTCTCCGACCTTGTGCAGCTGGACAGTGTTGACAATAGTGATCTGCGAAGACCAATCAACATCAGGAACATCGGATTAGGGTATTAACTTACTTCAGTAGGGCCGCAACTGTTGTAATAATGCGCGGCCGCCGCCCAGCGATCTGCGAGGGCTGACAAAGAGTATCAGCTGCGATCTTCGAGGAACTGCGGCCCTCAGACAAATTACCTTGAGGGCACGGTTCGCCCGCTGTAGCGAGAACTTTGATATTAGGGTAATCCGAAGGATGGTAACGTGCTGCATGAGGATGAGTGACCAATCTGAACAGCCTTGGAAGTGCTCGTACCAATTATACTTGGTGTAGCTAGGTAAAAGAAGCTATGAATATCGGATCTGAAGTCCATCGGAGAGAGCTTACCTATAACGATGTCGACGCTGCAAAGAACTTCTTGCCACTCTTTCGAACTCTTGCCCCGGATACAAAGAGTAGCACCATTGCTAAGACTGCCCAGTGTTTCCTATGAATTTGCAAACTCATTTAACCTTGATGATGCATTGATAGTTAATATGACCCACCCATGCTGCCATGTCAAAAGCAATGTTAAGAAGCTGGGCGACTTGGCGACCGGGCGCCATCTCGACATTACCAGGCGACAGGCAAATCACTTAGGCGCAATATTAGGCTGCTATTTGGCTGCTAAGTTCAACCATACGCACAGTTGGTTACATTGCGATGCATGACTTCGACACCCTTTGGTGTGCCTGTCGTACCTGATAGGCGAGCATGCATTAGCCGCATGAGCACACTTAGACGTAGATAGAGACTTACCGGAAGTGTAGATGATATAGCAAGAGTCATCAGGTGACGAGAGGTCCTCAAGCTTCGAGAAGTCCCCACCCTGGGACTTCATCTCCTCGTCGAGATTGACGCAGGGAAAGTCCACGACGCGGTGAACGTAATCAGTGAGGGTGAGGACAAGTGTGCACTTTGCATTCTCGAGCACGAAGGCCAGTGTGGAATCGGTGACGATGCCGCCGTCCAAGGGGACATAGGCTCCGCCGGCCTTGAGGACAGCCATGATGCCGACGACCATTGGTATTGACCTTTGTACGAGGAGACATACGCGTGCTCCAGGTCGAACACCCATGGCGCGGAGACGATGGGCCAAAGCGTTCGCTCTGCGATCGAGTTCACCGTAGGTGATGGCGTTGCCCAGGTGCTTGGCCGCAATGGCTTGAGCATCCCTGCGAGCATGGTGCTCGAACGCGTGGTGAACGCAATGGAAGGGCGGCTGCTCGCGTTGGCCAAAGCCAAAGCGATGGAAGAGGGACGAGTCGACGGCGAGAGGTGCTGGAATGGAGCCCATTGCACACTGTGCAATATCCAGGAGTTGTTGGAGCACAGTAGCCCATCCTGCAGAACCTCTTATATCGAAGAAGGGGTCCACATAATTCTCCACTGCATCTCCACGGCGGTAGTTGCAACACGAAGGCGCGTGGTTAGCACGATCATCCTGGCAGTGCCTTCGAGCTTGGGCAGGCGACCAGCCTAAACCGACAAACGTCCGCACGGAGGTTAGGTTTGTGACAGTCAAGTCCGACCGACGCGTCTGGCAAGTGCACAGGGACGGTTTCGAGGAGAATAAGCGACCTGGCCGGAATTCATTTGCGGGGCAGATGGTCAGCGTTCGGCTGATGGAAAAGGACCACAAGGTTATGCGGCATATGTCATCCTGCCAAGAGGCCTAACGCAAATGGCAACTGGCTCGAATGTGAATATGCCAGGGCTGCGCGAGCAGTGCATGAGAGCGAAAGGCTGGAGTAGGTAGCGCGCGGGCGTGACTGTGCTGTACGGCGGGCGTGATTGGTCCGTGATGTGACGGGCTCCTGAAATTGTTTCCCAATTAGCATTGCATTGAACACACACTGCCATAAGGCGTGTCTTTTTCCCTCGGCGTCGAAGGCTTCCAGCTTGCATACAACGGACGAGCCCGCGACAAAGACTATTCTGACCGAGATGGCCCCGCACCAAAGCCAACACGTACCTTTCGTGGTGTGAGAGCTCTCACGGGAAACTCAGAGACAGTTCGATGCACCCTGCGCTGTATCGTCACATGTAGAGCAACGCAAGGTATGCATCACCCTCCGATTAAGCAAGGGCGTTGCAAATCTGGCAGGTCCATCCGGGACCCTCCCCATCCCGAGCGCTTTGCTGAGCTCGCCTGCCAGGGTCATTGACCGCAAATTCAACATGCCCCTTGTAACTTGTAGAGGAGGGATTAATGTGGACTAGCTCCAGCGTAGATCGTTCCGATGTCAGGGGTTGCACCGCTTAGCGGAGGCGAGGATTGTGTCAAGTTGCGCTGCGTTGCTCGTCGTGGCCGGAAACAACAAGTGGCGCATCGTCTGATCGGATGCCGGGGGAGCGCCCATGCACGTGTTGCAACAGGGTCATCCTTGTGGCTCGCAGACACTCGCTCAGTTTGCAATTTCATAATTGCACTCAAATTTGCGCATGTCTTTGGAAAGATAGGACGGAGATGTTCGCAATGCGGGCTAAACCATCTCGGAAAAAACAAATGGGGTATGCGGAAAGCTGTTGCTGATACAGGGAAGCACGGCGCAGGAACAGACTTAAGCGTATGAGGTCGCAGCACACGGAGCAAGAACAAAGCATATGAGATCGCAACACACGGAGCATGCAAGCTTGAGAGAAGTCCACGAGGACAGCGATAAAGATTAACTCTTCACCAAGTGGTCCACTTTGATGACGGACTTCTGCTTCGAATCACGAGAGACGCGCCTAGAAGGGGAACATGAGTGTAAACGGAGGAATAACTCGAAGAGGCACACCAGTATTGGTCGATAGAACACGTCTCTCCCAGTTTGCTCAGGAATTCCTCATCGTGTGTGATGATGATGAGCTGAAAGTTTGAATGATGCTTGCGCTCGTTGATAATGCTTAACCGAGATTGTCAGTATGCCACGTCGATACGAAGTTCGAGCGACGTACTCGGCAAGACTCGAGGCAAGCGCGGCAATGTTCTCGGTATCGAGCGCGTTTGTAGGTTCATCCAGAGCCAGAATACCGCAGTTCAGGCCAAAAGAGTCTGCGAGTGCAAGTCGAATGATGATGGACGCCAGCATCTTCTGCCCCGCAGAGCAACGTCCACGCATATCCATCTCAACCTGATCCTTTGTCATAACGACCTGGCACGCAGTTTCAGGGACCAACCAATTCAAAATAGCAAGAACTTTTACCCGATAGTTGTATGACCTCTTGCTTCCAGTAGTGGTTTCACTGTCTGAACAAATCTTGATACCGTCGATATCTGCCAAAGTCTAAATGACACCTTGCTCAATCAACTCCGCTCATACACTCACCCGTTCCCTGATATGTCTTGTTCCAGAGGTATCGCATGGTATCGTTGACCTCCTCCATCTTCAAGGAATGGTACTTCATGATGGCGCTATGACGTGTGAACACCTTCTGGTGGAGACGAAGTGCAGAACTCACATACCTGTCGAGAGCTTTGGCATACTTCTCCAGGTCATTGTTGGCCATGTCCGACAGCTGATAGGCATTAACATTTCGTGATCCTGCGCATAGACAACTCTTCCTATACCTTGACCTTGACCAGCTGGTCCCGATAGCGCTTGTTGACGTCCTTGAACTCTTTTTGAAGATCGCTTTGCAGAGTCTTCAGCTGTTCGTTAGCTGCGGCGATCTGTCCGCCGAGGTGAGCGACCTGTAGGAGAGTTAGCACACACTATTCGCGGAGGTCGCATTGGACAGTACCTTGCCCTGCAACTCGGTCTCCTTCTCCATCTCGAGCATATACCTTTCTTCGAAGAGACGCTTCGCCTTCGCTGCCTCCTCTATGTCGTACTGGTCGATATCAGCTTGAGTGTTGGCGATGTCTTTGACAAGCTTCCTCGCACGTATGTTATCGCGGAGGTTAGACAAGGTCGCGGTGCTTTCGTGAATCCCCTTCGAAATGCCCTCTGCCTCCTTATCCGCCTCGTCCCGTTTGCGGTCCAACTCGGTGATCTGGCTCACAAGCTCTTCGATCTTTGAGGCGCACTCCTTAAGACGGCGGTCGCGCTTGTCCCGAACATACCGCTCGATAGTGCGCTTGAAAGCTTCCAGCTTGTCGATACTGCCGTTGATATCCTGAGCCGCGCTCTGGGCCCGCGCAATCTTCTCGCTCAGCTCCTGATCTGCGACCTGATGCTCCTGCTCTAGCCGCTCGATGGCAGGATCCAAATCCGAGATCTTTGTGTCGAGCTCTTTGATCGTGTTGGCAGCGCTTTCAATGTCCTCCTTCATGCTCTTGATCTGCTCTTCCAGAGATGTCTTCTCGCGAAGTTTGCCCTTGAGGTCGGCCTGTTTCTTCTCGAGTTCGTGCAGCTCTTCCCCGCACCTGGTCAGTGCGCTCCTCTGGCGTTCCTTCTCGGTGGCGAGAGACTTCAGTTGTCGATCAATTTCGTCCCTGCGAGTCGAAATGAGTATCGTCTGACGAAGGGGCAAGATGAGACATACATCTTAGCCTTGAGGGGCTCGGCCTGGGCCTGCACCTCTTCCGCAGTTTTGGTCGAGCCTGAGGTAAGGAGAGCCGTCTCCAACTTCTTGACGTCCCGCTTCAGTACTGACAACTCTCGCTGAATTGCGGAGATACCAGCCGCGCTACGCTTCAACTCGTCAAGCTCGCTCTTCTCTTGGGTTGCATCGTTGACGCGTTGGGTAGCCTAGGCAAGTTCCGCTCAGCGGCCCCGTGGGGCACAAATTCAGAAATACGCACTTCTTCGTCTGCAATCCTCGCTTCGGAGAGTTCACCTTCTTTCCTCCTGATCTGTTTCTCCAATGCTGGGATGTCAATGTTCTTCAGCTTGTCGCGAGTCGTGGCCTTTTGTGAGACGCCCTGTGAGTGCTTCAATATGCGCTCCCACTCCGTCAACTCAGCCTCAAGTTCTTTAATATTGTCCTGGCTGGACTTCGCTAGCTCTTCGTCGACCTAAGCCTCAGAACGATTGAACTGGTGATGGCAGGAAATATTAGTGAATATACTCACCTTGCGCTCGAAAACACGGAGTTCCTGGCTGTTCATCTTTCGATCACACAAGGGGCAGCATTTTTTCTCCTTGCCAAATTTCTCCAGCTCCTGTAACTTTGGACCTCCGCCTTTGGCCGAGGCAACCTCGCTGCAAACACGTTCAGCACTCCCACATACATGTTCAACGCATACTAAATCTTACTTCCTCGAGGAGGCTACCTCATTTTCTGCTTCTAACAGGGCCTTGTATGGGTCTGAGGTGTTGAGCAAGCTGGCTACAGCGTCGATGCCGTTCTTGATCTGCTTGTCAAGCTCTGATAATTCGTAGGTCAACAGATTCCAACACTACCAGTTACGGTGACATACGTGCGATCTCTTCAGACTTCTCCTTAACTTGTGCACGGAGCGACATGAGGGCGGTATCGATCGCTTGGACATCCTTGCTCGCGGCTTTGGCAGCGTTCGTCAACGTGGAAAGCTTCGCGTCCCTTTCCCTATGCGGCGTTCGTCTCTCAGAGTCATCGAGCTAAGAATTCGAGATGACGCACGTAGAGACACGGCTTAACTCTCGTTCCATCGTCTCGGGCACAGCATCAGCGCCGATAAGCCTCTGGAAAATGGGGCTGCTGGCCTCGAGCCTGAAAGGGTGTCAGCCGGCACTAACAGATCGAACCTTGGAATTATAGTGCGACGTACGCTTTCTTGAGCTCAGTCTCCTTGCGCTGCTGTTGCTCACGCTTGACCTTTAATTCGCCTTGTTCAGATGATTGCCTCGCAAGGCTTGCGAGTTCAGTCTGGAGAGCGCTGTGGTGTACATCATGCTCTTTTCTCTGGGCCGTCTTCTCGTTCATACGCTCGTCGAACTTCGCCTCCCTGATAGTCTTCTTGACACGGTCGATACGGTGCTGCGCTTCCTCGATGTCGGCTTCGACCGACGCGTACTCGGATGTAGCGTTCTCGAGGTCACTAAGGTCGCGCTGCTTTGCTTTTATCTGGCTGCGTGATATCGCACTCCGTTCTTCCAGATCCTTCTTGCGTCCTCTATAGCTCTCACGTTCTGAGCGCAATTGTGTGAATTTCGCGTTGTATTCAGCAGACAAGCGCTTTTGCTCGCTCTTTGAACTGTACGTCAGCATTTAAAATAACAGAGGATCGGTGTCGAGATCATACTTGAAGGTCGGCAGATTCGGTGTTGAGACGTCGCTGGGTATCTTCGATGCGCGTGACAAAATCCAGGATCTGCTCTCTATCGAGGGGAGTGGTCTCAAACCCTCTCATGCTGTATTTCGCAGCTAGATCCTTGATGAGCTGCCCGCGCTCTTCCAATACAGCCTCGTGGGCCTTTCAAATGAGATTAGCTGCATGTATGTGGGCTAAAAGAAGAGACTACACACCTTGGCTTGCGCAACGAGTTCGCCATGTTCCTTAAGCTTCTGATTATGCATCCTTCTAGTGTCTTCGAGCTTATCCTTAAGATCCTGAATATGAGCTAGCTGGACGGCCTTCTGCCGTTTCTGCTCGGAGACATGAGTGTCGAAATTGCTGAGCCTCGCCTGCAGCTCCTCGTCCGAGCCTACGGTATCAAGAGATCAATACATAATACAGCGCATGATTTGAGCATAAATAGTCATACCGGCCAACTCTTGTAAATTGTCTTTAAGAGAGTTGAGCTCCTCTTCGTAATGCTGCCTGGTGTTGGTCAAGGTCTCGACTTTAACATAGATCTCACGAAACTTGGTGGAAGACTCGTAAAATTTCTTATTCGAGGCGACTTTTAGCGCATGCTCCTTCTTGAATTCCTCATGTTCGAGAGACTTCGCTGCAATGGACCCTGTTAGCTCCGAAATGCGTGCCTTTAGCTTGTCGGAGTGCGTTTTCTCGCGAGCAAGTGACTCGAGCTTTTCCTTCTCAGCCTTGAGATCCTGAACTTTCTCTTTTCGCAGATCCTTGATGGCAGCTAAGGCTTTGGTGTACCTGATCACTTCGGTCAACCTAGAGCTCGGTTACAGTCAATGGAGAGACGTACTTGGTAGCTTCGAAGATATCATCAAACTTCTTCTTCAGGGCGGAAGGCTCAGCTAACGGCCAGTAAGAATCCTCCTGGTGGCAAAATATGACATTCTCGAGAACAGCTCTGGAGACACCAAGCAGCTGTGGGATTTCCACGTCCATCTCAGCGCATTTGGTCGAGATAGTAGCTCGCTACGTGTCGTCAGATGTGATACAGCCTGTGACATGTGGCATACGCACCTTGCCAGTCCCTTCTGCACCTTTCGTATTCAGAATTCCCTCAAGTGTCTTCATGGTTAAAGCGCCGTTCTTCTTCACAGTGACTGAGAGGTTGCGAGTGGCCTCGATAACAGAACTGTTCGCAGAAGTAAACCTTAGCTTCACTTGCGCTTTCACTTCCTTCTCGTTCGCCAACTTGGGATCGTGAACGAACGCGCCACCACGCGTGTTTGGTGGCTGGTCACCGGTCGCTGCGTACTTCAGGCATTCAATAATCGTAGTTTTTCCACTGCCATTGTGACCGACTATGACAGTAACAGGTGAGAAAAATTGGATAGTCTGAATATCTTTGTCGTCGAAAGAACGTATGCCACGAATTGCGAGCTTGCTGAGGCTCGCCATGGCGGCTATGGTCAGGAGATGTGGCCTAAACCGACGCGCCGCGACAAATGAACGTGTAGCCGGCAGACGCCGGCGTTGGGGGTCGTGGCGTCAGGGCGCTTCATAGGTGTGAGTTTTAACCTAAACTTACTCGGCTTACCAGCTCCTTTGCTCTAACTTTCCCACACTTTATATGGGGCTGAAGAAGTAAGTAATCGTCATTGACTTGACTCACACCGATCAGTGACCGCGCAGCTACCCCGCCACATCTGTTGCCATTCACCACTATGTCGTTCTCTCTCGATTCTTTCGATGATTCCACGGGGTGGGGCGCACCAGTCCAAACAGAGGACGATGTTGTAACTGCTGCTATCAAGAAAGAGAAAACCATCAAGTGAGCGTGACGTGACGGCGTGGACAGTCTCAGGTTAACCACTCCCACGCACAGGGAGATCGCTGCAGCGCAAGAAGATCTCAGAGGTACGCTCGCTGTAGCACCGCGGACATACGGGAATTTTAACCCGGCTTCTCTGAAGCCCTCTTGGCCCGGGTCAAAGCCGTGCAAGCCGATGTGAACAAACTCGCATCGGGCAACGAGACTCTGCAGATGTATATCGATAATCTAACGCTTCAGATGGCAAAGAGGCGATAATACAGTGACAACGTGTACTAGACCGTCAAATCAGATGCAGTCAGCTCGCGGCCCGTCCCTAGTGCTTCCCTTGCGCTCAGAAGCGCATCCCCGCGGTTCATTCCTATTACCCCAGCCAAGTCTAATCTTCTTGTGCCTCTGGATTCATATAACGGAGGTTGTCAACGCTTCGGCCCCGAGGAAACCTCACCAAAGGAATAGGATCTTCGAACTGTATGCCGTGCCGAGCGCTCAGCCTCGGAGGTAATGACGAGCATGCAAGAAGCGACGCCACGTACCGCACGGATAGGCACGACATCGTGATCGAGCACGACGCCCTTCTGTGTGCACTTCTCCTCCAGAGCGGCATAGTTAGTTGCCAGCCGTGCCGAGACATCGCAAGATACGAGGCGCAACTTCGGCAGTTTCTCGATGGCCTCCAGAATTGACGGAGGCAGCACTGAATGCGTGCTCATGAAATGTCGGAACGTCAGATGCTCGAGGGCTGCAGGCAATTCTCCGAGCGGGAGAAAGTCCGATACTTGCGTGAGCATGACCTCGCGCAGCGAGCTGCATCGCCGGAGCAGCGCAGGCACGCCGAAAGTGTGGCGGAAGAGCCGCAGCGAGAGCAGGTGTGCAGTGTGCGCGGCGAGGATTTCGCGATGTGCTCCTTCAGGCGCCGCATGACACTCGAAGATGCGTAGTGTGCCTTGTGAATTGGAGAGTAGCCAACCCATGCCTTCAACGCACGGGGTACGCGCAAGTGAGAGCTCGTACAGGCTCGCGCGTATGGGCATGTCTGTTGGCGGGTGTGCCGCCAGCTCTGTGCCTAAGCGTAGGAAGCGGATGGTAGGCCAAGTGGCCAAGAGCTGGTACAGGATGGGGGATTGGATGCCGCACGAAAGGAGAGCCAGCGCGCGAATGGGCGCAGGGCGCCCTATGATGGCAGGCGCGCCGAGAGCCTCGAGAGTGGAGCTCTGAAACGCATGCACGCCGTGGACGCGTAGTATCAGCTCGTATAGATGGTGGCAATGATAGATGAGCTCGACGAAGATCTCTACGTCGGCAAGATCCCTGATAGCCACTTCTGCGCGACGGACTTGGGCCGCCAGTATCCGTCCATGTTCGGAGCCGGAGAGTAAGGTCGAGCGGAAGATTGCTAGACGATTTTCATGATCCTTGCTGCTAGGTGCACAGACATGGCGGAACAGCAAAGGCTGTGCAACCGCCGACCATGATGTGCAAAGCAGCGTACAAGCACTGAGCGTCCGCCTGTCTGGCTGGCCATTAGCGTCGTAATATGCGTATTCCAGGATGATTGTAGTGAGTTCTGATGGTAGATTAACCGCCATGTTATTGAAATTTTAGCGGCCGCGGTTCGTTTAAGCCGCAACTATATGGCGCACTGTAACACCGGTACCTCAGAGTTTGTCGTGACACATGAAACAAGGCGCACCACCAGATTTACCACAACGTTGAGCCCTCTGCTTGACCTCAATATTCGTTGCTGACGGTGACACAGGACCAGCGTCGCTCATCTGAAGCGCCTTAAAACGGCACATTGTATTGAGACTCAAACTCAAAGCCCGAGCCAAACTGGGTACAACATCGAAGTTTTATTTTACCACTGCGGAGATATTACAACATTATTAACAGGAAATTCTAATAAAGTAGAGCGTCGGAAGACGCATGGCAGGATCTATCCAAGAGCACACAGTGCAGAGTAGAGGCAAATAATCACTTTTGGTTTTACGCGGCACATACCTTCCTAGTCCCCAGCGTCGCCCTGAGAAAGCCCTTCATGTTCATGACCGACGGCTTGACAAGTATCTGACGCGGAACTGCATAGACAGCGCCCTGCGGCAGAGCAGCGACACGCGACACCTGACCAGAGCGTCCAAGCCGCGGACGAGGCCTGAATGAGTCCATGAGGAACTCCTCCCGCAGCTGGTCCGCATCTGCCTCGGAGTTCGTAGCGAGCTTGCGCGCAGGGCTCTGAGGTACCAGCTTGAGCGGTGCAGGCCGACGGCGCGCCTTGCCCTTTGGGCGTACGCCGCCTGTATGGTGCGCCGCGGGCCGTGGCGAGTGCTGAGCGTGTGGGCCAGTGGGCGAGCTTGGCACGGGGAAGGCGTTGAGCAGGAACTCGGGCTTGCGCAGGTGTTTCGCGGCGCGGCGGTTGCGCGCGGGGATCGCAAGCACAGACATTCCAGGCTTGATGGGCGCGGGGGAGAGCAGCACCTGTCCGAACGCTGCGAGGTCGTCGTGCACATCCGTATCGGTGTGCATCGCATACCGCGGGCTGAGGTCCGAGTCCTGTGTCGAGAGGCTCCCGCGGCGCTCCTCGCCCATGGCAGGCTTCGGCGAGCCGAATGAGACCCAGTCGACTGTGTCGTCGATGTCGCCCAAGAGGTGCGCAAACTCCCACTCCTCATCCTGGTCGCGCCACACGCCACCCGCTTCGTCTCTCCATATGTCCCCCACGCCAACCAGCTGCCCGTCAACCTTGACCGCACCAGCAGTCTTCGCCTGGTTATAAGCGTAGTGCTTGATGTGGTGCTCCATGCTCCCGCCGTCCAAGAACTGCGCGAGTGCGAGGCTGTTGGCGAGTGGAGCAGGACGCAGCTTGGCATACTTGGATTTCTTGCTCTTCGCGATGGCCGCGTTGGAGAGCGCGCGGGAACGCTTGAATTCTGCAGATGTACGGGAAGGATTGAATGGAGGAGAGGGAGGAGCTCGCGAACGCGAACGCTTTGCAGGCTTCAGCGACGTGAGAGACTTGGATTGCTTCAGGCCCCGTTTCGCAGGGCTTACAGGCAGAGAAGATGCAGCTGATCGACGCAGCTCAGGCGTGACAGGCGTGCCAGGAAAGCGCACGAATACAGAGGTGTAGCCGAGCGCAGCAAAGTCATGATCCTTAAAGTCATCGGCGGAGGGCGTGATGGCAAAGTAAGAGCCGGAAGCGACGTGACCAGAGCTGATAGATGGACGACGCGAGCCAAGACGAGAGCCTGAAGAGCGGCGGACACCGCAAGGGCTGCGTCTCGGGGAGTAGGGAGCAGGTGATCCAGGATGGACGTCTGCACACCATGCCGTGATGGCAGAGATGGTCGCAGACCGGCGGCGTCCTGGGAGAGGTCGCTCAGGGCTGGTAGACACCTGCGTCGGGGGAGATGGCAGGGGCTGAGTTGGACGCTTCTTTTGGGGAGGCGGCTGAGAGAGGAAGGGATATAATGGCGCTTGCTTGGGTGCGGAGGTCATGATCGCTTCCTGAGTAACGCCAGCGTACATCATCAATATGTTCTACCGAAGAACATATTTAGCTAACAGCTAGAGCAGCGGAGAAAGACACTAACTCGTGAACCAAAGCTTTCAAAGTGGGAAAACCGAATTGTCGAAAGCGTCGAAAGCGTAGGCTGGCGTGATCAGTCAGAAAGATCTGGTCGTGAGTCGGTGACTACGTGTAGAGACTGTGAGGAGTGAGTCGTAAGACGAGGTCTGGGGGTCGTTCGACGCAAGACTAGCTTGGTAGGGATACCATGGCAGACATGGAGGACTTTTAAGCTGGAGCAGGGAACAAAAGTGCCCGAATGTGTGCTTCGGGAACAATAGCCAGGGCGGTCGCTGTGCGGACAAGACTGCACATTGTCTGAGTAAACGCCAGCGAGAAGTTTCAGTGCCACCGGCAAGCTATTGTATAGTGTGAGTATTTGCACAGCATATTCATCCTGCTATCGTAAAGATCCCGTTGGTAACTTGTGCGTGCCTAATACTTGCATAACGAAGGCTGCTGCTTGTTCGCAAACAGAACCAAACTATTGCCGCCGGTCCACGTGTCGTAGACGCCTAGGTGTACGCGTCCGCGTCCGCGTCGCATCTGGAGAGATTCAGAACCCATTCGATTCGGCAGGACTTGTTCGCACTGTCTCACACAATGTCCCAACCCCGCATTGCATTCAAGGCCGGACGGGCCTTCCGTCGCGGAGGCTCAAACTGGGTTGACCCGAACCCCACCAAGGGCGCCATTATACTCCAAGACGGCGACGATGGCTTGCTACACTTTATCTGGAAGAACCGCGCGACGGACAACGTCGAGGAGGTACGGAGTCCGTCTGTTTGCCTTTTTCAAGTGTTCAATTGTTTGCTCTAGGACCTGATCCTCTTCCCTGGTGATGCAAGCTTCGTCAAGGTATCACAATCCGCTTGGGGCAGGACATACGTCCTCAAGTTTTCGTCCTCGGACCAGAGGCATTTCGTGCGTCGCTCGATGATCATTTACTGTTCGATTCTGAGATTCCTTGTAGTTCTGGATGCAGGTGAGTACATCTCTGTACATTGCACGAAGATGGCTGTTCCCCGTCAACCTTGTTTATCTTGCTTTGTTCTGGTGACACATCGATCTTCATGCGCGTGAATCTTTTGCAGTTCCTTCATAACGAAGGAAAACTTGGCAGAGGCGCGACCAGATTGCTCATTCCATCGCTCATTCGCTTAAGAACTTGTCCATGCTGACCTTGTTTCCTCATAGAACGCCGATTCGACCCGCGACGTGGAATTCGTAGAGAACGTGAACCGCCTGCTGGCCGATCCAGAAACCATACCAATATGGGCTTCACACAACCCCCTCCGGCCGGCCGGCCAATCAAGCACGCAGGCCACTCCAGCTGCGGGCCCTTCGCCCGCCCCGGCTCCTCAGCTATCCTCGTAAGTTTCCAGTACAGTTTCCCTGGTGGCGGCTGCTGAACCCTTTGATGACAGGTCTCAGCCTGCTGCAGGCTCGTCTACTGAACGCCAGCCGACGACTGAAGAGCTGGCTCAGCTGCGGCAGATTATGGCCTCCATGGGTAGTACAGCGACCAGCGCCCCAGGTATGTCCATCCCCTGTCCAAAAACCGTTCATCGCTAATCGCAGACTCAACCACCCCAGACTTCCTCCTGCAGGACATCCTCACGCCCGCGAACCTCCAGCCGCTCTTCCGCTCGCACCCCGAGCTCATCCCCGCGCTGTTCCCGCACTTACCCCCCGACCTGCCCGTCGAGCCCTCGCCTGAGGTGCTAGAGCAGATCATCGCCTCGCCGCAGTTCCGTTCGGCCGTGCGCAGCTTTGACGTCGCGCTCTCGACGGGCGCGCTGCAGGGCTTCGTGCGCGCCCTCGGCCTGCCCGAGGAAGCGGGCAACGGCTTCGAAGCGTTCTTGCGCGCCATCCAGGACCAGGCGAACCTTGACCAGGGTGGCAGTGGCGAGCGGATGGACACCGATTAGATTTGGAATGTAATGTGCGATACTTCCGAGTGGTACCCATGACTAGGAGTGGTATACAAACTGAACATACATGACTGGTGAACAAGCAATCCGGGGTGATGAGGGCCATAAATGCTAATGGCTGTGGCTTGCGAGCCACTGGATAATGATGTCTCTAAAGGTTTGTGAGGACGTGCTACAGTCGTTAGAGCTGGACCACTTACAGGTTGTGCTGGCTTTTCATGGAGCACTGGTAACGCGGTCAGCTGACACTGAGAAGAGCTGCCACAGTAAACCTACCGAATAACACTGGGAAAGGTAATCAGGATCGCACGCATATATGAGGAGCATGAAGAGCTTACAGAAACTGGTCTGTTTTGAACTTTGTCCAGATCTCTGTACAACCGTTAGTGCGCCGTCGCTCATAGTCTCTATGAGGAACGTACAGAGCCTTGATCAGCTCTTGCACCGTCGCGTGTCCTTCCAGGTCATTCTTGTTGCCAAGCTGCCGCCCGTACGCGTCAGTATGTGGATGCTGCTGTCCGTAGCTATCCACGCACCACTAGCAACGGCACCCCTTTCAAAGTTGGTTGAGCCAGAAGCTGGTGCAACTCGAAATTGACAGTTTCGAACTTTTCCTTCTGCACACAAGGATCAGTCACGACGACACCGGTTAGAATAAGCGAGAGCGGCTTGCGTCATGCGAGTCCACTACGAAGCTATTGAAATGAGCGTGGCGTAAAGACGTTCTTCGAGAGCGGACTCACACGACTGCATCCACGCCGTTGCAGTAACGGTCCCATATTGAGCGGTATCTGAGGACGTCGTCAGCGCTGCTGCGTCGTGCTGCGGTACAGAGAACATAGGCGACCTTGGTTGACCTGTAGCCGTTTAGCTATAGATGTGACACTTAGAGGGCTGGAGCGCACCAGCGAGATCCCAGATTTTCATTGTGACATTCCCTCTCCGCACTTTGCGGAAATGGAAGGCTACCGTCGGTACAACATCCTCGCTCCACTGCAGGCTTCGTTGAGCTCTCTACGGTGGGGACGACGGTGGGACGCACCTGGCCGTTACCAATAACATTCACGAGCGACGTTTTTCCCGAGGCCTACGATCCCACGATGAGAAGACTGGCTCCGGGACGATAAACGTAATCGAGCGCACCTGAAGGCCTACGATAGTGATCTCGGCAGACTTCGAGAAGAATAGCCTACGCTTGCAGCTCGTTTCAGCGAGATGATCAGCAGATTTCGCGGTCATACTCACCCTGAAAACCAATGCAGTAGAGAGGAGAAGAAGGGCATGTTTGGCGGGCTACGTGAGCGGTGCCTATGATGAACGACCTCATCCACAAGTCGGTCGCTCCGTGCCGCGGCACGAATATGCCGAATACCCCTAACCTTATGTTTGTGCAGACGGTCGCTCCGATTGGCCAAAGTTCGACTGTCAGAGTGCTTCTACGCTCTTGCTCAGACCACGACGTGCCTCAGGCTCGCTCGTTATTCCTCCCTCTTGCACCTGGTCCGGTGCACTAACACGGTGTCGATTTCATCGTAACGACCAAAACTCTGCTGGAAAGCACGCTTCCGACTCAGTTTAGTGCGCGTGTCGCGCAGGACGGCTCGGTATGCCAAACGTTTGAACTTATCTGGTCTGGTTGTTTGACTGTCCGATGCAGGTGCAGCTTCTATGCAGGTCTCATCGCGCGCACTGAGGATACCCACAGCTCGCCTATACACTGGGCTCAGCTGCTTCCACTCGTTTACACCAAGATGCACCGACGTTCATCAGGTATCGACATCCTCTCCGCCGCCAACTCTCACTGTTTCACCATATGACAAAAATTTTGCGGGCCGAGTGGAAGAGACTGCACTCCATATCTTGAGAAAGGAGAAACCCTTGACAGATCGGCTACTCGATCAGCTTCGTGTCAACGTACACAAACAGATAGTGAAGCTGAAGAAACGACACGGCAGCATAGCGATGCCAGGGATTGAAGGGAGCAAGGCAACGATGCTTGATAGAAGGAGAGAAAGAAAGGAGGGGCTGAAGAAGGCGAGGAGAACAGCTCGGACGAGTGCCAAGAAGGCTGTCAGAGAGACGGGGAAGACCAAAGAGAAAGTGAATGTCCAAGCGGTCGTGGGATCACCAGTTACGCAGAAAATGCGGGGCGGGAAATTTTGGACAGAGGGCTGGGGCGAAGACAGTACGTGTCAGTCATAGTGCTTGATCGAGGATATTGAGTATGGCGTGGTAGAGCTCTCACCGCGCTATTCTGCGTCGGAAACCGATGACTTGACACCCTCGTTTGGAGTATTAAACGTAATTCGATCCGTGGATGGCATCATAGACCCTACGGAAGGCACGTTCCATCTTTATGGTATGTTCTTGATTCTTCGCCTGTAGTTCCATACGATGCTCATCCGTCGACTAGATCTGGATCCTCCAACAGAGCAACGTCCAATACCTCGCTTGGCTCACAACCTTGATCGCGCACTCTTCAAGTACGTTCGTACGGTGTAATCATACTTTCGCCACACTCACTCGGTTCCTCCTGTACGCAGTCCCGGTGTCAACTGGTTGCAAGACCCTCGGTCAAGGGTCTTCAATTACACACCATGGCTGGAGAACATTCCTAGGGTGCAAGATTTCGATTTCAGCCGAGTTTCAGGTTTTATCAAGAGCTCGAAGGATGAGGTAAGTTACTCTACGATGGTATATCAGAAGCTAACTTCGTGCAGGATCTCTTCAAACTCGCTAAGGCCAATGGAGCCAAATTCGCTGGCTCAACGTCTTCATTAACGGGCATGCTGAGCCAAATCTATTTTGCTCTCTCGAACGCGAAGGAAGTCGACACTTCAGTGCTGAGTCGACCGTTCTTCCACGAGGTGAACATTTCGTGCCTATAGCCGCTGCCTATTGTTGTCTATAACCTCATCCGCCCCATTTTAGCCGAGGACATTTACTCCTGCGCAGAGATTCCCTACTTCGATTGTGTTGTGGTATCGCAACGGCATTTATTCCACGGACTCATACTCCTACGACCCCACATCCGACAAGAACGTTTTGACATGGATGGTACGTAGTCGAGGAAAATTGTGCTATCCCTGGTCCTTACCGACTCTACGGTGTAGGGAACGATGCTGGAAAAATTCCTGACACTACCTGAACCTGCCTTTAAAAGATTGTTGCGTTCATCTCCTCCACTTACACAGCCTGTTGATCAAAGAAGAGAGACCTGCCGGTATGCGAAGGTACGATGCCTCTGCAATCACCTTGATCATAGCATGATTCTTTTTCTTTTCCCTTTTAGGTTGGCAGTTATGTCATGCGGTCTCAGCTAGACTGTCAGGATCCTCGACTACCTGGTACCGGTATCTTCGACATCAAGACCCGGGCGAGCTTGCCAATTCGTCTGGACCTACTCAACTACGAGGAGAACTCTGGCTATCTAATCCGCCAGACGCACGGCACACTCGAGAGCTTCGAGCGGGAATACTACGATCTCATACGCTCCGCCTTTCTCAAGTATAGGTCCGTGGTCCTCTTGAGGCCGTCTATATCCAGCACTAATGCCATTGTGACAGCTTCCAAGCGCGTATTGGAAACATGGATGGTGTCCTCGTTGCCTATCACAATACTGCGCGCATCTTCGGGTTCCAGTACGTACCGTTAGAGGAGATGGACGAGCGGCTCTTCGGGAATAAGCTGGCCGGTCCTTACGTCTTCGAGAAATGTGTCAAGCTCCTCGAGGTCATTACAGAGGAAATTACGCATCATTTCCCTGAACAGGTACGCTCTCTGGTAAACACTATTACAGTCCGCGCTTACGGCATTTCTATAGCACATCGCGTGTATATGGGAGGCGGACCCGGACGCAGGCGGCCTCTATGTATGGGCTGAGCCCCTGGATTGGGAAGGCGACCCTGAGCAAAAGCCTATCGTCCAGCTAACGGTAAAATTAAGACACTTCCTCGACGACAAGTGTGTTTCTGGCGACAGGGTGGTAGGCCGTGTCCATCAAAAGCCTTGTGAGTTGATCCAGCTTTCGCTTGTCTGCACCTCTGATTGTCGCTGCAGGGTTCGTACACTACCAGATCATGCAGTCGGGCGATAGCATCCAGGCCATCCGCACCCGTCAGCAGGCCGCTCTCGAGAAGCAGCGTGCGGTCTTCGATCTCCCGAATGGTGTCTCCATCGAACAGATGGCGGAAGTCTGGGAGGCAACGGATTTTGGTGGCGTCTCGCAGGCGGCGCGGAGCGCCTTCACCCCGGAGCGTTTCCGCAAACCGAGGCCGTCGATTCTTGCTCTCCGGAAGCTTGCGCAGAGAGGAAAGGAGCAGACCGATAGTGAAAAGAAGCGCTACGCGAACGAGCCCATGGTCATATGGGAGCCGTCTACGGAGACATTCTACGCGGACGTCCCTCGTACGAGTGACCCTCCTGCTGATGATACAAAGAAGGCACATGTCATTGCCTCTACCCAGAAGAAGCCCGTTCCCGTGGCGGACGTCCTTGCAACGCTCAGGGTCGCTATCGAAGGGACAGACAAGAGGCGCGAGGGTAGTCACTATGAGCCACCGAGGAAAGCCTTCGCGGACTTCGTGACAGGGAGTTCAACACCTGACCCGACGGTGGATCATATAAGCCCCAGTCAGGATGCCGAACCGCCCACTTCAAGCTCACAGACGGCCTCCGATTCCGATGCATCTAGCACATCACAAAACTAAGATACAACATCGCCTTTACATTACTGCTTCTTGATATATTATCTACACAATCTGCCCAGCATTTGCTTACACCCACTACCAACGTCGTTTAGCCGGCCACCTTGCGACCGAGAGGAACAGTACCGCTGCCCTCGGCCTCCATCTCAGTATACGCCTCGTCGTCCATCTCGGCTGGCTCTGAGTGATGCTCACGGTGGTCGCGTTCGTCACGCTCAACCTGCTCTCGCATCGTGGCGACATCCTGGTCGACCTTGGTCGCAACGCGGTCGACACCAGCGGCTTCGACGAGCGAGACACGCGCACGGTGGGTAGCGAGATGCGCAGAGCGACGTGGTGGACGCTTAAGCCTGCGACGGGCGACCTGTGCATGTCGTCAGCTTGTGTAAGCCATACCCTCGCAAGCGTTAGACATACCATCACTGGCACCGAACATTTCTGTACATAGTGTCAGCTTAGAGTTTGGATAACAACGCACCACTCTTACCTGGATAAGATAATGCGATGTGGACCCGAGAAGAATACTGGTTAAGGCAATAACATTAGCGGAGAACCGCCACAGAGAAAGGCGCACTTACCCCTTCAGATTACCAAGACCGCGAGAACCGACTATGAGCATTACGGGCTCGACGTAATCGACGATGTCTATAGCTCAAATAAGAGGTCTTTGCTACATGGCAGGTCCAGAGAAGCATACCGAGAAGCATGTGGCGAGCGTTCTTTGCATGCCATGCTTGGCACGAGATCATGACGTTCAAGTGTGTTCGTTGCAACAAGCTAGTCGCCTGACGTACAAGAATGTACGCCATGCCCTGCCGCTACGGAGAAGTTCAGCGCCGGATCGCCGTAAATGAGGCGGTAATGTACCTCTTGCTGAGAACGTAGCTTGGTCATACGATCGTTTGGATTGGGGATCAAGGGATCGACTTTGTCTTCGTTTTCTATAACGGTGACGATGAGCCTACAACATAAACATCAGATTCGTGTTCAGGAAAACGGGTTGGGGACGCACATCTCATCGCCATCCCTGAGAACCGTTCCAATCCCCCACTCCAGTGCATATCTACTCTCGTCACTCAGATCGCTGGCGAGAACATATCGCTTGGGGCGTCTCCCAGACTCCTCGAGGACTTTCTCCGGGTTGCCGTGCGTGACCGTGATGGTGCATCGGTCCCTCTGGAACAGTGGGCGAGAGGTGACAAGTGGGAGCACGTCCTGAGGTCGGGTGGACTTACGACGGCGCGGATTGCGACTGCCGGTGTTCAGCGTAGAGGGGAAGTACGGTTCAGGTGGGATAATGACGTTGACACCTTCGCCAAGGGGATCGGGAATATCGACGGCATCGTTCTCGACACGGTCGGCAGGCACGAGGGCGTTGTGCTCGGTGTTCTTCTCGGTGACGGGGTCGAACTGATCGCCGTCAGTCCAGGACTCATCGTCCGATTCATCGTCATCGTCGCTCTCAGGTGGGGAGTCGTCGTCCGGCTGTCCAACCGAGAAGGCACTGTTGCGTGGTCGGATGCGGTCTACCTCCACGTCGGACTCGACGTCGGACTGTGTCAGGGCCTCGACAGTGGGTGAGGAGTCCCGCGTGCGGGTGCGCCGGAGCCGAAACGGCGACTGACTGCGTGTACGCTGCATCGCGGAGTCGACCTCGTCGTCGTTGCGGCCCGCGAAGGAGGAAGAGCGGGCGCGCGCATTCTCCTTGCCTTTGTCCTTCATGGTCGTGCGACCGCGTTCCTTCTCCTCCCTGTTGCGCGAGAGCGAAAAGCTACCCATCATAGAGGCGAGAGACATCTTGCCAAAGGAGCTGGTGTTGCGAGCGCCGTCGGCACCGTTCTTGGACTGCGGGCGGGAGCCAGTGCGCTCGAAGGAGTTGAGGACAATTTGGGATGCCTGTTGGTTAAGCTCCTCCTTGGTTAGCAAGGACGTCGAACTGGACCAACGTCTGGAACTAGTGCTAGTAGGTGTGACCGGCCTTGAAGCGGACGAGGAGTCGAGCGAAACGGCTGAGTTGGACCGCTTGAAAGGCAGGCCTCCGGTGGAGGGTGTGTGGGTGGACGAGTCCGCGATCGACAGGGGGTGATCGTAAGATAGCTCACGGCCCTCTTGCGGAGTAGGAAGAGCTGTGCTTCCGGACGAGTCCTTCTCCTTGTATTTGCCAATCCAGCTACGCTTGCGCGGTGCGTCTGGCCTCGTCGCTCGGTCCGCCATTGCACTTGATGTGTGGGTGTAAAGACGGTGGACAACTGCTCACCTCGGACCTGCTCGACAGTCTCAAGAGTGTCTGCGGGGAAGGCGAGTCGAGGTTAGAGAGATATTGGGAGGTGAAACAGAGGAAAGCTTCCGCCTGTTGCCAAGGCTGCGCGGTGATCTATGCCCACGATATCAAACATGCTCAATGGCTACGCTCACGAAATCTGCGGCTTCTTCCACTCGTCCTCCCTTTTACTTGCGCAGAGTCGACGTCAGTCGTCACAGCCCTTAGACTTGCTCCAGACTGACATCGTCTTCGGAGATATCCAGGGGAACCAGTCGTGCGATGTCCTGCTACCAGTACATTGTATAAAAAGCAGATAAAAGTAATTATATTCGGCGAAGCTTTGAAACAAGAGCAAACGGTGGTGAGGATGGGGCAAACAGACACAAGGAGCAGGAAACGAATTGACCTTCAGTCTGGCTCCCCCAGTCTACGCAACAGTACTTACCGATCAAAAATGACCACGACAGCAAGGATCGCTTTCACTAACGGGTCAACGACCACATTTTAAAGACCCCCAAGCACAAGGAATATATTATACACAGCGGGCCGCAATATCGACAGCCTGGTTTGGCCGTGTCACAAACAATGAAGTGCTATCGCCGTAGTTCCGAAGTGCGCCACACGCCTTGGTCGGTGCAGCATTCTTCGCTTCTCGCCTTCCGTGTCATAGATCTTTAATATGACTGATTACATGCACAAGTAAGTTTTGTTTTTTTGTGCTCGTATCTACCCTGCACCCCGACACGCCGATATTTGCTCACCTGATTGATGCAGAGCCCTTGTACTTACCACGGTATGGTGCTGCGATCTCTACCTGCCACTAACAAAACAAGCACCGACTCGGAGACCCGCTCCCCGTTCTCGGCGGAGTTCGACAAAGTGTGAGCTCGTCAGATAAAAGGCTGGTCGGTTTCTTACGCTTTCTCGCAGACCCTGCTTAGCTCCTCTTCTCAGTCCGACATGAATTGCTGTCCCGTCGAATTGTGGACAAAGATCACAGCCCTCGCCTGCACGGATGGCGGGTATACCGGGCGCTCGCTGTCCCTCGCGTCGCATAAGATGCACGATGTCGTCGAACCCCTGCGTTATCATTCAGTATCACTCATGGGAAACCGGCGGCTTTTCGCGTTCGCAGCCAGACTTGGATCACTGAAAGCTCCACCCGTCATCCGACACCTCTTCATAGCAGATGTCCATGCCCAGGGTCACAGTCCACAGGAACTGGGGGACCGATTCACAATAGAGCTATGGCAAGAGCTGCAGGCTCAAATCAGACAGGCCACGGCGGATATCAACTTCACGATACGCAACATCCTCACTCTTGTTGCCCCCCGCCTGTACAGTTTGGGTATTCATGGCTGGTATTTTGACCTCACTGTGGACCTTCCCATTTTCCCCCATCTCCACGACATCACGCTTCTGGCGTCACCCTTCGAATGTACTGCAAATACGCACACGCGCTTTCCGTCGCTGCGCCGCCTCCATATTCTGTCACCCCATACTTCACAGACATTTTGGCTTGGGCTGGCGAACTTCGCACCACAAGTTACCCATCTCCGCCTGTCCAACCTTAGCCAGGACTCGCACATATCTTCGTTCCTACGCATCTTGCTGGACACTCCCCCGCCCCCAGGCGCTTCTCGAGAGGATAGTTATTACCTTCCAGACTCACAGGAAGCTCGAGATGCTGCCACCTTGGCTTCGCGGCTGTCCAGTCTGGAGTACATCTATGTGCAGCCGAACGCGTACCGCAATTCCGGATGGTGTGGGACGGGAGCTATTGTGCACGGCGAGATGGTGTGGGGTCTCGAAAGCATCGCGTCCACCACGCCGGGCGTAGGGACGTTTTTCTTGCTTCCCGAGCAGGAATCCTATACCTTCGACGAAGCATGTAAGGATTGGCTAGAGACGGTTGAGGGCGGGGATGGTCCGTGGCCAGGGGGATCAGGAGGCTCCACGTCGGCTTCGGTTCGCGCAAAGTGGCCAGACGAGGGCAGCGCGTACTTTTCCTGGCAGCCTGATCCTCCGCCCATCAGAGTGCCAGCGTCTCCAGTCGGTGATGCCGTCGAGCCAGACACCGTTGTAAGTACACTATACCGGTGTCACAGGATAATCATTGAGCTTGACGACGTTATCAGATATTTGTCCCCCATGTAAGTGTATCAAGCCGTAGCCCCACTATCACTTAGCCCTGCGGGTATCGGCCCCCATTTGTGCGCGTATCTCGAAGTCCTGGTCCTTCTAGGCCTCACTCGCCATTCGTGAGTGTTTCGACTTCGTGGTATGCCTCACTGCTAATGGCTGCGATGCTAGCAGGTTCAGCCCGGTTCCCCACGCGACGGACAAGGTGAGGCGGCAGAACACGTCCATCCACTCCCTGAAGAGGAAGCACATCTCTCTGGGTGCGAAAGACTAACTGAGACGCTAGTCATTCTTGGCTGGTGAGCTAAGATCTGCGCACCGAACTGGCTCATGACTCTATAATACTATTGCATGCGCTGTCTGTCCGCCCGTAATACGTAAAGTGTACACCCGAGATGGTCAGATCAGTCATGACGTGGTGTCCTTGGTCTGTCCACCAGCTCGCCACTTTCGGACCTTGTCTGCCGCATACCGGACGCTCTTTCCAAGGCCTGTGCTCACTATGCCCTTCAGGCTCTGGACTGTCGACGGGTACCGCACAGTGTTGCATATTTCTAAGCCCAGATGAGTGCAAAAATAGCCTGGTGAACGTTGCTTGCTTACCGTGGTGGATCGTGGCCGCGAGATCTGTGTGCCCCGCCATACGCGTCCAATACACGGCTTCGTCCGCCTCTCGCGGGGGAAGATCGGACGCAGCGTACGCACCAGTGACGCGTGTGAGCAAATTTGACGGAAGCTTACGCAAGTGCGCGGCACGTGCATGTGGCGTAATATCCTGCTGGATGGCATGCGAGTGCGGAGACCAGTGCACGCCCGGTAGCGCGACAACAAGTCGGTGGTAGAGCTCCTTGAACTGCGGGCCTTGTTTGCGGACGATGTTACCGACCTTGCCACGATTCTCGCCAGGCAACGCCATGCGCACGTCTCCAGCGTAGCTGAATCCTGCGATGCGTTCGAAGAGCTCTGTCTCCGTGAAGTCTTCGGGAAGCGTCAGCAGCGCAGCGCGGATGGCCGATGTAAGGTTGACTTGCTGCGTAAGGCGAACCCGGGCGTCGTCCTTAATAATACGGATCGGCTTGTGCATGCGCCCGGCGAGGTAGAGCGTCTTCCAGTTGAGGAGGTCGGAACAGAGGTTGTCCACAGTGGTGACTCCGTATTTGATAGTCTACAAGCGGGCAAGATGAACAGAGGCTTCTTGGACATTATGATTGAACTCACCACACCCTTCATGGGGACGAAGGCGTTAAACCAGACACCTGGGTTGATCTCCTGAACGCGCGAGACGAACTCGGAACCAAGCGCGCGCGCGTACAACGGATAGTGTCCGGGGAACTGGTGCATATTGAGGTCGTGCCAGTGCGATGCGTGCGTGACAGCGAACATAAAGTCGAGCATAGGGCCATCCTTCGATTTGGGATTGCTAATCGTATAGCCGTCCTGCTCGAAGACACCTGAGCCATACGCAAAGGCGTATCGGATAGGTGCGTTGAACTGAGCGACAATAGATTCAAGCAAAGCGCGGGTAGAATCAGCTACAGGCAGAATCTGGTTACGGCCGAAGGTCGGCGGTAGGTGAGGGAGGGCTTGTCGTGTGCGCGGTACCGACGGCCGTGGTGCAGGGTCTAGTCGCGTTCGGTTAGGAGTCTTCGCACCTGGTGGGTGAAGTGGAGGAAGATGCGAGTGTGAAGACGTCGAGGCGACCTCCGTCGAGAGCGAGCGAATGGCGGTAATTACATGGCGGGGCTGGCTGCGGTAGACGGTAAAAAGCATTATTATACGAGACCGTAAGGAATGCGAGAGACTAGATGACAGTAATATTCAAAGTATGCAGATTGTTGTCCGTGCATAGAAGAGGGAAGGTGTTTGAAGATGAAGGTGGAGGAAGAGATGTGGGGGTCGGCCAGCCGCTGCCGAAGCCTGGTCCAGCATCACATGTCCCCGCATCAAACGGCGCGCTGGCACCGGGCGCTTCAGTGGACGCAGGATTTCGCGCCTCGCGAAAGTGGTCTGACCTTATCCACTACCCTCCTTCAAACCTACGCCGGCAAACTTCAGCAAGGTTGCTTGCTGTGGTACAAAAGACCCTAGGCTCGCGTCGGATTTTTTAGACGGCTCCACTATGTCTTCGAATACTGGCAAACTCCGCGATGTCTACATCGTCTTCGGTGGGAGCGGTTTCGTTGGCAGGCACATCGTAGAGCAGCTACTGGCCCGTGGAGACACAGTGTCGGTGTTCGACATTGTACAAAAATACCACGACACACCTTTTTACACGGGAGACATCACAGAGGAAGAGCAGGTTGCCGACGCTGTGCACAAGGTATGTTCACAGAACTTGCGGTAGAAGCGGTTATGCTGAACTCCTTCGACAGAGCGGAGCGACGTGCATCTTTCATACAGTGTCTCCCCCGCACGGTTTGCAGGACCCCGCGCTCTACTGGAGAGTCAACGTCGACGGCACTCGCGCGGTCATCAGCTCTGCTCAAGCACTCGGCGTGCGAAAACTCGTCTACACAAGCTCTGCAGGTCTTGTGTTCAATGGAGGTGACCTCATCAATGTTGATGAACGGACGCCACCACCAGCGAAGGCTATGGATGCCTACAATGAGTCTAAAGCGAAGGCGGAAGAGTTGGTCCTTACTGCAAATGGCATTAAGGGTCTGCTCACGGTGTCGCTGCGTCCAGCTGGTATCTTCGGGTATGTTTGTACTCTCATGTTACATCCAGGTTCTTATAAGCATGGGATCAGGCCCGGCGACAGGCAAGGTACCGCTGGGTTCTACGATGTCTGGAAGCGTGGACAGACGCACTGGCAGATCGGGGACAACACGAACCTCTACGACTGGACATATGTCGGCAACGTCGCTCACGCTCATCTGCTCGCAGCCGATAAGTTGGACGAGGAGCCTATCGTCGATCTCTCAGATCCAGCCAAAGTCACAGAAATTGCCTCGGCTTATCTTCCGCCTATTACACTGACTACTGGGACGCACAAAATTCCTACCTCCGAGTCACGACCGCTTGGTCCGTACGTTGAGCCCGCTCCGAATACCGAGCAGATCAAGGCGAACTGGAGCAACCCGGACTACCGGTCCTCGACACTGCGCGAGACTCGCAGAAGCCGCTTTGACCAATTTTCAGAGGGCGCGCTCTCGAATTCGACGTCTACGCCATTCCAAGTCGCAGGCCAGGCGTTCTTCATCTCGAACGGCGAGCCTGTGTACTTCTGGGACTACGCTCGCTCGCTCTTCTACCGCTTCGACAAGCACTTCGGTACGGAGAAGTACAAGAAGAAGCCCATCGTGATGTCGAACACCGTCGGCCTTATGCTTGCGCATGCTGCTGAGTGGTGGGGTTGGCTCAGTGGCAAGCAGCCTGCGTTCACTGTCTACCGCGTGAAGCTCGTCTGCAAGCACAAGTGGCACAACATTGAGAAGGCTCGTAGAGTGCTCGGTTACGAGCCTATCGTCGATTTGGATACGGGCATGCAACGCACTGTTGATGTAAGTGTGACTGAGGTGCTATATTCATCAGAGTACTATACTAATTTGTATGTCAACGCAGTCCTACGTAGAGTGGTTAAATGCCAACCCCGGCAAGGCATAAAATTTGGGATTTCCTTCGGATTTGGTTTCCTGCATATTTCATATACCATATAATCTCATTTACTCTATCTCGCGGAAGCTGCTGGTCTGTAGTGCAAGATATTCTGTCCGTACTGTGCTCAAATCTTGAATTTTGAAGTTTGGCCAGATTCATAAATTCAAAGCCATCAGGTCGCCCGCAAGAGACCCCGGGAGCGACTCGCTTGGGGATTCTCGCTTCATTTCTCGCTTACTTCTAGTCCGCTTCATTCTATTCTGCGCAAGTGAGCTCATCTTCGCCACCACCGACACTAACAGCTGCTATCTGCCTGCGCAGATGTTGTGCAGAGTATCTGCACATAAACCCGCCATGTATTCCCACTAGCACTGCTACCAGCGGTGATCAGGGTCCGTTTCCCCGCAAATGATCCCGAGGTCGCTACCATGTTACTGAGCAGCGAAAGTCCTCCACAACCAACTTGAATCCTTGCACTTGTCTGAAGCCCTTCCCTTTCTCCGCTTGTTCAAGGGTGTTCATCTCATTCCTTCCTTTTCTTGTTCATATACACTGAGACTGTGTACAAGCCTAGTTCTCCTGCTCCCTTCCTTCAGACTACTTTTCAGCGACCCCTTTCAGATTGTTATATATTGAACTGCGACTACAAAATGTCTATTCCGACCTCGCCTGTGCAGACGCAGAGCCCCGTGGAGAGCTACGTCAGTTCTCCTGGAGGGTGCACGCGCACCGTTGCTATTGTCAAGAACCATGCGTTGGAACATAGGTTCGATATCGAGAGTCGAATGACTGAAGCTGGCTTTGAGGTGAGTGACCTTACTCTCTGCTATGTATTGCGGTACGCTCACTAAGCTCTGGAATATGCTCTATTGCTCGTTGCTATGATAGATAGTCAAGGAGCGCCGGCTGGATTTGGACATCGAGAACGACCCAGACACTATGTTTGAGCTTTTTGGAGACGATTATGTCTGTTTTGCCGAGTGCGTATCAGGTCACATAGTCTTGTTTCGCCTCCAGGCCATCATATGTATCCGCGGCGAGGCTGATGAGTTACACTGGTTCGCTCCAGGGGCCCTGTGCGGGTTTATATCCTCGAACGTCGTCGTGCCGTCCAAGTCTGGAAGACTCTCATGGGCCCCTCAGACCCAGAGGTTGCAAGGCAGGAATCTCCGAACTCCATTCGCGCTCTCTTCGGTATCTCTAGCGAACAAAACGCAGTCATGGGTGCCCCAGACGAAGAGTCAGCCGAGATTCAGATCATGTCTATCTTCGCCTCGTCTCCACCTCTCCCCTCCGTCGAACTCCCGGACGTCGGCTCGGACACTTACGTCTCGGATGCGTACACAGAATCTGACACCCAAGTCGCGAGCGAGTCTGTCCACTCCAAGTCGTCCCGCAGCACCACGCGAGCAAAGTCTCCCGCTAGCACCGAAAACGGGAAGTCCAGGTTCCAGGCTCGCCCTCTCCCAGTCACTCATGATAGTCCCGACATCGTCCCTCGTATGTCTCGCGCGGCGGCCCTTCGTATGGGCATCGTCGAAGCCACCACCCCGCCTAAGCGACACCCCGCGACTCCAGAGTCCATCGCGAAGACTTTCGCCGGGGTTCCGGGGCACAAGCGGTCGGAGACTATCACAGTTGCCTCAACTACGCCCCCGGTGTCGCCACCGCGCATGACGCGCGCAGCGTCACTTAGGCTAGGGCTGGCTGTAGAGCCCACGGCGCTGCAGCCCAAAGGAATTGCGAGGGCCAGGTCCTCCGGAGATGCCCCTTCGAACACCTTTGAGGGTGTCCCTGGACACAAGAGACAGGGGAGCATCGCGGTGGCGAGCACTAAGCCGCCTACAGTTCAACCGCGCACGAACCGCAGCGCGGAGTTGCGCGTTAGCAAAGAGGCTGCGCCTCCCCCGTCTTCTTTTAATAGTGAGTTACTAGACGTCTAGTGAAGCTCACATCTCATTATGAACCTAGTTCGCCAAGCATCCACCCTCTCGCGCGCGTCGTCGCGCAGCTCCCTTGACGGCAGTCGCCCGCCGCTTCGCCCCGCTTCGGCTGCTTCCGTCCATGCTACCGCGCCACCACGACCGTTATCGCGTACCGACTCACGGTCGAGCATCACTACCAACGGCAAACTTTTGAACGCATCGTCTGAAGTCAACAGGTCCAACGGCACACCCAACGGCGATGCTGGCGCGCTGAGCCCGAAGGCGCGGCTTAGCACCGGTGCCCCGCCGACTATCGTGCCTCGGACCAACAAGAGCGCTGCTCTGCGCGCCGCGAAGATGGCGCTCGCTTCTGCAGCTGCGCCGTCGAATGGAACGGTCGCCAAGTCACCTACCGTGAAGAAGACTGTCTCTGCTCCTGCGCGCACTACCCTCAGGGCGTGATAGATGTGAGGCAACATTTTGCCTGAAGAAATGCCTTCTCTTTCAAGTTTTCTTCTTCGAGTTTTCAAGGACCCTCGTTTCTTGCGCCGCGTGCTCTGCTTTTCTCTCTGCTCTCTACCACTACGCCGAAATACCCCGTTCTGGCATGAGGCTATCCACATCTGAACACACGTACACCCACAAGCTCTGCTGCAGAGCGTGCTCTATCTTATGCGATAACCCTATCCCCGTATCTATGCGTCTATATGATCCCTATTTTTTTTTTTTTTTCCTTTCCGAATTGATTTAGCTTGGCCCTAGTACTGGTGCTGTTGTATGAATAACATGTGGCGTTATTTTCTTAGCTTTCGTACTGCTAAATCATTGTGGTGCAATTCGCCGCCAGGCTAATGAAGCCAGGCACATTCACGTGGTTAACGATCATGCCACGACGCGGGCGGCTATTTCGCGAGCTATGTCCTCGGCAAGCTGAAGCCAGTTCAGACCTCACAACGACCACCAGCTCCTCCGACATATTCGGCTGAAAATATTACTGTATTTATTCCGATTATCTCAGTGACTAGACCACCCGCCCTCGAACGCAATGCCTGTAGGAATTGAAGCATGGGTTACCCAGATACCCCCCGTGACGAGAGCATGGCTTGCGCTGTCGGTGCTCACGAGTGTAGCTGTTGTGAGTAAGTTGTCTGCTCAGACTTGTATGGCAGTACCTTACCGAACGTAATCCTTTAGCAATGCCAGGTCGTGACGCCGCTGCAGCTCTACGTTAGCTACAAGGCTGCGTTCACGAACATGCAGCTTTGGCGGGTGTTCACAAATTTCTTCTACTTTGGTTCACTCTCGCTAGATTTCGTGTTCCACATGTTCTTCTTGTGAGTGTAAAGCCTGCATCATTCGTGTGAACGTGTCTCAAACGTTGTTTTGTAGCATGCGGTATAGCAGGATGCTAGAAGAGTCATCATTTGCAAACCGCAAGGCGGAGTACGTCTGGCTGTTGATTCAATCCGCCGTGATGTTACTTGTGCGTGTTCAAACTATGCGACTTAGTTTAGACAGCTGAACCTCATTGTAGGCTCTGTCACCGCTAGTGAACCTTCCCTTCCTCTCCTCGCCGCTCGCTTTCGTTCCCATCTACCTCTGGTCACGAAGACATCCAGCGACGCCCATCTCGCTCTTTGGCCTAATAACAATTACGGCTCCATACCTACCCCTCGCTCTCGTCGGTCTTGCGTGGATTTTGAACGGCACTTGGCGCGCAGCGGCTGGAGATTTGGTGGGGTGCGCGGTCGGTCATGTCGGCTGGTTCTTGAGGGATGTCTGGACTCGGGAGATGGTCGGTGGTCCGACGTGGTTCAGCGAGGCGCCTGACGTTTTGTAAGTGCCTTATTCGTGCTGGAGTATGTGACGTGCTAAATGGTGCTTCTTCAGGAAGCGGCTGTTTGGAGAGCTATGAATGCTCCTGGATGCTTACGGCATTCGAGTCTTTAATATGACATTATTGGTTTGATCTGCCTGTTAACATCTCTGGCTGGCTAGAATGAGATCTTGAGCAAAGATCATGTCCAGCTTGCCGCGCACGGGTCAACTCTCGGGTGTCTTCGGGATTGGAAGTATCGCATTCTTATTGAATGTCAGTGGCAGCTATGATGCCAAATTGAACATCATTCGGTGACTGCCTCTTTCGTTTCTTCCACAGATTCCCTCCCCCGACCTTTCACAGCTGTGTTGCTGATTGGTTTGCTCGATCGAGCCTGTGCGTACATATCTGCAAAGATGTTCCCCAATAAGTGCGTCTACCCCCGAATCTCGTATGCAACAGCTCAGTTGAGCTGTCAGCCAGGACTGTTGCCAGCGTGAGGATATCAACTGCACGAAACATGACATGCGTTACGTCCCTGCTGTCTCTACCAAATGTGCCCCCATAGGAACGAGATTTGTTCGAAAAGTTCCGACGTAATTCGAATTTACTCCTTACGATGGATGTGGATATGCGACCTTCATAGGTCGCAAAGTTGCATGATCCCTTTCGGAAGAGCGAGCTCAGAGACATGAGGGATTGAGCGAGATGTCCTTGGGTACCTTCATCATCCTTGATTGCTCTGTGGAACCTTAGAGAGCGCCCCCTTGATTCGGATACCCGTTAGGCAGAATCAGGACATTGAACATCCGTTGAGACAACCTTGCTACGCGATCGCGCCTGCGCCTGCGGAGACTGGAAATCTACGTCAGGTTCGGATTCGCGGGTCGCTGGTGGAGCCCAGTCTGGTGCAGCACCGACTGTTCTTGCGACAGTGTCACTAAGGTTCAAAGCACTAGGTTCAAATTATACACTGGTTTAAAAGCCGTCAATGATTACGGTAGGAAGCGTGATGCTTAGCGTGTAACAGCAGTGCGCGTTAAAGGAGAGGGCCCTGAGGATACACCGGGGGGAATACATTGAACGAGGGGATGCATAGCGCACGCAGGGGCAGTTGGGGCGGGAACAAGTGTTTAAACTCTATGCGGGAGAAAAAGTGGGTAAGTATCAATACAGGAGCCTCTGTTGTGCGACGAGGAAGCAGTGTGTGGATAATATATATGTGAGGGAGTCCATGGTGTGTGTAGCCCGTATTATGGTGTCATGGCCGTTCCTCTGCCCGCTTGTTCAAGTGACGCATTAGCATCTCGTACCTGTAGCAGGGCACGTCAGTCTGAGTGGGCACGAGCAGACGAGCGAACGTACGTGAGCATCGTGACGGCACTGTTGGGCACCGTCCGAACGAGGTTGACCGACAGGCCGCGGTACAACGCCCGCCAACCCTCATTGAGTACGATTGTCTTCGCGGTCGTGATTATTCCAGGCACGCGACCATGGGTATCAATCGAGGCATTCCTCGCGAGCCGGTATGTCTGCAGCCGTGTCCGCAGGACCTCGTGTGGATATGTCACTATCGACGCTGTCATCTTTGCGAGCGACGAGCAGCCGAGGATTTGGTCTGGTGAAAGTTTTTCGGGAGCTCCATCGCCTGACGTACGGCGTTAGAGGCTGAGTCAGTAGGAGGTGCGAAGAAAGTACACACTAGTCCAGCCCTTGAGGAACTCGTATAATGGAAACTGTACGGCGACGTGCGCTATCCCGAGCAGACTAGGAAAGAGTCCCCTGAAGAAGGCACGCCAGCCTTCGGTCCTGTATATTGTTAACGCCGCGTCTAGAGTGTGTTTGTACCGTACTTCTTCTCGTGATTGCGTCTACAATTCGGTCAGCACAAAGCGCGATTTGAACGGGGGAACATACCATAAAGCGAGTTTTGATGACCCAGAGAGGATTTGTACAGAGAGTGCTCGTTGCCCCCGCCGTCATTGCGGAGAAGAGGTGCAGTGTCCAGGGATGCTCGCGATTAAGTGGTTGATATCCCTTGACCTGAGCTGCGGGATATATGTGCCGCATGGCGGGGGCTTCTTGTATCGGCCGCTCACCGAAGTGATTCTTGATACCGTCATAGACGGCGAAGTATATCGCCCATGTCGGGAGATAGCCCAATATTGTCGGACCAAGCCCACGGTAGAGACCGCGGATGCCGTCATGCTTGATGATATTCTTGACTAGGCCTGAGGAGCGCGAAAAGGATGGAGAGACATACGTTGAGCGACGACGGCAGGGACATGCGACCCTCTCAGCAGAACCCCTCACCGACTATACCATGGTACCCCTTCTGACCACTCCGCGTTTGCTGCGCCTGGAGCTTAGTCTTGATAACATCCAGGGGACATGTAGCAATGCTGGCGACTAGACCGCCTCCCGCGCCAGCTGTGTATCGTGTGCAGCGTAACATCCCGAGTGGCGAGAATTACATCACTTCCGTAAGTGCTTTATAGGGCGGTTTGCGCCGAAACCACGCACCGAGCATGCTATTGGTGCTCGAACCCATCTCCCGAGCTCTTCACTTGCGGGGAGGCGCAGGTAGGGAACAAATTAGAGTAAGTCGCAGCAGTATGTGTCTAAGCAAAAGTAAGACTTTGTGGGGCGGGCCCGGTTCTCGTAGCCGCTCGGATGTCGGCGCGCACTGCAGTACCCCTTTTGGTATATTTTCGCGACTTGTCTTCGTCTCACAGCCACGCACCATGATTCAGCTTATCTCGCACTGCGGGGAGCACCGGAAAGTGTTACCTGGTAGATTATCAGCGTTTGACTTACTTTCGTAATGGAACTCTAATTATAACAACAAGTACTCCCGGAGATGGACTCGCCGCCCTACACGCGAGATCATGCACTTTATCACATCTAGCTCGTTCATGTCTCACATTATACAGGACTCTTCATGTGTTCGCATCGCATCCCTCAGAACCTGAGCTGTTCAGGGTACTCTGCTTAGCAAGTGTGACGTCTGGGTGCAGACCCCTGTGCTCATGCGCGATGCGTATATACTCAAGGAAGCAAGGGGTTTGGTACCCACATCCTTCCTGCCTCGATATACCTAGCTGCTCTATATCATGGTTACCGTCTCAGTCAAAGACACCATCCTTGCCCAGTCGGACAAGCCAGTGAAGCTTGAGAGCAGCGACTATTTTCCTCCAGAGTCTGTGAACAAGGACGCTTTCTTCGAGTCGCCTACCACGTATGTCTCTGCTAGCTCCTCCCCGTCGATGAACTGAGCTGACAGCTACTTGCTCCAGCTATACCTGCCCGTGGAAGGGGTGCGTCTGTTCCGGGGACAGATCAGACAAACGCTTACGCTTGTCCAGACATGCTACCTACTACAGTGCCAACGTAAACGGTGCGACTTTGCCAGACGTTGCATGGTAAGCGCGGTGTTGCGTCTTCCTCGAAAGCTGTCCCTCATTTCCCGCGTAGGGCGTACCTCCAACCAAAGCCCGCCGCCGCACAAATTGCAGGTCACTTCGCGTTTGACAAGGCGAGGCATCTTTACGTCTCAGGAGTTCACTACATCTAACGGCATGCGCACAGTCCAGAGTCGACATCGCCTGAGTCTGTGCCGTTCGCGCGTATCTTTGTATGTACACATAATCCAATTGGACGTGCTTTGTCGGCTCCGTGTACAGTCACTCCCCCATAGCAAGCTGCTCGCAGCTTTGCTGCCAGATTGCAACACGTCAGTGCAGCCTGCTACGATCGGTCGAAAGACGCGACCGTCTGAGCTGCGATGATCAACGACACGGTCTCGTCCGACACATGTTCTCCTAACCTTTTCTTGCACAAAGTGCTGTCAAATGTCGGTCCTCATCTCCGCGGCCGGCCATCCAACAATAAGCATTCTCGAGAAGGTTCAGCACACCACGTTGCACGATCGTGATCATGCTTGACATGGGCCTGCTTTCATTCAGACGCCTCACATGCATATGATATCCCTCGAGCTGCAATGCAGCAAAAGTGCGGCTTCTCAGAACCCGTCCATGGGGGTAGCATATGAATTTGAGCCTTCGGCAGAACACCCTCCGTGCCTGTACCGGCACCGACAGTTCCAGACTCGAGGTAGCGCAGAGCCGAGACAGGGTTCAGCGTACACTCCAGTCCACAGACAGACAGTCGCGGCCTATGTCACGGATTTTTAGCATCTAAGAAATCCCATAAACTGTTTATCAAAGAAGAAAAATACAATTGATGGTATCGTGAAGCGATTAGAACGACACATACTTGGCGAGCTAGGGACCGGCACCGACGATGACTTGACACGAAGGGGGGAAGAGAGCTACGTGAAAAGTAAAACGCGAACAAATAAAGAAGACGGCAGGGCGGCGGCGTTGGCGAGGCGGGGGAGAGGCACACGGACGGGCAGACAGACACAGTCGACGTTTCTATGCGCGCATGGTTTTCCATATTGGCTCCTGCAGGAGGCACCACGAACGTGGCAGACGACCGTGATCATAAATACAGTTACAGCGAAAAAGGAGGGTATGGCGCCCGTGCCGCAGGGGAGGGTGTGGCGGCGGGCGAGTTGGATGGTGGACATGGTGTGCAGCAGCAGCGCGTGGGCGACAAGAGTGGCACCGGGACAGATGAATCAGGCGAGGTGCCGTCGTGCTACGGCCGGGGGTAGTCCAGGTTGCGGCAGGGGCGCGGCGCGGCCTGCCAGAGGGAGGTTGGATTCAACGAGTGCGTCGGCCGTGAAGGCGGGCTGTAGGCGATAGTGAACTTTCGCTGGAGCGGTGGTTCCGTGAGAAGCTGGCTGGAAAGCCAATGTCCGTTGTCAAAAAAAAAGGAAGAGCGTGAGAACAGGTGTGCGAAAAAGTGTAAAAGCAGTCCAGGATGTCAACGAAGATACTAAAAAGGGGGAGGATAATGGAGGATGAAGGGCAGACACAGGGCAAGAAGGGGGTGGGAATAATGCACAACCACGGGTGGTAGCTACTGATGATGTCAACATCAACGGCGGTGGTAGAAGAGGGGAGGTGAACGGAGACAAAACCAAGAGAGTAGCGGACCAACCCATGGCAAGGAGGACGAAAGCAGAGGTGGGACATGAAACTGAGAGGATGAGACAGGGCTATCGCGGAAAATCATGCACTGTGTCCCGGTCGTCCGCAGCATCGCTCAGAGTCTCTACCCTTACGCCTCTCGAGGAGCCGACACTCCGAATGTCCCTCCCTTCCTCCGCAAGTTCCCTGTTGATCAGACCAGGGTCTCCACCTGCGTTGAGCGGGTCCGATTCAGGGCTTTCACCTTCTTCTTCTGGCCGACCAGCAAAGTTCGGTTTCCGCAGAGCCGTACGGAATGCATTGGCCATGACAGCCGCGTCTGCACCAGACAAGAAAGCAGCGTCGCTGCCGCGGGACACGGTCGATGCGCCGTCGTGGATCTCGGGTGATCCCGGTCGCTGGTTCGAAGCTGCCGCACCGAAGGCAGAGGCTATGACGGGAGAGGTAGGTTCCCCCGCCTCTGCATTGCGCATCATCGGTGTCGAGGAGCCCATAGACCCCCTGTGAGAAAGGTTGGTCTGGCGTCGTCTCCGTAAGCGCCTCATCATGAAGAAGGTGAGGATACCGCTGGCCAACAGCGCGAGGAAACCAAGAATGACTATCACGGCTATTGCCCAGTGTGGGAATGAAGAGCCTCCATTATCTTGGACGTTACCGCTGCCTGCGCCGGCGCTGCTTGTCGCCGAAGGAATTTCGCCCGTGTTTGAGCCAGTAGAGCCACCAAGCCCGCCTGCGTGAGACAGCGAGGATGCAGATGCGGCCGATGCGGCCGATACTGCAGACGCTGCAGACGCTGAGGCAGCAGATGCCGAGGATAACGACGCGGCGGAAGCAGCAGATGCTGAGGACGCGGCGGCGGCGGCAGAGGTGGACGACATAGACGCGACCACAGAATCGGCGAAGGTCGTCTCTGGAAGCTGATGAGAACAAGTGCGAGGAATAAGTGTTGAAGACAAAAACTTACGAAGGCCAGTGAATATGGGTTGAAGAGTGACATTCTCATCAAGAGTCTGGGAGGCTGGAGTGACGGCCCACTGGAAGAGGAAAGGCAGGTCGCTGCCATTCCACTCATTCCCTCGGTCGCCCCACCAGGAGTCGTTAACTTGTGCCAACTGCAAGCCTGCCTGACCTTGAGGATTGCCTACATTATTCCACTGTAATATTATGTCGTTATGCGAAGGTCCTTGCTCCGTTGCACTTAAAAGATAGATGTTGACCAGGTTCGTTTGCGTGAGCGTGGGTAAGCGAGTGTTCCCTGCGGAGAGTCACATGTTGGCCAGGACGTAGAAGGAACGAAAGATATGACGTACAGACAAAGCTTGAGAACTGATGCTGAGGTACTACGGTGGAAGAGTTGGGGAAACAGGATATAACGTTGTTACCGGAGAAAAATTGGCACTGCTCCTCGGCGGCCTCTGCGCAAGTCTCTCATCAGTTCCGCGTTGGAGAGCGGCGGGAGAGCACATGTCTGCCCGTCAATATTGTGTAGGGAGATGAGTACTTACGGACTGCCGCCTCATCCGGTATGACATCTCCCCCATCCCTGGAATCAATCTGGCGGTCTACATGACCGGAGAGAGATCGACGTCGGCCTTTGCGTATCCTCGAGGACGATGGGATGGGAGCTGGAGCCGGTGACGGTGTCCGTTGTGGCCATGGAGCTTGTCGATCGCGTGTTGGATTGAGCATGTGTTCTTGAAGACGCAGAAGGTCGCCGAGAGGTGCGATGTGACGATGCGTAACAAGGATGTTGTGCGCTTTGTACAGAGGTGCAGCAAATGCGCATACTCTAGAACGGGAGGAAGGAGAGGGCGGAGTGTACCCTGCGCCAAACGAAGGGTCGTGGACGTCGGGAACGACGACGAGGGAGGGTCGCGCGGGGGATCAGGTAGGAGTGTACATCGCCGTTCAGAACAAACGGTCGAAATCGCTGCAACAATTTCCCTGATTACGTAATCCATCCGCCTCCGAGCCGAATCCCTCTTTCTCCTAGGAAAATTTCCCTTGCATCGGAATCATACATAGCTTCACTCTCATGCTAGCACAGACGAGTGCTGTGTGTGCTATGGCCTGGAAAGCCGTGCAGCCTGGTGCGAGCATTTCGAGATTATCGTCCCGGATATGCCTGTTTCGGGGGTTACGTTGTCACGAGTTTCACTGCTGGTGCGATGCCAGTGGTCATCGCGTCGTCACTTTGCCCCGCTTGCCAGAAATAATTGAGGATCTCCACCCGCCCCACCCGCCGCCAGCGAAAACGAGACGCTTGGGGTGTGCCTGTCCTCAGGCCTCAGGGCCGGGTTTCCCGACACCCTTTGCTCGTTGCCTGCCTCATGGCTGTCGATCTCCTCGTGCGTCCTGTTTTCCTCTGGCCTCCAGTACCCCTCCGACGCTTTGCGTGCTCTCTGCTCCGCTTGAGCCAGCCGGACTCAGCGGGCTCAGCACACCGCGACGCCAGCCCCGTATCAGAGTCTGGGCTGTTCCCAGGCTGGTCACACATGGCCGACGTCAGAATACCTCCGACCCGGAACTGAACGCCCAATTTTGGTACCGCGAATCGCCCCTTCTTCATCGTTTGCCGAGTCCTCGCAGTTGTTTTCCTCTTGTTTTCTCCCGACTGCAAATTGCAGACCTCTCGTGTCTAGACCGGGGCAGACAATCTGACCTGCAATATCCACTCAAGGTCATACGCGAGCCTTCTCTGGAGCAGGCCTGATATGAAACGAGCGCGAACCTCGTGTATTGTACGTCTCAAACGGACGAGCTTCTGGGAACTCACGAGGCACGAGGCACAGCGTACCCCTTTGCACTAGGAGGCCGCCAACTCGCTTCAGGACTACTCGATGACAGTCCCAAGCAAACGTCTCTTGGATCGAAGCGAGCGCATGACCTGTAAAGATGTAAAGGCCAAGCCTCATCTCGAGAGTTCCGATGGTATCATGCGCAAAACCACTGTGCACCTAAAGCCTGTCTCACCCCTCATTGGCCTCACCACTCCTTATCGCGCCCACGCGCCTCCTTCGCCCTCTGTCGTGGCGACCAATCGGCGCCTTCCAGCGGTATAGTTTCAAAGTTCGTAAGAGAGGGTGTTTGCGTTCCGGCCTCCCGCGGACGCAATTCCGCTTTCTGTTACTCGGTAGCTTGCACGTCGGTCAAGGGCAAGCTTGCCACCACCTGTCACATACATCCGACACCCTCAAACCTAGCCGCTTCAAACATTCAAATATCTGTGCTTCACACATTACGCACGCTCTCAGGCACGTTGCAGCCATGCGTGTCGCACCGCACCCTTCGCCCCATGTCGGGCTGACGTCACTCCTCTCGATACTCCTGCGAATGTCTCATTCATTATAGCTCGGCTTTGCCACGGTTTGCATCAAGTAGAGGTTTGGGACTTTGCACCATAACTGTTGACCTACTCGTCTCGCTGAACTCCCCGAGCCCGACGAGCGTAGAATTAGCCCGGCAACAGCAGTTTAGAGTCGACGCCGTCCATCTCGATGTTCGTGCCGTGATTGCCGTCACTACGACCGTGGGCTGCAGCGACCGGCAGCAAGTGTTCTATCCGCACATAGCGCTCGTTCAAACAGAAGCAGAGCCCTCCATCTCCTATCCCGTGAAACATGCTGCGACGAGCTTCGCCGCTGACGCATCGTCGCTGCCCATCTTCCGGATATCGCTGAACAATGACTATGTATCAGTCTCTCGCGATACGAAACGTCAAGGCAACCGTTCAGACCGACACATGTGGACGTGCGCGCCGGCAGGGTCATCTCCGGGGCTTCGTTCAGCGCACACCGGGCCGCCTCGGCGGCAACGGCGACGGCGATATGCCGACGACGTTTGAAAAGGACCCGCTTAGGCTCGGCCGCCCTGGCCATGCCAACATACCAACCACCCATGCGTCCCCACCGAGTTGACTGGCCGCGCGCGAGTCCAGGACCCGTTCATGGACTGTTGGATTGACCTCCTGCCAGCTCTGCGTACTTAGGCTCTCTCTCTTGTAGTGGCTGGTCTATTGGAACGGGGTTGCTCAGACGATGGGGGATATGGTACCTCACTCGTACTAATGCAAAGGTTAAACAGAATGCAATACACATAATTGAGAACATACCAAGCTTTCTGATGTGTCGTAACAGTACATAATTAAGTCGACGATCCTTGTTTTCTGGAATACACAGAGCCGCTACAACTCCGCACGTCTCTTGTAATATCCAAGCCGCGATCTCACGCTGACCCTCGCAAACCGCATGGGCTGCGCAACCACCTGATCTCCCAATCCTCGGCCCTTTCGGGCCCTTGTCAGAACGCCACAAAGCTAGCGCTCATCTGATATCGCTGATGGCGAGCGTAAGCGTGTTCGAGGCTCTGACTTTTTTCTCTCGTTTAGTGCGACCTTCTGGTAACGTCTACACGTTTCAGAACTTTTTTGTGCATTTTTTGGGGCGGTCATTGATGTCACTTCTGGGGGTGCGCAGTCAGTAGTCCTCCCCACCGACTTGTAAGCGCCTCCTGCGCGGTAAACTTTGGCAGAGGCAGATACAATGACGGGCGAACGTGAACTCGAACAACAGACTTTGGCATTTAGGTGAGCCAAAGGAGGGGGGTGCGCCGGAGGCCCTGGTTTCCACTACAAGAACACAACGTGTCCTGATTTTATGTATATATAGTATAAGCAATAAATTCATTGGGACGCGATGACATCCTATTATCTCGGGATGAAGGACGGACGTACACTAGTGTATACTTGGGGAAACATTAGAGATCTGCTACAAGGCAACGATGTGTGATGAATAGAATGCGATGTGTGCTGTGGCGAGGCGACAGCGAGGAACGGGGGATATCATGATGACGATAGTCACGAAGCGTTAAGGGGTATGGGATGCAGTCAAGATGTTGTCGATGCCAGAGAGAAGACCCCTATCAGCAGGCCAGATATCACTCGGCACGAATCTTGCGCCGTTTGGGCGGTCGCGCCATCCGGTCGTGGTATTCGTCTTCCTCACTCGAGCTCGGTTCCTCATCCGGGACGTCTATGCCGTACAATAGAATTCTCTTCTCCCGCTCAACCTTGCGAAGGCGAACGAGGGCAGTGGACATGCTCTTGACGAACTCGTTCTGAGCACGCAACCGAAGTCAGCGCGGGACAGGTCAGCAGATGGAAGCGCTAACCTTGACGACCCGGATCTTAGTGCCTGGGGCAGTGGCAGCCCGGAGTAGCTTCTTCTGCTCTTTCACCTGAATGCGAGTTCACATCACTCAAACGGATGCTGTAGACTGTGAGACCCACCTTTCTTTGTTCCGCCTGTAACAGGGCCGTCAGGTGCTTGACCCACTTCTGTAGACTCGTCTCGACCTTGCGCGGTTTTGACGGGCGGTTGGACTCGACCACAATTTTGTCGGTGTCATCTAAAATCATGTCATCATCGCTGTCTGGCACGACATATTGCTTCGTAGACGAGGCTGCACTTCGACGTGGCCTCTTGGTCGATGATGAGGAAGGCTGTGACGAAGACGGTTCAGCAGTCCTGAGCGTCGTGACACTTGTGTCTTGCTCAGCCTGAACTTCAGGCGCTATCCTGATTTTGATGCTCGCGCGTGAATATCGCCTCTTTAGCCCCTTCTTGCTCGGAGTCGCACTGAGATCCTCTAGGGTCAAGTAGTCTTCTTCGGAGAAGTAGAAGTCGGTGCCGTGTTCAATGTCGTCGATCATAGCAAGCGGCTGGCACAGCATGAGATTTACAATGAGTACAGGTGTCGGAACACGTACCGGTGCACGGCCTAGACGGGCCAACAGCTTGAAATGCTTGAGAGTAAGCGGAACACGATGCGCAGACGGCTCAGGTTGATCATGTGAGACATAGGGCTGCACAACCTGCTCACAAGCTGAGATGAGACGAGGTTTTTGCAGGCAGCTTAGGATATTACCCACCATCGGGTTGGTGTTAAGTATGGCATGAATCATAAACACCGCAGTGACCGCACTACGTAAACCATAGTGCATCCGGATCCACTTCCCGACCATCATATTGTCTGTCCAGGGTCGTCAGACTCGGTTCTCTGCCGCGGCAGTGTCCTAGTTTGCTCACCTGCAGGATAGGTCAGTTTACCGCCCGTCATGTCTTCATAGTGATGATATGCGTCATAAATCCGCCGTCTGCCGCGCGTGGGCCCTAGCTCGTCCTTCCTAATCATGGTTGACAGTGTGTCCTGACCAATTCGGCCCTACGTCGCGGGAGAACAATGAGATAGTCATCCCTCACTGCAAAACCGCCGCTTACGCACGAGATCGTCGTCGTCTCTCTCGTCTCGGAGATGTAAGCCGCCACGGCCTTCCTCGTTGAGCAAACTATTCTCCGCATCGACAATCGACAAGGCTTGAATGCCGCCCAGTCCCTGGTGCCGTAGCTCCGCGACTCGTTCCGAGAGGCTCATTCGCGGCATGACGAAGTCCTGGCACAGGGGCGCCTCGTACATCATGCAAGCTCTGGTGTCGTGGCAAGGCGGCAGGTCCCCGACATCCAGCTTGAATTTTCGTAATACCTGGACGCGAATGGCATCATCCAGAGATGGATAGAGTTCGACTAGCCTTTGTAGCATCCTTCCCTTGCAACCAACCTCCAGACACCTAAAGGCCACTTCTTGAACAAGTTCCTCGATCTCGGCTTTCGACATGCTCAGAGCCACACGACCGTACTCGAGTACGCCCCTGAAACGGTCCGGGGCGAACTTGCTGGCGAGAACCTCGACAAGGTCAGATCGTTGCACTGGGTCTAGGTTGATGGCCTGGATCTTCTCTGCGCAATTGTCCACATAGTTACGTGGAGGGTTGTCACCCATCGGCGGGCCAATTGTAAAGGTGCTCTCTGAGAGGAACACCTGCAAAAGCAACACAAGTCGCACATTACGATCGTTGGATGGAAAGTCCTGAAAGAGTTGCCGTAGAACGCAGAATAAATGGGGGAACGTTATTGAGCGAGTCCTGGAGAACGTCTGGGAATGATGTCAGTTATACCAAATGCATTCTGGGTGAGAGTTGTGGCACCTTAATGAGGTCCTCGACGACCAGTCTATTAGCTAGTCAGAAGAGTGACGTCAACGTGATACACTGAAGACGCACGCCAAATCAAACTTCAAGAGTCCCTCCTTGTTTAACCTCTTCAACGCGTTGTACGCGGTCTCGTTCTGCTTTGCTTCCATGCATATCTCTGCGGCAACAGTACGGCTGACATACATCCTACGTATATGCGCTTGAATACGTGTCTGATACACCGCCCTGCCCGATGGTGCACTTACCGCGCGTTAAGCCTCGACAGCTCACGTACGTTGTTCACGATTTCTTCCGTCCGCTCCTCAAAGGTCGCTGCGGGTTTCTCGAACATCTTCCGGAAGACGAAATTTCGATACTGGGTACCACTTGAGTAATCTGGCAAGGGAGGGGGAATAGATGACGGACCTTATGATCCATCGTGAAACCATTAGCCTGTGCATACGGCAACAAGCTCGGTTCTATCGCAAGAACGAGAGGGAAGTTCGCCATCATCGCATCCTATGAAGAGGCTTGCTTTAGTCATTCCGAGCGGCAGGGAGGAACCGGTGTGCGCACTCTGTGACAAAAGGGTATGAACTATATACGAAGTCAGGTGACCCGGACTACAAGTTCCGCCGCGATGCATACCTTGTACTTCTCCAAGATTTCCTGCAAGCTTTCTAACTTCACTTTTCTCTGCTCCACGGGGAATCGGCTGTCCTTAATGGCCGCCTCCATGATCGCACCATCGTCGTCCCCCTTGCCGAACGGTACGTTCCCGAAGAGCCTGACAGCCGCCATCTGGAAGTACGTAAAGACGTCCAAGCTCATTGAGCGGACCCACAGCGTCTTGATGAATGGAACTTGAGCGGTACGATAATAGTGATGCATGGCACATTGGACCAAGTACCGAGATATGTGAGCGCCGGACGACAGGAGTGTCTGAGTTCGAAAGGGCTATTAGGCGGGGCCACGAGCGACAGAGGGCGTCGCAGAGAACCGATACTACTTACATCGATGACCTGAGGAGTCATGAGCCTTCCCCTCCCGAGGGCCCAGTACAGAGCCTGTATCCGACCATAGCGGCAGAGGAAGTACGTCGAGCGCACGTATGGGTCTTGAGTAAAAGTATAGTAGTGTTTTGATGTGAGGCTGAGGTTGACAGGGTCGTCGAGCTCATTGACGATGAGCTGAATAATTTCGCCTGCAGTGCCGTGAAATCCATCCAAAAATCCGGTAAAATCCAGAACAGGGAAATAATTTCAAGCGAGGTCGTGAGAGCCGTTTAGCACGCTGTCATGCCAGCAAGACGTAACGCTTACCGCAGAGCCGATCCATACTACTGACGTCGAGTGCAGGGGGGCCAACTCGGGTCGACGTCGGGGGCGGTGGTGAGCAATGGTGGACTGCCTCGCAGAGATGATGACGGTTCAGTAACCCGGGGGGAGCGCCCGTGCGTGCGGAGGTCTGCCCGAAGTAGCCGGCGTCTAAATGATGGAGATGGCACGGGGATGCCCTCGGTGAGCCTAAAGGTTAATATGCCCCAGAATGCCTGGATATTCCGGATGTACATCTGGATATCCAGTCAGACCGCATGCCGTCTCTGTCAGACAGTATAGAAAGCTGGATACCTAGAGCTCTGTATAGACAGTTCCTAGAACAGATATTGGATAACTAGAATCTACCCTGGTAGTATCCCAGCCAGATACGCCACGGCAGCCTCCAACTCCGCTGTTGCAACGAGGGAAGGAAGACATTAAAGTTTGCTTTCTCAAGCCGCTCCAAATATACTGCGGCCGGTACCTACGTAGAGTGTTCAGTCGGGTCAATGAGGAGTGGCGAAACCTGTGACCCTACCGCATTCAGAAACACCGGCTTAACCGGACCCGGTACTTTGCCCGCAGTGTCCTTGAACATCTCCCTTGCTGTAATCAGATGGTCGTTGGCCAACGTGGCGAACTCATATGCAGCGTCGTCGATCCCTTTGGCGTTTCCTCCTTGCCGGAAAACCTCTTCCTGGCTTACGCCATGTCGTGCCGTAACCTCTGCAGGGATGACCATGTGTCGTTTCGAAGCGTGGTACGGCAGAGCGCGAAGAAGCGTCGCAATAGTATGCGCAACGCCTACGTGGGACGCTGCGTGGGAGAAGTCGTGAGAAGACGACTGATTGAGCATGGATAGGAGGAGGTAGAGGAATGTGGATGACGTCGACTCGGCATGCGCGGTCAGACTATCTAGTGTAAGGTGCGTTGGGGTCTGTAGCTCTGCGTCCTAGAAAAGTGACATGATGTCTGCCCATTGCAGACAGAACTGGATAGGTACACGCACCCTAGCCTCTATCATCCTTTTCAAGTGGTACATAGGGAGATTGAATCTTCCCGAGGCTTCATACAACGCAAGTGCGATTGGGTGCTTTGGCGGCCTGCCCTACGTAATTGCAGCGGTCAGTATGAGCATGCAAGGCGAACCGGCACACGCACGTCGGAGAAATCCTTGAGAGCGTCCTTCCAGAACTGCATCCGCATGTTTCCAATTATTGAGTTTGAGACGGATTCTTGCATCGTGGATAGCTCGATCTGAACGGCGGAGTGCACATGGACGGTATTCATAACCAACAGAGGTCAACTACACTCACGTAGAATGCCCTGAGGGCATAAAATGCATCTCGATGATCCCGAGGATAAACTTGAGACACGAGATACGCCTCATAGTCACGCTTCTGGACGAAATCCCTGCAATAAGAGCGAGGGCCGTTTGTTCCGCTCTCTGAAGCGGCTACATTGGTAGCTGTCCGCACACTAGATGCAACTGCGGGCAAGGGCAATTGAGGCTGACGAGCCTGTCGCAGACAGAGCTGGCGTGCCAGCATTTTAGGTTGTGATGGTGGTGAGAGACAAGTTGGGACGCGTTCGAACTTCGCGCACGCTCCTCGCCGCGACGGACGTCACAGACATGTGACCGCCGCTCGGGAACCGCTAAAGGTCGCATCTTTCGTCCGAACCGCTCCCCGATTCATTCTCTGTTGGAATAGACTTGGGACATGGCATCTGGGCACTCAGGTTTGCAAAAGGAGGTGCTCGCTTTGTATCGGAGGTATGGGCCCCGCATTCGAGGCCAAGTCACGAAGCTGAGAAACACTATTGCAGCGCTCTTCGGATGGTCCGGACGAAACCAGTCGCAACACGCCCAAGCTTCCGTTTGTTCATCCGCTATAGTTTTAAGACGCAAGCGGAATCAATATCGCCTCGTGATGTCTCGGCAATAGAGCATCTTCTGCGGAAGGGAAGACGACAACTAGAAACGTACGAAGACATCAAAGTACGGAACATTTGGGTCAGTAAAGCCATGCAGGAATGGGAAGAGAAAGAGGGCGGACGACGAAATCTCCAGTAACAATAATCTCTTCATCTTTTAACGGACGAGAGCGGAATTCCGGCGTATGAGATTAGAACCAGGCAGCTAGCACACAACGGCACACGACAGAGGAAGCTAATGAGAACACATGTCATGATGAAACCCGCCCGGAGTCTATGACCGCTTCGCATTCTGTGATGTGCCGGCGAATAGTCCCTCGACAGCAAGGTTAACTTCTTGCGGAGGTGCCTCCGGGGCAAGTTTTTGCTCCGCCTTTTGCTCTTCTCGTGCGATCTGCTCCTCCTGCTCCTCCCCTTGCTTCTCCTCTTCACTCAGCTTTGCCAGCCTCTTCTCCTCAAGAATCTTGATTGCTTGTTCATAGGCCAGGCGTCGTTCGTTGATCACGTACTTAATACGTGCCATGGATTTGCGGACCTACAAGGAACTGAGGCCCTTGAGCCGGCTATAAGAGATACCAAAGACATACCTTGTGCGACTGTACAGAAGTTGACATCCGCGATGCAAAGATACCTAGTCTTCTTCCTTCCTCCTGCTGTGTGGCGAGAAGGTTCCGTTCCCGCAAGAGAACATACCAGAGGGTGTGCAAGTCCTTGAAGCTCTTGCGGCGGAGTTCAGCAGCGGACCATGGCCGGCCTAAGTCACGTAGCAATCTCGGTCATTCCGAAAATATGCGATACTGAAGGGATCGCACTTGAGCCAAGATTGGCATGCTCGCGGGTCTGCAGAGTCTCGTACTCTACCTGTCCGTCCTTCTCGATCCGACGGAAGAATCCATAGAGCCCGTGATTGGAATCACCCTCGACACCAAGATGCGGACGCGAGTGGCCTTCGGGTATCCTCGCTTTCGACCCACTGAGAGCGACAGCCTTTGAGGCGGTAAGAGTGTCCGGAAGGACCGACGCGAAAGTTCGATTTTGAGCACCGACGACGGTAGCAGGAGTTAATGATCTTAAAGAAAAGCAGGCGAGACCCTGCAGGGATCGTGGCAGTGTCGAGAAAAGCATTCTGGAGGGAAACCGGCCCCGCTGGACGCGTTTGTGACCTGGTTCGGAGGAGTTTTTCTTTTCTGACAGCTCGATAAGCCTTCTTGACAGGCTTGCATATCGGCACTGTACCACGGAGCGGGACAGAATCCTCGGTCTTGCCCACCTACATGAACGCGTCTCTCGACTGTCTGTGGCCATAGCTCGTAAGGGGAGTGTCTCCTGAAGATCGCCTCGTTCTGTCCCTCTACTGGGAAGCGGATGCCCCCTTTGCCCTTTGGCTTGAATCTTGGAGCCACCTCGTGCATGTGAATGTCAAACTCCTATGAACACATTTTCCCCACAATTAATGCCTCCCTGTGTCATCCAAGGTCGCCCGGCCAAGCGCGGCTTTATCACGTCGGGTACGCCATCTGCATCGGGATGTGCAAGTACATCCGTACCGAAACGGCGTCAGGGGACCTCACATACGCTGCTGTGTTGCAACTTGGCAATCCCCGCGGTCGCAAAAATCTTGTAGTCCTGTGCGATATATCGAAGAGAGTGCAAGGATACCGAACTTTGTTGCATGTGAAATGGACGTGACGAGCAATTGACGTCGATTGCCATGAGCATCATCGTAAGCTAGCTAGCGAACCAGCGCAAGCGTGTCAAGCGCCAGCGCCTAGACCGAGGAGCGTGGGAGATTTATAAGGTTAGGGTTTCTGGGCCATGGCCCGCTCTGCACGATGGAGTCTGTGATATAGTTGAATAATCCGGAATTGTCGATGATTGCTCCGCTCGTTAACCTATCAGACAACCAACCTTCGACTTGCTCCTATAACGTCCAAACACGGTTCGACCAGTGTCGTTCGGAGTCGATGGCGCTAGGCGATAGATCCAGCGGTAGCCCGAGGGTGTTGAAGGTTATACAAGGCGAGAACCGGCTCAAGTTTGTATACAGACTGCCAGGTAGGTCGATACTAGCCCACTCCTCCAGCCGCTGAGCTTCATCCTCACCGCATCCTTCTTGTCTCAGGCACAGGACATCGAGGCAGACGTACTCGGCTCCCATGTTCAGTAGCTCGACGCGAACGTGGTCAAGAGTCGTTTGGTGTGAGATAGGGATGGGTCACTGCTCTCCGTTGATTTTTGTTGTAATGTGGGAGAGCTATTTAGGAGTAACCTAGCTGTGAGAAATCGGCCAGTTGGCTCTGATAAGGCCCTCTTCACGTCTTCGGGTCACGGCTAGTCCCTCACTCTTAGTCCACCGCCTTTGCCGTCTCTCCATTCGCCCATCATACCTCGTCAACTTGTGCATGTGGGTCCACAGGCAATACCAAACGACATAGCGGATATCCCGTGCAAAGACATGAGCGCGGATGACCTCCTTGGTCGGCTCAATTGGGTCCTTGGCACCTCTCACGCCCTCGATGAGTCCAGCATACGCGCAAGCGTGGAAGGCCTCCTTCAGACCTCGCACGACTTTGGGGAAGCATGTGCATTGTCCGCATGCTTTGGCCCCGGGAGGAATCGACTTGTAACCCGCAGCCCGAGGGCTGCAATCTCACAGATATCTTTAAACGCATTCATTCCACCCGCAAATACAAAGTACAGGCCGACAACCGTCGAAAGAATGCTATCTGCGGGTCGACGGATCACTCGGTTGTACCGCCACGGCGTGTCTGGGATTTATGGAGCAACCGTGTTGTCCCCACTCCTGCTGTCCAGCGCCGCGAACTTTTCTTTCGTGAACGAGATATCTTCGAGCTCAGTCATCTTCACCACCCCCAGATGACCACGTGATGCCTGCGACAGTCTTGAGTGGCCTCTCCTCTCTCGCGAAAGCGGGCCCTAAGACCCTCAAAAAGCTCCACGTTACTCCCAGACCCGTCTTGCGTTAGTCGATTGAAGTACCAACCCCCTGGAAACAGCCGGCTATGAATCGGCCGCGGTCCACATATTCTATGTTGCAAGCTCGCCGTTGAGTCTGACTTCCATTCGTTGCCACCCTCGTATCCCAATAGTGAAATCTAAAGACGAGTGATTGATATCTGAGCGCGAACGTTATGTTACAATCTTACGCTAGGGCTAGACTCTGGCACAGATTCATGATCTCCGTAGGGCACGGGGCTTGACTTTGAATTCATGTCTACAGGCGGAAGCTGGGCGGTATCAGAGCTGTTAGACGCAACACATGCGGGCAACAGTTACACAAGGAACATACATCTACGTCTCCACACAATTCACCACCAAGCTCCTCGCATAGTTGGCCAGCTGTGTCTTCGTACAGCGCAGGCTCTAGGCTCTGTCATCCTAAATACATCAGCACGTTCCAGCTCAGCACGCTAATTGGCAAAACGAGTGCTCCGCTCTGGACGGTTATTGTTACCCGACCCACGGTCTCTCATGTGCAGGGCGCTTGGCTCTGTACAGACCTTGACGACTGTGTATAGAATTCTGCAGATCTGTGAGCAATTAGGGCGCAAGCACCGCGTATCAGGAACACACATCCTCCAGACTCTCTCGTTCACTTGTGGGTACTGAACAACCGTCCATTTGCATATCTTCCTTGCAATACAAACAACAAAGCAGAAGGGGTGCGGGAGCATTTGGGACGGTGAGGGAGCAACCTGGCAACCACCAACGGACTCGTTAGTGCCTGGGCAACCTGTCCGGAGACATACGTACATTTGGTAGTTTATGCCAGGTGCGTTGCGGCCCCTTATCAACTGTGGTTTACAGAAAACGTAAATGAGCACATCTATACGGCATCGAACATGGCATCGACTTTGCACTTACCAAAGTCCGGACACGGCATAAAGCCTAAGACCTAAGGACGAACGCCATCTTTACATAATCTTATCCCAAGTGGCAGGAGAGCCATTCGGTATGAATATTGTTCTGATTATCTGTGCAGATATCATGTAATATGCGAAGGTGGTGGACAAACCTGAACAAGGAACTCAGAATGAACTTCGAAGATGAGCACATCTAGCGAAATGGCACAATCAATCAAACGAAGTACAGTATCCATTACAGACCTCTAAACTAGTGCGGAGCCCGGAACGATCATCTTGCCTACTCGATGACATTCTCGTCGTCTTCGCTATCTTCCTCTTCGCGCATGCGTTCACGTCGTGCAGCTTCCTTGGCCTTTTTGGCGAGCTCTTTATTGGGCTTAAGATCATTTAGTGAGATGATCTTATGGCAACCCGCATTCGGGCACTTCTGACGCGCCGTCCGATCGTTCTTGAGAAACTCGCGGATGGCAGAAGCATCGAAAGAGTGGTTGCACACGCTTCTGAAACAGATGTGAGACTCTTTGCCTGGAGAAATAACAAACGCGCTTACGATGTGAGCGGATCCTCGAGCAGCTTAAGTGTGAGAGGACATCTATAGTCCTGTGTAACCCCTCCAACTTGGACGTCGTCGTCATCGTCGCTATCATCGCCTTCCTCTGAAAGGGCCATGCTGTGTTAGCACGGACAGATGGTTCCATTCACCAGGACAAACCTGCTGGAATGAAATCCGCAACCGGCGGCATGGCTTCATCAGGATGTTGTATCTCCTGCTCAGAACATTAGCCTTGGACCTAGATCACGAGCAAGCTACACACATATATTCCCTGGCGGAAGTTGGCATAGTCTTCGTGTTTGGCGTATTTCTGGCGAGAAGTTTTCTTCCCGTAGTCCTTCTGTCGTGTCCCAACCCCGCTGTCGTAACGAGAGATAACTTCGGGCTACACGCACAGAAGGTGAGTGTGAGGTCCCAATGGAATGGTGATAGACGTACGACTGCTTCGCCACGTATCACTTGCTGGTATAAATCAGTTAGAGTGTCTTCATGCGCCCGAAGCTCGTTCTCTGTGTCAATTAGGGATCTCATCATCTTGTCGATTTCGGCCAAATTCTGGTAGGGTGTCATTTGACGGTACAAATGCCGTGTATAAAGACTCACCTTCTCAGCCTTTTCACCTTCCGTGAACTCTGCCAATGCAGAGCCAATGTCCTGCACAAGGGAATATGAAGAATTATGTAATCCCCTGATCTGTGCCCAATCTTGAGAGAGTCCACTGATACGCCCTGCTTGCTGCTTGTCGATCGGCTGGTCCGCGAAGTCTGCCAGGGGGTTATCGACGTGTTGGCCATTATCGTTGCCCCCCTCATCGCCTTCGTCTTCAAGCTCTTGTCTCGCCTTTTTGTCCCTTTTCGCGCCCTTGGTCCGGCGCGGCTGGCTTGCAGCTTCGACGTCGTCGACCTCCTCATCGCGCACCTGCGTCGCAGTGGCATCCTCGATATCATCGGTATCTTGCCTGCGCAGGCGGCGGGATGACGTCGCAACAGGCATATTGTCTAAATTCAGTGAAAAGTCCGGGTGATGGGCGTTGAGGATGACACGGTACGCGACGATTCCTCGATGAGAGGTGTGGCACGTGATGCTTTAGGGCCGGTGAACTCGTGAGAGCGACCGACGCCTTCCGTTTTCGTCTTACCGCCCGCCCGCTCCGTCTGTCCTGACGATGTTCTCCGCCCTCCGCGCGCTCGCCCGCATACCGCGGCCATGGGCTATCTCAACACCATCACTCATGGCGCGCACCCTTCTTCCCAGGCCTGCCACTGCCTCTCCGTTCTCCGCGCTCCTGCGTAACTTTCACGCCTCGCCGCCGGCCCTTGTCACGCTGAACCAGTCCACGCGGCGGAAGCATAAGAAGAAGAGGGCGATGCCCAAGTCGCCGCTGCTCGACAACTGTCCGCAGAAGAAGGGTGTCGTCAGCCATGTCTTCATTATGAAGCCCAAGAAGCCCAACTCGGCCAAGCGTAAAGTCGCGCGAGTCAAACTTAGCAATGGAAATTCTATCCATGCGTACATCCCTGGTGAAGGACATAACTTGCAGGAGCACAGTGTCGTCATGGTTCGAGGTGGTCGTGCACAGGATTTACCTGGTGTTCGGTGAGCGATAGTTCATGTCTAACGTGCGTTCGTGCGCTTGAACAAGTGTATTGGCATGCAGGTACAAAGTCTTACGTGGTGTGCTTGACTGTGGTCCAGTCGTCAATCGTCTCACCTCTCGCAGTCGATACGGAGGTAGGTTGTACTTGGTTCCCACCAATAGCGTAAACTGACCAGTTGCCGTAGCCAAGAAGCCAAAGCAGTAGACTGTTTTTCTTCTTCCGGACATAATGCCCTTCACTCGGCTGTACAGTCCAAAGAGTATCCCATTAAATCTATGATACGATCGAATAAAAGGATTCATATGCTGAGGGTATACATAGAGTGATTCACAGGTCCAATCATGAGTGTCACGGCATCAATCCACCTGCTTCCCTTAGCTTGGCCTCCCTCTCCCGAGAGGCTCTCAACTCTTTCTCTATCTCTGCCTTGATGGCCCACACCCACGCATCCCGCTCTAGCTTGCTCCTCGTCCTATAGACCGATGTCTTGCGTTTCGCCGCCAGCGCTGGCACAGAAGTCTCTGGGACCTTCTTTGCGACTCGATGCCACCAAACCATGAAGAGAGTATCCTCGTCGAGGTCGTCCGATTCGAGTCCGTCTTGATACCGTCGCGGTAAGGGCGGATCGTCGGGGCGATATTGTCCCTCCGGCAGGTGCTGGGCTGCAAGATGGCCTGAACAGACATACGCGTCCAGCAGGTGAACGGTACCGCGCCTGCGTTGGTGTAGAGATGTGCTGGTTATATTGAACTCAACCAAGTGACCCGCGACCAAAACTAGTTGCATGTGCCTGCACCGAGTCAGACATGTTGGCTAACACAGCGTAACACCAGCACTTACTGATACTGTCCTCTCAACCCTTTTCTTCCAAACAGCCGTCCTGTCTTGCTAATCGGCCTGCACCCCTCGAGCAGACACCAGTCATAGAACCACGAAAGCTCTGGTGAGGACGTCTCAGGGTCTGGCGGCGCTTCCGGGAGCTCGTCTTGCTCGCTGTCGACGTGCTTGTGAGGCGTGATCCTCGGGCGGCCGGTCGCGGTATGCATAACGTCCATCTCGTTGTGAGCGTCGGCCTGGTGACGCTTCTTCCAGTACGAGATGAGCGGCCGTAGGCGCGCGATCCACTCGAGGGCATATTGCGCGGAGTATGCCTGACAAAACGTTCAGCGGTGGTCACGGCGGATCAGAAGGTCCCGAGCGCACCTCGAACCTGACTATGCTCCCCGATTTGAGCACCAGCTCGAACGACCGGCGAAGCCGCATTTGTGTCGCATCAGATGCCTTCGCGATACCCCCGGGCCCTCCTGCATCCCGGAGGTCTTCCTCGTCCTGCTCAACCGCCTCCCAGAACTCGGGCGTATCTTCCCACTCCGGATGGTCACGAGAATCGGCTTCCTCTGTGCGCCGCGGAATAGTTTGAAACGCTCGCCTGACTACAACAATGCTCCTCAGATCGCACAACCCGTTCGCAGTCAGTACCTGCTGAGCGCCACGCGAAGCCTCGGCCTTGCGCAAGGCATCGGGGTCGTTGATCTCTGATGGCGGGCCAGGCGGAGGCGGTGGGTGCGCTTGCGCGGCATTGACGAAGAAAACGTAGCCGTCGTGTATAGAAAGATACTGAGCCTGCTTCGACTGAGAGTTGGGCTGGACGCGCTCCAGGTAGCCTTCAACACCAGGCGGCTCGTCCAGTCGTGTGCCATCTTTCAGGTGCAGACGCGTCGTGCGGTGCTCTTCCAGCCGGAGTTCGAGATGTACCGGCTTTCCGGCCTAGGGTGGAAGGTAACTATCCAATGCCGCTGTGCCAGATCGACAAAAGATCAAGGCGCACCTGTCTTATGGATAGGCCGTACAGGACAGCCCAGTCACGGCGCTTGCCTGTAACGTCCTCTGCTTGCCAGACCCAGTCCAGCCTTGCATCGACACGCCAGGCAAGCTGCAGAGAGGAACCTTCACTGAGAGCCTTGCCAATCACGGCATCGTAGTCTTCAACCGAATGCATGACCTGCTTGCAAAGATTCACCGTGTTCTCTGGTGTAAAAATTGCGTAAGCCTTTTCGAGAGTGCTGAATTCCCCGGATGGGACGTCAACTCTGACTCTTGTGTCTAGCCGCGGACATCTTAGCTCGACAGACGTCGGTAGCTCTCCACCCAGCTTTTGCCTGTGACCTTGTCAAAATCTTGTTGCACTTTTCCACCAGTCAACACGCACCAGAGCTTCCAGAACCAGTCAGCTGCCCTTGTACGCGCCTTGACATTGAATATAAAAACAACTGTTCCCTTCAGTCCCAGCAGCAGACGCCCCTTAAGCGCGGTTTTCCCTCGCAAAAGTCTGTAAGGGCACGTCAAGCAAAAAGTGAAGTCGGTGAACGAATAGAGAGAAAGACGTGTCCCGGTCTTCAGAGGTATGATAAATGCCAACTGTTTGTGACCGATTAGCCACTCTCGACCTGGGATGGACTGTCAACATGTAAACAAGGTGCGGATATATGCGGACTAGTGAGGGCGAGATTGTACGCACGTAGTTTTTATATAGCTCTATGCGGCCTTTCCTCCACGCGACAATGTGTTCTGAAAAGTCATAGTACTGTACGTGCGGAGTCACACGCGCTTTGGCTTCGTCGAAGCCAGCACCGAGATTGTCAATGCCGGTGAAGAAAATCTGCACAAGCATCCTGTCTGGAGCACGAATGTAAGTAGGTTTCAGTCAGAGTTGGGGTCAACTCGCCTCTCATGACCACATCGGGCTCGGCATCCTTAGGCTCGGCGGTCGTAGCCTCCTGTGCATGTTGAGCTGCACCGGCGCTCGTGTCTTCCACCCGGGAGTCTGTTCGAGCTAAGACTTGGTCGGGTGGCGCAGGCTCTTCTTGAGGTGTGGGCTCGTCGGAGTAGTGAACCATCCTCTTCTTGCCCTTGGACGACCGCAGGATGTCGAGATGTCCTTGTGTGGTATTTGAGATGGCAGATGTCGACATACCAGGAGTGGATTTGCTGGTCCTTGTCCTCGTGGGCTCAGGCGGTCGAAGATTCCCCTCTCCCAAAGAAGGCGAACCCTCAAGCAATGGCGTCGCGGAATTAGGACTACCTGGCCTGTAGGTATTCCCATTAGAGAAGGGGAAAGAGTTTCGAGGGGAGTCCATTTGTGGGGAGAGTCCGTCCTGCAATGCAGACGAGTCTACCAGCTCTGAGGGTGCCGTGACGAATGTGTCGTGCCCTGTCGCCAAAGTTGAGGGCACAGCACGATCGCGCATTGCTGAGCCAATGGTGGAACCCATCCCATCCTCCGTTGTGGTGTAGATCGTCCGTGTCGCGTCAAACATGTTGACTCCCAGGAAAACGCCGACGTCGAACGAGGTACCTATCCACTGCTTTGGGCTAGACTTGGCTTCCCGCCGACGTGTACGCGCCTTGGCCCATTCGGTCTGCTCCCACTTGCGATACATCTCCTCGCGCACATCCCGCTCCGCGTTTTCTCCCCAGTCTTCTTCACGCCCACCTTGGCCCAAGAAAAACTGCAGTGCGTATTCGCGAATGGCATCGTGCACTCCTGCATCCTCGTCTGTGTCTCCTTGGCGACGAGAAAAGCGACGAAGCCATCCCTTTCGCGACACCACTACGGTGCTGTCTAACTGAGACGCGACTCTTTCTGGCATGGGGCCTATGAACCTCCTGCGAAGCTTGTGGGGGTCATCGTGTTTCGCAGCTTCAGGTCGTGGATCGACGGTTGTGGGTGGCGGCACTGCGTGTGGGGATACCATAGCCCTGCACAGGACCGACGTCAGTGTGTGTAAAGAAGGGAGGATGCAGACGAAAGGAGTCAAGAGTCGAGCATGACAGCAACGACTGTTCCACGACCTGGCGGTCAGATCTAATTAGACGTCACGGCGCTAGCACAAAACATCAGGAACATCTTGAACGCTTCCGCTGCACCTTGAGTTGCCCGCGTTCTATGACTTGACTCGAAGCTATGCTCTTTTCGTCCTTCAAGCTTCTCATACAGCGAATTTCAGACACTCAGCTGTGGATAGACTTAGCCGATATTGTTGTACTCGAATCTCCTTTGAAACCACCGAGGGCACTACGCCATGGCTCCCATTAGCATGCTTTATTACACATGTGGCGTAACTGTAGGACCCGAACTACATGTGATGCTCCAAGTAATATGCACGGTCCATTCGCTGACAAGGGCTCGTAGCCGAAAACTCGTGTCCAATAAGTCTGCCTTCACCTCAACCAGCTTAAGGATGAGTCGGAATGAAGTAGTCACCAGAGCCGGTAGAGCCGTTGTTGGGTGGTTGAGCGACTAGCAGAGCATAGCACGGTGCGACGTCCACGGCGTCGCCCGCAGTAACTTGACCGCCGGACCCTGATAGGGCTAGGAGAAGCGTCCAGGCATAATAGCAGAACACGAGACCGACGGCAGTGTTGTAGAACGAGGCTCCTTGCGCGAGATCGGACGCACATCTTCGGATGTTGTTCCGGATGGAGACGAGCCGTTCACGTAGAGATCTTCGTTTCGTCCATTCGGACGGCGGGATAGACTCGTGTGCCGTGGGACAAAGTGGGCGATGATTCCAGTCTTCGCATGCAGGAACAGCTTCCAGGTCTTCAATGGACGTGAGGCTGCTAGATAGACTGAACGACGCGTCGGCACCGCCCCGATGGTACGAGCTCGAACTCGAGAATCCAGACAGCGTCGAGTAGGAGCTTGTAATGCTAGGCAGGCTCATAGAATACGTGATAGCATGATCTGGAGCAGACGATGGGCTTCCAGAGTCGTAGGCCGACGAGATCATCGCAAAGGATGTCGTAGTTCGAATTATGGTTCGGGTTCGTAAAGAGTGACTGTCAGGAATGTGAAGAGACTCTATTCTTCAGTGTCTATATGTCGACGAATCCAGCGTGCGACGTCAAATATAAGAGGCCAGCGAAAGGATGTTGGTGTGGTCGAAGGAGAGCTGAACCAAAGCGTCAAACTCTCTGCGCGCCTTTGGCCCGGGAGGCCGGGGATGGCAAGTCTGGAGGTTTGTTCAAAATAAACAGCCACAAGTGGTGGTACAAGACTCTTATTCGTTTTGATACACTAGCTATACAGCCGTAACTTAGAAAGAACACAATGATACGCCGCAACCACCATTCACCGAGATCTATCAAGCTTTCAGGTGCAGAAAATAGTACCGATGAAGATGCCCTGGTACGGCCCCAAGTGATCCAGGATATTGCTCTCAGCGATATTAGGTACGGACGAAATTGTGCATTGTGCATCAGTCGCGTCGTCGTCCCCAGGGCACGAAACAGCATCGCCTGGTGAGACGATGTGGATCTCGCCGTGGACGTGCGAGAAGCCAAGGAAGCGTCCGGGGACAATAGGGATTGGGTCCAGCTCGTTGTTGATGCGCTCAAAGTCGGGCACTGTTGAGTCGAAGAACGTCGCATAGTCGGGATTGCCGACGCGCGGCGTGCCATAGGTAACGCCTTTGATGTGAATGCTCGAGGGCAGGTTCATAGCCATGAACAGCGAGTCTAGCTCCGCCAGGGCGCCGCCCAGTGAGTGTCCAACCTTACAGCGAGAGTCAGCTCGCTGCTGGAACTAGCCATATATTGAGAGAACGTACCAGGATAACCTGTGTTGCACCCTTCGCGGCAATCAAGCTCTTTGTTTCGGCAAGGATAGTCGCTGCCGTCTGCGCATGCTCGTCCAAGAAGCCTTGATGTGCCATGATCGAAGTAGAGATTCCAGGGAACAGAGTCGGGTCGAGGTTTGCCATGAGGATATCCACGTCCGTCAGGTCAGAGAGGCTGAAAATGTTCTGCTCAGTACAGAGTTCGACAAGCAAGGATATCCAGCTTACAACTGGGTAGGATCAGTGCCTTGGTGAGCAACTACCACAGAGTTCTGGGAGGGCCAGTATCCGACGTAGTCTGGAGCAAAAAGATCACAGTATCAGACTAAGCCTATGCATGCACGGCAACCACCAGTGTACTCACATAGCTGAATGTCGTTCCCATCGCCACCAGTCAGGGTGGCCTCGAATCCTGGTAGGGCCTGGCACGCCTCTGCAAGGGTGTTTCAGCAAATCGCAGTCATACATGCAGGGGGTAGTGCGAATCACGTACGCCCACATTGCCAGCCGTTGATGATGCTCGAATCACAGTACGCCGCACGCGCAAACTCAGTGTACGGTGCAAGCGCATTGAGCTGTGTCGTGGATAGTGTAGTCACCCCTGCTCGCGCGACCTCAACATGGGGGACGCCCAGAGCCTTGTCCGAGGGTGTAGGGACCACAACAGCCTGAACAACGCCGAGCACGAAGGCAACGCACGAGATGAGCGACAGCAACTTCATCATATCGAGAATCTGGGGTGCGAGTGTGCCTGAGCGAGTGCGCTGAAGTGCACAAAGCGCAAGAACGATAGCCTGGGCGACCGGAGGCGGATGGCGAGAGCTGCACTCCTGGACCGTCGTCCTCCGTTGCCCTCAGATTATATACTGTGGGCTCTCTCCCCCCTCGCCAACGGTGGGCAGCCAAGATGCCCGTTAGGACGCATGCGTCCGAGTTGGGCCGTCTTCGCACAGTCGCGGCGGCGGTCGGCTGGACGCCGAGGACAAGGTCACATTTGTCAGGCTCGCGTGGTGTAGTTGCGTCTGTGTCCAATTGAGAGATGGAAAGGTAGCAGACTGAGGGAAAAGAATATGCTGGCGGCATGTGATACACTAATTGACCCATCAAAAGTCCGTCATGCCGGTGCAAATAGAATCGAATGAGGATCATCGCTGGACGTGCCAGGGAGTCGAAGAGACTCACATCAGGCTCGTCTCGCCCACGAGCTAACGAGGCTTGCCGGGAAGGGCATCCAGAGCGAGCGAGTTTGCTATATTATATTCCAAGACCAATTGCAGATGTAACGGCATCTACGTGGCAATGTCTCTGGACTTGCGACAGGCGGGTGCATGACGCGGAAGTCGCGGGAAAGCCGGCCTAGGGAACCTGGAAAACCGTCGTACTTATACAATGGGCGTTCTGATGTCAGGACAAAGAAGATTCAAATTTGCCACCAAGGCTTGGAACGTGGTCTCTGAAGGATTCGCGGCGACGGACTGCATAATCTCGGGACAAGCAGCCATGCTGCAGGGTCCAGATAGTAAAAACGACGCATGCGCTTCGGTCAGCAGACCCCCACGACGTTCCTCGCCCGCATGCAGTTCTCTTCTACACGCCTCGCAACGACCATACGGGCTTCATATAGCGTGTGCAGTATAGGCTTTGAAGCGGCTATTTGCGGCCGTTCTGCATTACATAATTTCTGATGCTGCGCCTCGTGAGACTACAATGGAATACAAGGGACGTCTGGCTGCTCGGGTCTTCACCATCTCTACATGCCTTGTAGTGAACAGGAGCGTCTGCATGCGGCCGATGACCCGCGAAATCGCTTGATTAACCTGTGGAATTGCATGGTAATCAGCGTAGCTTCGGTTCGTCTCTGCCCAACCCTCGAAAACTTGCACGAGCGAGCAAGAGATGAACTCGCAAATGCTCTGTTGTGATGAGCTTCCCCAACGACTGGACACATGTATGTCAGCTCCGTCAGGCGGAGCCCTAGTCAAGTCCAAGTCCGGCGCCAAGCCAAGCGCCTCGCTTGTATCCGTCCGCCGTTCGCCTCGATCCCAGATAGCATCCAGTCCACAAACTCCCTGCTTGCAAGATGCGGCTCAATCGAGGAGCGCGCGGGAGCGGGTACAGTGGGCGGGTGCAATGATGCGAGCCGCCCGAGCTCGCCAACTCTCGCGGGATCACCTGCCCGCGCAGAACGGACCTAGAAGGACGCAGAGCTCGAGCCTGCACACAGACACACAGGGATCAATAAACGTCGCATGGAGAGCGGGCGCCGGCAAACAAGACAATCCTTCGCTGAACCTAAGCGTCAAAGTCTCTGCGCGCCTTTGGAGGTGGCAAGCCTTCAGGCTGGAGGCTCGTTCAAAACCAAACGGACACAGGTGACGGTATAAAACTCTTAGTCCTTTTGATACACTAGCGAAACAGTCCTAACTTCATAAATAATATCGCAATCATTAATGTTCACCTTGATCCGTCAAGGAAGCTTTCAGGCGCAGAACATAGCACCGATCCAGATGCCCTGATACGGCCCCAAGTGATCCAGGATATTGCTATCAATGATATTCGGCACGGTAGAAATAGTGCATTGTGCGTCAGTCGCATCGTCGTCCCCAGGGCACGCAACGGCGTCGCCTGGTGAGACGATGTGAATCTCGCCGTGGACGTGCGAGAAGCCGAGAAGGCGTCCGGGGACAATAGGGATTGGATCCAGCTCGTTGTTGATGCGCTTAAAGTCGGACACTGTTGAGTCGAAGAACGTCGCATAGTCGGGGTTCCCGACGCGCGGCGTGCCGTAGGTAACGCCCTTGATGTGGATGTTCGAGGGCAGGTTCATTGTCATGAACAGCGAGTCCAGCTCCGCCAGGGCGCCGCCCAGTGAGTGTCCAACCTCACGACGAGACTCAGTCTACTGCTGGGGGCCAAGTATATGCTGGGAAAACATACCAGGATGACCTGCGTCGTACCCTTAGCCGCGATCAGCCTCTTTGTCTCTGCAAGAATGGTCGCCGCCGTCTTCGCGTGCTCGTCCACGAAGCCTTGATGTGCCATGATCGAAGTAGAGATTCCAGGAAACAGAGTCTGATCGAGCTTTGTCATGGCGATATCCTCGTCCGTCAGGTCGGAGAGGCTAGGGACATTCAACTCGGCGTGAAATTCAACTAGCAAGGATATGCAGCTTACAACTGAGTAGGATCAGTACCCTCGTGGGCGACTACCACAGCATTTTGGGAGGGCCAGTATCCCATGTAGTCTGGAGCAAACGCACCAGAGCGTCAGCCTAAGCCTATGCATGCATAGCAAACATCGGTGGACTCACATAGCTGAATGTCATTCCCATCGCCACCAGTCAGAGTGACCTCAAATCCTGGTACAGCCTGGCACGCCTCTGTAAGGGTGTTTCAGCAAACCGTAGTTGTGTATGGGTAGTGCGAATCACGTACGCCCACATTGCCAGCCGTTAATGATGCTCGAATCACAGTACGCCGCACGCGCAAACTCAGAGTACGGCGCCAACGCATTGAGCTGTGCCGTGGGGAGCGTGGTCACGCGTGGTCGCGCGATCTCATCGTGCAGAACGTTCATAGCCTCGCCCTGGGGTGCAGGACCCGCAAAGTCAGCGGCCTGGACACCGCCGAGTATGAAGGTAATACACGAGACGAGCGACAGCAGCTTCATCGTTTCGAGAATCTGGGGTGCGAGTCTGCCTGGGCGGCTGCGCTGGAGTACACAAAGCGCAAGAACGATAGCCAGGGCTCCCGGAGGCGGATGGCGAGAGCTGCACTCCTGGACCGTCGCCCTCCGTCACCCTCAAATTAAATATCGATTTCTCCTTGGTCAACAATGGGTAGTCGGGATGTCTGTTAGAACACATGCATTTGGTTCAGCGGGGTGCGATGCAACTTGCAGGGCAAGCCACTCACCTATTGGTTGCGTAGAATAGAGGCACACGCAATGGGGTTGTAGAGTGGAGAGCGAGTTGTATCCACGGTTGTACGGACAGTGTCTATATACTGTTCGCGATGTCTCGGAACTTAGACATGCGTAGGAGTCTCATCATCACATAAGAGAGCCCGAGCAGCGCTGACGCCGCGCGTTTCAATACGCGGCGGCAGTACTAGTCAGCTGCGGTGTAGCTGCGTCTGTGTCCAATAGTGATGAAAGGGTAACAGACTGAAGGAAAAGAATACGCTGGTGGCATGTGATACACTGATTGTCTCATCACAAGTCCTTGGCAAAAGGGATCCGAGTGAGGATCATCGCGGGACGTGTCAGGGAGTCGAGGGAGGACTCACATTAGGCTCGTCTCGCACGCGAGCTGGCGAGGTATGCGAGAGAAAGGCACCCAGAACGAACAAAGTTGCCGGATTATATCGCGGAAACGCCTGTGGACTTGCAACAGGCAGGCGGAGGATACGGTAGTCGCGGGAAAGCTGGCCCGGGAAAACTTGGAAGGCCATCGTTTTCATGCAACAGGCGTTCTGATGCCCCGGAAAAAGAATATTTCAACTTGTCACCAGGGCTTCGGAGATTGCCTCTGTAGGATTTACAGTGATGGACTCACCTTCTGCTGAAGCTCGGGACGAGCAGCCAGCAATGCCGCAGAGTTAAGATGGCAAACTGACGCATGCGTTTCGGCCAGCCGACCCCCACGACGTTCCGCTCGCCCGCATGCACCGTCCACAACTCCCTTCTACACGCCTCGCAACGACCATACGGGCTTTATATAGCGTGTGCAGTGTAAGCTCTGAAGCGGCTGTTTGCGGTCGTCCCGCGTTGAAACATCGATATCTGAAGATCTGAATCCTGATGCTGCGCCTCGCGAGATTACTGTGGCGGAGTGAACGGTACAAACCGTAACGCATAACGCACCCCCTCACCAGTTTGTAATTTTAGTCTCGTTGTCGCGCTTTATGGCCTATCGCGGGTCTGAAGGGAGCCCAAACTTGTCGTTCTAGGCAGTGTGATATTCGTCTGGCGTTCTAAACAGGTCTAGGCTTTCAGTAAGGGCTATACTTGCGGATAGGACAACCAAAAGCATCAAATTAGCCAATATTTTGGCCCTAAAAACTGACATGTCACGCCTCACTGACCGGTTTGTACTGTTCACTCCGCTACAGTATATTGTAATACAAGGGATGTCTGGCTGCTCAGATCTCAGATCTTACCATCTCTACATGTCTTGTAGCGAACAGATGCGCCTGAGTGCGACAGATGACATAACGGGCAAAATCACTTGATGAATTGCATAGTAATCAGCGTAGCTTCAGTTTGTCTCTACCCTGCCTCGAGGGCCAGCACGAGATGTACCAGCACATGTTCTGTTGTGACGAGCTTTATGGACAATACTGGAGGTAACAAGGTACCTGTTGTGGTCGCTGCAGACTATGGTCGGGTGAAGGTTCTCGTCAGCCTGGTACCCACCGCCCTCATCATTGTCAGACAGACATTTCATCAGTCTTTCCCACCACTCTATGCCAGCAGAGTGTTACCATCCCCAACGACTAGACACACGTATGGCAACTCCGTCCTGCAGGCGGAGCCCTAGTCAAGTCTGCGAGAGTCAAAGTCCGGTGCCAAGCCGCCCAGGCCCATCCCATCCGCTGGTCGCCTCGATCTCAGATAGCATCCACAGATTCTCTGCGAGATGCTTTGCAAGATGCGGCTCGATCGAGGAGCGCGCGGGAGCGGGTACAGTGGACGGGTGCAATGATGTGCACGAGCCGCCCAGACTCGCCAACTCTCGCGGGATCACCTGCCCGCGCAGAACGGACGCGCGAGCCTGCACACAGGCACACAGGGATCAATAAACGTCGCATGGAGAGCGGGCGCCGGCAAACAAGACGATCATCCGCTGGGATTGGCAAGTAATAACGTTGTGCTCTGGCATAGCTACAGCCAGGCAGAAGGGGCCCCGAAGAAAGAGAATACAGTGGTACAACAGCATGCTACGCAAGCGCCAGTACAGCCTAGACAATACAACAAAAAGTGGCGAGAGTCATAGGTGCACAGGTTTGTTTGATGTTGAACAAGACGTAGATGACAGGTGTGTTATGCAGGAGCGATAGCAGCCTCAGGAGGCGCGCCTGGGTGCTGCGGCCCTGGCGATGGTGGGGGTATACCCGCTGCGTAGCACGCTCGGTCTAGGGTCGTCCGTATTTCACCGTAGCGCTTTCTTTGGTCTGTACTGAAAGTTACTACCACGAGACGAGGTCAAAAAAAGCGCATATACTAACCTGGACATGGCCACATGGACATCAAATATTCGATTGGGTCAAGTAGTGCTTTTGCCACCTCTAAGGCGACAATGAGGCTATGGTCACACGACCAGAGCAATAAGGCCCTGACGAGACGTAAGCAACCAGACGTACTTCCAAAGGCGCCGGCGACACCCACCTCGACACTTGTGACATGAACCAGGAGCCAAAGAATGGCCTCCGCGCGAGGGTGACGTTCGGCTGGCCCGTGATGCTCTGCAGACCATACATCGTCCGCTTGGCTATCGAAGCCTGATGCTTGAGCCACTCCTCCGCCTTCTGACGGTGGAAGACCATGTTTGTGTTTCTGCATGACTACGATGAGCCAAAGTCAGAAAGATGGCGAGGAAGGGGCGTACGCGTTGACTTGCGGAATATACCTCCTAAACTCGAATGATATACACATACGCGTGCTAAACTATTGTTGGTTCCAGCTCGAGTCGCCAAGTTCCAAGGACTCACTTGAACAGGTACTCCCTCCCCTGGAAGAGGAATGCTCGCTCGACACCACACGTGTGCGCGTCGAGCGCCTTCTGAATCTTGTCCACCTCGAGCCAAGCTTGGACGGCAAACTGCGCCTTCTCCGCGTCCGCCCGGCACGGGTCCCAGCGCATGCGCACGCAGCTGTGCCACAGGAGGATCGTGCGCATGTACAGCGCCCAGACGCTCTCCTTCCCGCCCGCGGACGCGCGCATGAGCTCCTCACCGGGGAAGAGCAACGCGTACTGCATGGTGTGTCAGCACAACGGCCCGGCGATAATGTTTTTTAAAATGAGGTGGAGAGACACTTACGTTCGCAGGCTCCATGAGCGTGAGGTCGATCGTCGGCATGACGTTGTTCGCCGCCATGTAGCTCGTGTAGCCGGCGACCATCATGACGGCGCTCCACACGAGCCGGCGGCACTCCTCCTTGCGTACCTCCGCCTCGCTCAGCTCCTCCCGCCACGCCGGCGTCATCAGCCACAGCGGCGTCAGCTCCTGCGCGTGCCCCCAGTTGCTGCCGAGCGTGTACGCCTGGCACGCACACTCTGCCCGCGCGGGCGGCTGCGGCGGCAGCGCGTGCCCGGGGGCGTGTGCGTGGGACGCGCGGAGGTCCCACGCGTCGCGGCCGCCGCCGGCGTACTCGGCGCTGGCGACCGTCGGCACGGAGCGCGTGGCGAAGCGCGACACGCGGTGGTCGTCGCGGTCGAGCGCGGACATGGCGAGGCTGCGGATGAGCGAGTCGAGCATGCTCAGCGCGCTGCGCACGCGCATCGCGTTGTGCAGCGGGTGGGCCGAGATCTCGAAGAACGCGATGAGCTGGGTGCGACAAGGGGTGGGACGGGGTGACTCAGCGGCGGAATTCGGGCAAGAGGTGACTAAGCATGTGCACGCACCCAGCTCGCTTGCACCAGGCTCTCATCTATCCACCGCGCGTTGATGCTCGACTCGAGCGAGCCCTGCGCCTCCTGGAGCAGTGTCAGTGCCCACGACCTGCCTGTCGCCCCGTCTTCCTGCTCCGAGCTCCTGATGAAGTTGGCTGCCGCCAGCGCGGCGAGTACGATGCTAGGCTGCAACGACGATCGCTTGACTGGGTCTAGCAGGCGGGCGAAGAACCGCGGCACATTGAAGAACGCGAACCAGTAGTTGGACGCGCGGAACAAGAAACGCAGGTCGGCCGTAATCCGCTGAGACATCGTGTCCCGCACACCGGGCGTAAGGGCGGCGCCACCTGGCATGAGCGGGTGCGCGTGACTCGAGTACATCGAAAGCAAAGCGTCCCACCAAGTGTCGCGCGCCAGCTGCATCGATGGCTCTGGGCCAATGCCGCCCGTGTTCTGGTCATTGTCTTCGTCGTATTCAAATTCTCTGCTGACGTGCGAGCTTGAGGACCTATTGGCGGAAACATAGCTTGCGTAGGGAGTTCCCTGAATGGGCGATTGCTGTGCAAAAGACTGCTGTACCGGTGATATCTGAGCAGAAAATCGGTATCAGATCCTATCGTGTTCAAATGAAGGGAAAGCATGCTCACGAGCATGACATACCTGTGCATGGGAGTACGGCGGCTCGGACACAGTTACGAGCCGCTGCAGATTATTGGATGGATGGATGATGCCCCTCAGCGACGAGACGTGCCCAGCATTGCTCGTGCCCATTTCGTCCACTCGGGCTGCCACGCTCCCCTGCTGCGGAGTACGATAGATGTCGTCCGCTCGCACGGTGCGTGACGAACTTGCCTGGGACGGTGCAAGCGGCTCGAGCGCGTACGCAGGGGCGAGGGCCGGTGCGGAGATCTGTGGGACCCTCGGCTCAGGCGCGAGCACGTCGCCGGAGCTTGCGAGCGCGTGGATGGAGGCCGGCGCAGCCATGGGAGCTCCCCTGTCAGGCGAGGGTCCCGTGCCTCGCCTTCGTCGGCGCCGCACCTTGCCTCCCTCTGTGGTCTCCTGCGGGGGCACCCGCTGGCGCGAGCCGGGGTTCCTGTCGGGGCCCCGCCGCTTCGGGGCGGCGTCGTACGTGCAGGGTGTCGCGTCGTCCGCGCCTGTGGCGACGCGGCGGCTGCAGTTGTGGCATACAGGCTTGGCCCCGTCGCATCGTATTTTGCGGGTTCGGCTTTGAGTCGTTGGGACCGGTCGAGTCAGAAGGGCTCGCGTGCGTGCCGACATGGGGTGCTCACCATTGAACACAGGCTACGTAAACTCTGGCTCGGGGCTTCCCTTGGGTAGTCAGAGGCTGGTCTGGAGCAAGGTCAATCCGAGGCTTTTCGCGACGTTTTGACGGAGCCTTGGCTGGGGCTTGGTCTGCGCCATGGCCGACCGCGAGCGGGTCTGCCTCGGCTGGGGGTGAGCGCGAAGCACTGGAGCGCGACACAGCAGAGCGATCGTCCGAGAGAGCAGGGTCGTAGGACCTGGAAGGGTACGCAGAGAGCGCAGAATCCTCCGAGCTGGAGTACATGGTGCCGGGATGCATTTGAAGGTATTGGTCGCGGTAAGACGGAGAGACATGCTGATAACCCTGTGAGGCATGAGTGAGCCTTTCCTGATCGGATGATGCCCCGGGAGTGCCGTTTGGAGGAAGATGAGGGTGGCCGTGGGCGGCGAAGGCCAGGTCAGCCGCGCGTGACGATGGAGCGTGTCTGCCGTCTGCTGGCGGCGGCGGGTTGGATGACGAAGGCTGGCTGCGTGGGCTGTGGTCGAGATGAGCGTCGCGCTCGTAGGCGAAGGGATACGAGCCGCCCTGGAGGACCACGTCCCCGGATATAAGAGAGCGATTGTCCGACGTAGGAAAAGGAAGAGCACCCGACATCAGGCCTCGGCTACCGGATTCGAGGGTGGCAATGGCTTATTGTGGGTGCGAGCTTATATCAATAGCACCCGGTGTGTTCTCGTCTGGCGGAGACGCAGGACGGTGGGCGAGCAGGGGAGGGGCCCGGAAGTCGGTGTCGAGGACGACGAAGGGTGCAGTTGAGGGAGAAGAGGAGAGAGGGATGCGAGGAGGAGCTGATGTAACACATGCCAACCGGGCGGAGGTACGAATGCGGAACGCACTCGCACTCACAAAGAAATCGAAACGAATATTCGAATAAACGATCTCTCTCTTGGAGGCAAACGCTCCGCCACAAACACTAACTGGATTAGGCAACTCGCAATAAAGCGTAGCGCCAGCCCACGGCCGCAGCGGGCGGTGAAGAGCAGAGCAAATGGCGGCGCAGAAGCGGTTCGCAGCGACGAGCGTCGGCGGGGCAACTGCGCCCCAGGAACCGTCCAGACCGTCGCGCGCCCGCGCGTTTGATTGGCTCGTCGAGGTCTCCGAGGGGATAAACCTTTGAGCAGGTAATTCGCACAGCGTCGTGCGAAGCAGCTGCCCGGCGTTCTCGGTCGACGCCCATCATCTATCAGCCGCAATAAGCATGCCGTCACGATCCTCCCCCTGGTGGCTCCGTCCCCAGCGTCCTCCCTCTGGCCGCGAAACATAGACATGCTCGCCGTTGTGAACACCCCGTCCATTGGTGTTTCAGCTCGTGGGCCCTGCTGCCTATGACCACTGCGAGCCGCGGCCCGTCGCCAACTTGTCGCTCTCACATCGCCTTCGCGCCATGACATGCCCGAGGCTTAAAACTGGACTAGTGGCTTGCGCTATACGGACATCGCGACCACTTACGTCCTCTCGGGTCTTGTCGGTACTCTACCTCTTTTACGTCTGGCCTGCCCTGAATATTTTACCTTCAGAAGTACCCCAGCTTCCGTGTAAGCAAACCGCCCGCTCAATTTTCGTCCTAGACCACTTCGAGTTCAGACGGCGAAAGACTTGCCCAATGATGGTACGCTATTCTGCGCTTGGCTGAGAATCGCGCCCCGTTCTGCAATCTTGCTGGCGCACCTCATGCACTGCCGCAAAGGCCCTAGATCTCCCACGTCGTGCAGTCGTCGGCATCGCGCACATCATCGATCGTGCGCCTCCCCACGAGGCAAGGCGCATCCAAACCTTGCCATCACGATCGGCCTGCGCCCTCTAGCAATGGATATCGCCATGTCTGTGCTGCTCGCTGCCAAGCCGTACTTTTTCCACCGCAAAATATCCGCATATTTTCTTACCAGAGCCTGGTGCCATGCACACAGCGCACACGCGGAATTTCCAGGTACGCATGCGGAGATCCTCCAACTGTAACAAAGACCGCATGCTCTAAAGACTTGCCCGTATCCCGGCCTGAACTCGGTACCGGTTTCGCCACCTCTTCTCGTTTTTGTTCCATTGCCATCTATCATGCCCTGCATCTTCCGACCCCGAGAGCAAGCGCGACGGCGCCAGTGACGACGGCTTTTCGCGAAAGATGTGTCCTGTCGCTCTGGCCCGCTTCTGGCCCTCTCCAACGGCGTGCCCCCGGTGTTTCCCCTGCAGAAAATTTTCTCCGTCAAACCTTCCGCGCCGTGCTTGCTCCGACTCTCGCGTTCCTCGATCCTCGCGGTCCTCATGACGCTCGCCGCGCTCCTTCCTATTGTCTTGCAATAAACACCAACAAGTCGGTACGCTTCGGTAGATAATCTATCGCGACGAACATGCTCGTGCGCTCTTCTCCCTTGTGCAGAACTAAGAGGCGTCCGTCCCGATGGCCGGTCGACATCATCGACTTGCTCCGCGCCACGGTTCAGCGTTCTTCCCATACAACGCCGTGCAGCTCCCAGCCGTTCAGAGGCTCTGGCGGACCGGTGAACTCTCGTCAGTCTTTGCCACTGTATCGCGCCGGCTTCGGACGGTTTGTTGGCCGACGGCGGGTAGCGACGGCCGGCCCACTGCGTACTGACCTCTTACCACCTTCGCTGCACTTGTGCGGCCACAAACGCCCCGCAGTCTAGGTATTTTCTAGGGACCTCCGTTTCTGATTGCAATCACAACTTGTGTCGCCTTCGCTTCGGTTGGTTGGTCGTCGGTCGGGCCTCAGCCTTTATAACACAGGTCTGTCAATATTGACAGAGGACATCAGAAATCTGATATGACATAAATCGTTCGGCACACACCGCTGAATATTTCCTGAGCTGCCTCTGCTCGTCGCATCCGATATTCGCTGCTATCCGTTTAGGACGGGCCTAATTTCCCGGATTTTCAAATATGCGGGTCAGGTTCGACGTCTGGCATGACTAGCATGGATTTACCTCGTTGCTTTCGATTCATCTCCGTCTAGAGGAGATACACGGCCTCTAGTAGGGTAGGCCGCATCCAAGAGCTGCTCTAGCATCTGATTAATGTTAGCCGCTGGTGCTGGATACTTGTAACTCACAAAGTCGTCTAGAAATAAGTCTATCAGGCGGTGTATACTCCCCTTTCCTGCTTTATGTCTACTGCAGCTCTTAGTGGTGATACTGCGTGGATGGGACGCTGCCAAGTCATTCACCGCATGAAGCGGGATGTTTTGAACTCCGACGAAGCGGGCTGCGAATGTGCCTCGCTGGTGAGGTACTCTCAGCAGCAGGCTTCCTGACGTTTTCTCTGATCTCTTAGCCATCGTGGGTCTTTGTAATCCTTTCGAATATTATTACCAGCCTTCGTGTACCGTGAAACTAATTTTCTCGCCATCCAAAGCGCAAAGAAGTGTACACTGAGCGCTCAAGCCCGCCACAACCGCTGAGTTTGAAGAGCGTCGGATCTCCTAGGCCCGCAGGAAATCATGGTCTAACCAAATCTTGTCACTCATAACCGTGTACCGACCACCGAATGTCAGAGGCCGCCTTGCCACTCATACCAAACTCTTCGCCGCCTCACATTACGACCGTCAGCATCGCCAGCACCGCCCGCAGGAACGCCATGGACGTGTCGCGGCTCATTCACAGCGAGCCGTCGCCAGAGCCGTCGCTGAAGCGCAGTGCCTCGTCGACATTCGGCTCGGACGATTTCGAGGAGGGCTCGAGCAGGAAGCGGTCTAGGGATTCGGACAGGAGCGCGGGCGGTGGGAGGGCCGCGCACGAGGGTGAGTCGCGCCCGGGCGTCGACGGCGGTGCGCTCGCGGACGAGCTCGAGCAGGAGCTGCAGTGCGGGTGCTGCTCCGCACTGGTCTACCGGCCCGTCGTCGTCTCGCCGTGCCAGCATTTCTTCTGCGGGAGGTGAGCGGCATGTCTCCCCCACACTGTGTGCCCTCGAGTCCGTGCTGAAGTGTACCGGCAGCTGCATTGTTCTCTGGGTGAAGGTGTGTGTGGCGCGGCTTTGCACACGGCACTTGTGCCCTGCTTCGCGCGCTCGTGGCTGACGCACTCGCCCTCAGAACGGTGGCACCAACTGTCCGGCGTGCCGTGGAGTGGCCCTGTCAGTGACCCCCTCGCGAGCCCTGCAAACAATGGCGGACGTGCTCGTCAAGCACGCGCCATCCAAGGCCCGAACGATGAACGAACGAATGCAGGCGGACGATATGTACAAAGCTGGTGCTCTTCGGGTGCGTTGTGTCCCTCTGCCTTGCAAGTGTGCGGATGCTTACGTACGCACAGATTCCGACGCCCAGACAAGCCTCCCCTGAACCAAGCATTCCTCAAGGTAATCTGAACTTTGTTCACCCGTGCCCCCACTGCCTGCCAGGCAACGAATGGGGCTGGGTCTGCCCCCAACCTATTCCAAATCCTGATACGGATCCAGATAATGCGTGGCATAGCGATGACGGTGCGCCTCCTGGCCACGCGTACTGTGGCAATTGGTACGTCCCCTGTATCCCTGACGTAACAGGACGCTTAATTCCTACCATGTATAGCGAATGCGTTTTGGCCATACGAGCACCATCAACGACGAAATGTGACTTCTGCCAGGTCTCGTTCTGCGGCATCGGCATTCCTGGGCGTTGCGTAGCTGCGCCTCTGCTCTCGCAGCACCTTCACGGCCTCTCTGACCTGGGCGACCTCATTCAATGCGGGGAAGTGTATGACATCTTCGACGGCAACACCGTTGAAGTCGACATCATGTTTGACTATCTAACAGCGCAGGGCCTGACGCCACGACACATCTATCGCGAGGTACGCTCCGCTTCCCCTGTGCGCATTCATAAACGCTAACATGGAGGGTAGGTTGTTACAATGATTACTGGCACGCCGCGCGGCTTTGCGCCCCTCATCGAGTCCGATCTCTTCATGGACGTCCACCCAGTCTCCCCGGGCGTCGACCCCGACCCGAGCGCCCCGCGAAACCGGATCTGCCGCATGTGCGCGACTGAGGTCCTCCTTTGGGGCTTCAAGGAGTGGTGGGTCCACGAACGCAAGAAGGGCTTTCTCGAGGAGCACATTTTGCGGCGGCCAGACTGCCCCGAGGGCGTCCAGTGCCAGCGGCAGAAGGACCCCGGTGAGTGCAAGCTGTCCTGACCAGACGTTTCCCGCCCGTGCGGCTGCTGACAGGCGTGTACGTCGCGTTTTAGCTCATGCGAAAGACTGCAAGTGCTTTTGTTGTCCTGCCTCTTCCATGCCTAGCTGACCGCCCTCCCGCAGTCAACCACATCATCGGAGCGGGGCTTGCTGCGGCCGCGCAGGCGCAGGCTCAACACACTGGAGATGCTCCACCGCGGAACGATGACCGGCCGGTCGAGCCACTTCCGTCGGCTGCTGGAAACCCCGACGTCGGCCATCCCCTGGCTCCGGAGGCTATTCTTCCCATCTTCGCTGACCCGCTAATCGACTCGCACGACGAGAACAGCGACTTTGATTTCCAGGACATGTCAAAAGATCAGCCTAACGGCGCAACGCAGCCTGAACATCCGCCATCTTTCGAGGGCACGGCATCGACATCTTCGTCGTTCGAGGTTCAGGCCGAGTTGGATGCCGTTTTCTGAAGTTTGCTCCA